ATCCGATTCGAATGAGTCAAAAAACTTTCTGCTTGTATTGACGAAAAGATTGCTTCTGAGGAATTTTTTTTCAAAGAATATTTTTTCTAATTTTTATTCTTTGAATATTTCATTATGTTACGAGAAGTTCCAGCAGTTTGCCTAAAGGCACGATAACATACACCACTAGTTAGTATTTTTCTCATCTATCTCAACAAAACATAATTTGTATAATAATTCTCAAATTCTATCCATTTCCAACGTTTCAATACATGCTTACTGCCAACTTCAGGCAAATCTTTTTATTATATCAAAAAATCAACTGACTATTAATTCACAACTGAAGTTAGTTAATTTGCATTGCTACCAACGAACAAAAAATGGTAATGACTGTCCTTTCTTACGGGGTCAGGGTCGGCAATGGGTCGTCGTATAAATCGAGGGTCGGGGAAAAACATATGCGCCGAGTCAGTGGAATTATTATCGTGGGAATATTTTTATTTTTTTTGACTTGGGGGATGACTGTAGTTCATATATTAATTCGATAAGTGGTGCCCTCCTGCGGAGAAGTCACACGATAGAGATTTAATTTTGTTATTGTTAGTTTGGTACTGAACTTTAAATTAGGTGGAATATTCTGAGGCACTCAAAGGTTTTTTATGAATTTAAATCATTGATAGCATGGATCAGAGGTACGGACTTAAAAGAATGATAACGCATATGATTCTGATTTTTATATTGAATTTTTATGTCACCATACATATTTTTTTGTAATTTCATAAATACTGAAAAGTAGGGTTATGAGCATAAATTTAAAAAAAATTTAACATGGTTCTATATGGATCAGAGGTGTGGACTCACGATAGACTGGCTTCACATTAAAATCTTATTTGAAAAGGAAACTGAATGACAAACAACGAGTTCCAGTTAATGGAACTAATATATATATCAATCGCAAGAAGCGTAAAATAATTTTTTTCAATGATTCTATATGGATCAGAGGTATGGAATCATGATAGCTTGGCTCTACTTTAAATTGTGATTCGAAATGGAAGCTGGATTGGATACTAAAATAAAATTGAACGCCCTCATAACATGGATCTGGTTGTAAAAAAAGAGAAACGTAGTGGTGCATGGCATCGTGTCTTAAGGCAAATTGCTGGAACTTCCCGTACCGAAAACTAAAATTTAAAATAAAACTTCAAAACATTTGAAATAATTAGATTTTTGAGAATTTTGAAATTATTAATTGACTTTTTTGCAAAAAAATTTTTTTTTTCTATATTTTGAAAATTTTGAACTGTTTTTAAAACAATCGCTGTCTGAAAGTGGAAGTATCGAAGCGCGTAAGCGCCGCGTTGCAGTCTTATGGATAAGCTATGTTAAGGAATCCATAAAAATGTAAACAAAATTTATGCTTATTATTAAAATCTCTATAAAATATCTGATAATTTGATGTGCATATGCCTAATGATCTTTTTTGACTGTTAAATGGCATTATTTTTTACTTTTTTATTAGATCTCCGCAAACGCTGGACCTGTCTTACCAAAAATTCAATCAGTTCTTCAATATGTCAATACAAGTAAAATGTTTTTTGAATAATTCAAAGCGGACGTTCCGTTCTCTCAAAAACTGAAATACCATTTTTGTCACTTTTTGCACCGTATCTTCAAAATGGCTTGACTTGCCTCTGCAAAAAACTAATCAGCACATATTCTTATCAATAGGAATCGAGTGTTTTTTGAATCATTCAAATCGGTTGCTCCGTGTTCTCGAAATCGTAGACAAAAAATTGTATCTGCACATACATGCACACACTCATAACCACACATACATCGTTTTTTCTAAAGTTTACCAAAATGTTCAGAAACCTTTGAAACGTAAAGATATGCCAAAATTTTCATTTTCTATTTTTTGCGATTACTATAACTTACCCTACAAGAAGTTAAAAATTCTTAAAAGTTGAAGATTTCTAGACTGATGATGACACACTGAAACGTATCAATGATTTGTCTTCTCTTTAAATTCATTCATATACATACATACATAATACATATTCTTTTCTTACTCTCTCCTTCTACATACGTATACATCCATCTCCCTCCCTCTTGCTCTATATCACCCGCCGTCGCCCACTGGCGGCGCCGGTTGAAAACATCCCTTAAGGGGTGTTTATTAGCCAATAGGATGTCCGGGGGCGTGGCCGCTTCCACTATCTGATTGGTTCAATCCGGGGGTGAGTAATAACGAGGTCTCACGTGTACATATATATATATATATACTAGGCGTACATACAGATGTATGTATTAAGTGGAACATGACTAATTGACTGCAAATTACTTTATTTTCTTTAAACGTCAAGAAAAATAATTAATTAAAGTGTCGTACGTTTTGGATATGTATTTATGTCATCCCCAGATTGTTGGAAAGTAGTTTTTATCGAACAAGGTTTTTTTAGCATATTAAAATTTCACTTCATCTTTAGTGAAAATTATTTTTATAACTATAACTTTAAGGTTATTAAATTTAATTTTATTTTGAGACAATTTGTATTATCTTCAATTTTTTTTATTAAATATTTCTGATTGCTTTAAGAAAGTAAAGTGGAAAAAAACAATTTTATGGGTTTAATCATAATTATTATAATTTTAATAAATTTTATCTTTTAACAAATAAGAAATAATACTTTAAGGCAAACGCTTCGATCAGAAATTATCAACATCATCAAAGAAAATTAAAAATACTTGCCAACGTAGCCGGAAAATCTGTTCTAACTATTAATAAAATCTGAAATATTTTTACTAAAGCCTGGTGCAGACGACTCCAGAATTTCTTGCGACATATTTTCTGTCAAGTTTTTGTTATCAGATGTGCGTGTGCAAAGAAATTGTTCTATTGCAATGTGAACAATAAACATATATGTATCGTATTCGATTAAGATAAATCCTTGTGATTATTTTATCTCATATTTATAAGAATTAAATAGTAAAAAAATTGAATAATAATGATGAAGCAAATCTATTGTGCAAGAGTTATGAGTTATAAGCACTGATGATGAAACAAAACGACCCCGAAACGTGTGTAATTTTCATTGATTAGTAATTGTTATCAATACTTTTTTATTTTCAATTAAATTATCATTTTAAGCCCGGTGCACACGACGCCAGAATTTAATGTGACATATTTTCTGTCAATTTTTCTGGAATGTAAACATAAAACATATATGTATTGGGATAAATCCAATCGTTTATTTATAACAATTAAATAAAATAATAAAATGCTAGAGTCATATTTCACGATTAAATATGCTCACTTTACGATAATAGCTTGACAGAAAATATGTCACAAGAATTCTGGCGTCGTGTGCACCCGATTTAAAATGATAATGCAATTGAAAATAAGATAGTATTACAAACAAAAATAAAAAAGTATTAAAAATAATTAGCAACACAATCAATGGAAGTCACACACGTTTCGGGATAGGTTTGTTTCATCATCAGTGTTTATACTTTTTGCACAATTTGTTCCACTTTATTTCAAATGTCAGAAACAAAATATACTGATGATGACACAATGTTCAAAACATCATTCATACAAAATCAACCCGTACAGCAAATTCTAGAAATTTCCTTCAATTATTATTTCTTCATTCTTGATTTACTTTATTAATTGTAATTAATTTTATCAATTAAATTTATTTTATTGAATCATGCGACTCAAAAAGTAAAATGTGACATCTTCAGGTTTTTTATTGGTAGTTGTAAAAACGTAGTTTTTTTTGGGGACCTTTTTTCTGATAAAATATACCGTAACATAACGTTGTTATGGCAACGCCATTTCTTTATAAAAATGGTAGAAAAATTGTCTAAATGCTATGTGTTTGATGTGCGGTCAGGCGTTTTTTAAATAAAACCTAAATTCACGTATGTGCCATCAGAAAGATGCAGTTATGATAACATTTCTTTTTAACGTTTGCACGTTTTTGAGGTTAGGTTTTAAATCTAAAAAGCCTGACTGTACAACAAATACATAACATTTTGAATACCAGTTTATATGAAGGACTGTAACAAAGCGTTGCCATAGCAAATTATGCTCAGCAGCTGTAATCATTTCAATTTATTATAATAACCATTTATTTGCTTATATTATTTCGATAATTAATTAAAACAAGAAATAAATTATGAACTTAAAAATTCATAACCTATTTTCCACCTCAATCAATTCCCTATAAACAAATTTTGAACTTAAAAAAAAACTATCAAATTCATAACATATTTTCCACCTCAATCAATTCTCGCTTGACTGTCATAAAAGTCCCACCGGTGTGTCCCCACCCCTGTCAGAAGTTTCACCCCCGCCCCTGCCTCCGCCCTGTCCCTTGATTTTATTCAAGGCTCGTATTAGGGTGCACTCACATTCTCGCTTCAGCCGTTGCGGAGGCGACATCTGCTGAAAAAAATTAATAATAAATTAATCGATTTTTATTGTAAAGATCGATAAGTAGTGTGAAGTTAGTGGTAATAAAAATTTAAAAAAAAAATTAAGTCGTTGTGTATTGATGTAGCGTGACTTTTTTAAATGCATTAGAGTGATTTTTTTAAAAAAATTGCGGTTGTAACTGGTTTTTAGATAATTTTGAGGTTATAACGTTTCTGTTTGTACAATTTTAAGGTTATGATTAGTGTACATGTGCATGGTGCACTGTGGGGTCATAAGAATTGTTTTAGGACTTAAATTGTGTCTGTGAAGAATTAAAAGTGTTTTCCTATTTTTTTGAACTTGGTCTCTTTTGGGTACTTCATGGGACCTGTATGGGACTAGTATGGACTTGTTTGGGACATCACAATCAAACTTTTTGTATAATTTATAAATAATCGAATGTTATTGTGATTCTTTACCACGATGTTGTGTGATTGGACATTAACAAATTTAATAAACAGATCGGCACAGTCGTTTCTGCAAATTCTAAAATAATTCAAAAATAAATTTAAAAATATTGTGGTAAAAGATTATTAAAAAAATGTTGGATATTAAAAGTTCGGCCGATTATTTGACCAGGTCGAATTTTAGTAATTTTTCGATGCTGTTTGCAGGTAAGAAAATAAAAAATAGTTACGAAGTGTTTCCATTTTTTTATTTTTTTCTAATTCCTAAATATTTGACGTTTCGGATCGTGGTTGATACCATCACCAGTGATTTTTTCAAGGAATTTTTATAACGATGTGCATTTTTTTATTATATATCTTGTAATTTTTAAACGGTCAGTCCGATTTGAACGCAATATTCGACGAATTTATTTAAAATTAAATACTTAGTAATTTTGATTAACATCGCAAGGCTCTAGAGCAAGTCGGTATACTTTAAAATTGTATTTGAATATAGGCAATGAATGTGAGTTTATTTGTTTACAGTACGTACTGTAACTTTTAAACCATGTGATCAAATTGTACGATGTTTTTGACAAATTTGTTCAAAATTAAATTATCTAAAATATTGTTTAACATCATAATGCGCTATAGCAACTTGGTATACTTTAATATCGATTTGGAAATAGATTAGAATCTATGTTATGCGCCATCTTGAAACGTTGACCGTCATTTTTGAGCATAAAATTATAATATTTCTTGTACCTTTAAATCAATTCGATTAATATAAATATTTTGTTTGAAAATTATGTTTAAAATTGAATAATAAACAATATAGTCTAATATTGTATAGTTCTACAGCAATTCGGTATACTCTAAAATCGCGCCTGAATTTTTATTCAGTTTTTAGATCAGTGTTAATTCTAATCAAGAAAATTATAAAAGCTTAAATTTTTTCATACAAAACCCTAAATTTTCACATTCCTACGATAAACCCTTATTTTGTAATAGACCATAAAATGCGTAAAACCTTGAATATCAAAATGTGCCAATCTAATTTAAATGAAATCAGTTTTAGATCAGTATTTTTCCTGAATATTTATATTTAGCATGGTTTGCAGTGAGTAAACTTTCCATATAATATTGCTCCTCTCACTTATATACCAAATACTTCTACAATCAGAATTATATAATATTATAAAATTAAAGTTGCCCCTGTCACTTAATACTAAAAATTTTCTAAATATATTTTGAAGTAAAACTTCTTAAGGCGCGACTGGGGTGTAAATCCGTACAAATGCAACGGAAGTGCTTTACGACAGTTCAGAGTCGATAAGATAAGAGTCGAGTGCCAATGATTCGTCATTCGCTCTCGATGATACCATTTCTATACGCGTCGATTGTGATTAGTTTTCGTGTATGTGAATAGAGATCTGTCGTTGTATGCGTACCGGCATCAACGTTGTATACATTCCGATATCGACAAGGAAATCGGCATAGATGAATAAACATTTTAAAGTTATATCGTAATACAAATCTTGATTTAATGAAAATGCCTGAATTAGAAGAATATTTTATCCTGTTCCTTAAAAATAATAAAACAAATTAAACATTTGTGCCGTGTACTAAACGTAAGTTTATTGATTAGAAATTATTTCTATATTATTCGTAGTTTATATAAATCTTTGAAGTTATTAAAATCGAAAATATTTTTAGGCAAGACAGATATTACAGCTGTTCAAAGAATAAAATTATATCGCCAGCGAAAAAGTAAAAAAAATACCATCGGTAATTGAATGTATGTTGATTTTAATTACATGAAGTTCTTCAAACACAATTATTACATGGTCAGTGAAATTATGAAAACAATATTTGTTTAGGCGTTGTTTAACATAATCTACTTTGTGAACGAATATTATAGAATTTATTAATCAGCAATTACTTAATTTCTTTAATGAAAGTTCATTTCTAAATACTAATTACAATGACAAACCGATCATGTCATATTTGAAGTATGACTTTAATTACATTATTGTTTTTAAATATTATACATATTTTTAATGCTATTATAAATATATAATTTATAATTTATCATTATATAAATGTATATAATGGTTGACACTAATAAATGTGTGCATCACGAATGTTACCATATTGCTGATAAACTCATATCAATACTCAAAATTGTTATATGATGTATTTATTTTTACTTAAATGTCATCTTGTACAGTAGCAAATAAGTTTTACTTCAATCGCATGTGATCCTTACGCGCACTCTTTTTTAAACTAAGTTTGCCGGGTCATCTAGTATACATATAAACAATTTAAATTGTTTATTATTTTATTATTATTATAAAATGATTTATAAAAACAAAAAACGTTCCCAGATTAATTGTTATATTTTTCTCATGTGTGAGAAACTATTTGCTCAATTTGATTGTTTATGTTTAATTCTAAATTGTTTAAATTAATTATAAACAAATTAATTTGTTTATTTAATTTTGTTTCAGATTCGACTTACAAATCGACATGGGGTTCTCATACAACAAGTCAGTCTCAGAGTAAGTTTTAAATGAATAATTATATAATAATAGTTAAAAGTTTAGAAAAGTTTAGACAGGTTTAGTTGATTATATATAAAGATGTTTAGTGTGAAGATAGTGTTTACACATGTTGTGCCAACCGAAGAAGGTAAAATTTTTACATTTTTGTAAAAACGTAAAAAAAACATTCGATTAATGTGGATGGTGCTTTCAGAACTTTCAGAAGTTTTAAATGAGTAATTATATCCTGATAGTTATAATTATGGCGAAAAGTTTGGACAGGTTTAGTTAATTATATATGAAGAAGTTTAGAGTGAAGATAGGTTTAAAGACAGGGTGCCAACCGAAAAGGGTAAAATTTTTACATTTTAGTAAAAACGTGCATTTGTTTATAGATCGTAAACCATTCGATTAATGTGGATGATGATTCCAGAACTTTCAGAAGTTTTAAATGAATAATTATATAATAATAGTTATAATTGCGGTGTGAGTTTGGACAGGTTTAGTTGATTATATATGAAGAAGTTTAGACTGAAGATAGTCTTAAAACACGTGGTGCCAACCGAAGAAGATAAATTTTTTACATTTTTGTAAAAACGTGCATTTGTTTATAGATCGTAAACCATTCGATTAATGTGGATGATACTTTCAGAACTTTCAGAAGTTTTAAATGAGTAATTATATACTGATAGTTATAATTATGGCGAAAGGTTTGGACAGGTTTAGTTAATTATATATGAAGAAGATCAGAGTGAAGATAGCGTTGACACACGTGGTGCCAACCTAAGAAAGTAAAATTTTTTACATTTTTGTGAAAAAGGGTATTTGTTTAGTATTTTGTTTATAGATCGTAAAGCATCCGATAAATGTGGGTGGTGTTTTTGGAACGTTTGTTTAGAATTAAATTTTGCACAATTTTGTCTAATATTATAATGCTCTAAATGAACTCTATATACTTAAAATATTGCATAATTTTGTCTAATATTATGTTGCTCTAAATGAACTCTATATACTTAAAATAGTGTTTAATGGTGGATATACTTTTTCTTCAGTGGACAGCACATTTGTGTTTTATAAAATTTGTAACTTTTGAACCATTTGATTAATATGAATAATGTATGAAACAATCTTGTACAAAACAAAATACTTTATAACAATGTCTATTATCATAAAGCCTTACAGCACCTCGGTATACTCCAAAATCGCAAAAGAAATCAACTATTATTTTTTTTACCCAAGTATACATAACCTCACATATTCCCACCAAGCAAATATTATTTCTAAAGATCGATTTTTAGTTTTTTTCTATTTATTTCTTAAATTCAATTGAAGTTATTTCGTTTTATTTCGAAAATAAATGAAAGTGCAACATTTACGATCGCAAAGGGTGCTCCGCCCCAGTCGGGAGGACAGGAACGTTCCAAATTAATTTGGAATTGGTTTTTGGAATCGAATTATTTTGTCGATAGGAGGACATATGTCATATAAATATTATATATATATATATATATATATATATAAATATACATACAAATGCACATCATTCATACTAATCGAATGGTTAAGAGTTATAAGAAATATAATAACAATCTGAAACAATGTTAGCACTTACAATTGTATTACCACTACGCACCATTAGTTTTTCTCAAATAATATCTGATTAAGAATTTATTGTTTTCCGAGGTCGCAAATTTAAATTATGGTGTGCCGCAAGGTAGTACAATAGGCCCTTGTTTATTAATTTTCTTTTAATGCTGTTGCTTCATTATAAAATACTATAAAAATTAATATCAGTTATAATATTAATAATTATTACAATGAGAATATTAATAATAATGTTTTGCTATTTATACATTCAATAAATTTAATATCGTAACAAATACACACACAGTTGAGAAAAAAACGTGTTATGAAAGTGGTTTTAGAGTATACGTACAGAGTTGTTGTAAGTCATCATGATGTTAGACAACATTGCAAAGTATTTTATTTTGTACAAACTTATCGAATACATCATCTATACTAATCGAATGGTTTGTAAGCTATGCAAGATATGCTGAAGAGTTGCATCAATTTGCATATGGCAACACTCTGAAAGGGTTCATCATTTTGAATTGAGTTTAGGGTATACCGAGGTTTGTAGAGTTTTTTTGTTGTTAATACAACTTTGAATTTATTAAATTTTGAACAAATTTGTCTTTTACTTCATTCATACTAATCGAATGGTTTGAAAGTTACAAGAGATGTAATAAATAAATGCACTTACGGATTGGATCAATCAAGTCAGAATTGTATTACAATGTTTGGAAGTGATTTTAGAGTATAGTGAGTTGTTGTACATTTTAATATTAGAAAAGATTGTTTATTACTCGATTTTGTGCATATTTTCCTAATACATCATTAATAATAACCGAATGGTTTAGAAGTTATGTACGATTTATTAAAGTGATACATTATTTGTTCATATGGCAACACTTTGTAACTATTTGTCATGTTCAAATGAGTTTCTAGAGTATATCGAGTTGTTGATCAAAAATGATTATTTTTTAAAAAAAACTTAATTTTTTTTAGAATCTTAAAAAAATAGATTTTTGAAAATTTTAAAATTTTTGAAAAATTTGACCTTTTTGAAAAATTTGATTATTTTTACTATGAAATGTTTTGGAAATTTTGAACTGTTTTTAAAGCAATCGCGATACGTTAACTGCGTATCGTTAATACAAATAAAATGTTTTTTGAATCATTCAAATCGGTTCTTGAAATCGTCGTAGAAAATTTGTGTCCAAACATACACACGTACATAAATACACACTCACACACACACATGCATCTATTTTGTCTAAGGTATGTCATGAATCATTCAAATCGGTTGAACCGTGTTTACGAAATCGTCGACAAAAATTTGTTTCCGAACACACATACAAACACACACACATCCATTTGTTCTAAGGTATGCCAAAATGTTCAGAAACCTTTGAAACGTAAAGATATATAACAATTTTCACTTTCGATTTTTTGCGATTACTGTAACTCATATCATACATGATTTTACTATAGTGTGTGATCGATCCCATTACCTCAAAGTCACAAGTCAGTACGCGTACGTAACCACTTTGATACGAACAACCCAAACACCCAACACACATTTCCATACATGTATAGATATATTATTCCTTTGAACAATCAAACAGTTCATCCCGAAAACAAATCAAAACACGCCTAAAATAACACCATTCATTGTCACCCCGCAAAGGAGCCCCCGGGGGCCCCGCGCGGCAGGAGGACCCACTTTCCATACCATTCTAAGCCTTCGTCTCTTTGAAAACCATCGAAGCGCATAGGTTTAGACTGGTACGATAATGGGGCGCTATCACTTATCTAGTTTAACGCCTTAGGTGTCTCAACGGGAGCCCCCTTGGGGTGACGAAGTCTTTGATCTTTTGGTTGCGCGCTGATTGAACGTTTGTCGTCGTGATTTTTTGCGGTGGATGGAACAATTGTTTTTGTTGCATGGCTTAAGGCGAAAGGGGTGTTTGGAAGCGCTGATGGCGCTGCGTGGTGGCACGGATGGGAATTAATAACTAAAATATATTAATGTAAAATTTAAATAAAAACTAGTGGTGCTTGGCATCGTGTCTTAAGGCAAATTGCTGAAACTTTTTGTACCGAAAATGAAATTTTTTAAAAAAGCTTTGATAAGTTTTGAAAATTTTGAAAAAAGATTTTTGAAATTTTTGAAAATATTTGAATTTTTGTGAGCAATTTTTTAATTTCTCGTAGGGTAAGTTGTAGTAATAGAAATAAAATTTCTATATAGCTTTACGTTTTAAAGCTTTCTGAACATTTTGGCATACCTTATATAAAATGGATGCAAGTATGTGTGTGTGTGAGTGCGTATTTATATATGTATGTGTATATATTCGGATACATATTTTCGACGACGATTTCGAGAACACTGTTCAACCGATTTGAATGGTTTAAAAAACATTCGATTCCTATTGTTAAGGAGACGTGCTGATTAGTTTTTGGACAAGGCAGGTCCAGCCGTTTTGAAGATACGGGGCAAAAGGTTTCAAAAATGGTATTTTAATTTTTGAGGGAACGGAGCGTCCGATTTGAATGATTCAAAAAACATTTTATTTGTATTGACAAAATGAAGACCTGATCAAGTTTTTCGAAAGACAGGTCTAGCGATTTTGGAGATTTTTTGTATGTTGATAGATATTTTTCGCAATGTGTCTATTATTAAAACAAAGACTAAAATCGATATGTTTTGAAACAAAAATTCAAGATACATTGTAAGGATTTTATAAAAACTGCAATATATTCTATATAGACGCTAAATCAACGAGCTCTCCAGGGCGCACCGTTTGTTCCACACCTTGCAAATTAAGGAAAAAAATATTAAAAGCGATATGTTTTGGAATAAAAATTCAAGATATACAGGATTTTATAATAACTTGCACTGTGTAATATATTCTAGAATGTAGATAGTTGCTAAATCGAAGAGCTCTTCAGGTTGCACCGCTTGTACCACAAAGTTGTAACTTGCCAAATATATGCCTTAAAGTATCTTTCAAGGTAAGAAATACTAAAATCGATGAGCTTTGGAATAAAAATTCAAGTTATACAGGTTTTTATAAAAACTTGCACTGTGTAACATATCCTAGAATCTAGATAGGTGCTAAATCGAAGAGCTCTGCAGGGCCTATGGCGGTAATTACATATATATATATATATATATATATATATATAACAGGGGGTATACATACGATATTGTGGTTATTAACCATTAGGGCGTGGTAATGCAATGATGTCCTGAAAAGCTTTTGATCTTTTTCTCCCCCAATGAGATAAAATGATCTCTTATATATATATATATATATATATATATATATATATATATATATATATATATATATATATACATAGCTGGGCACCGTTAATCAAATAGTTAACTTCGTTAATCGTTAATCCGCTACAAAAAAAGTTAACTTCGTTAAACGTTAAAGCGTTACATTTCGGAAGAATTAACGCAAGTTAACGTTAATCGTTAATCCGTTAATATGTGTAAAATTACATTTTTATATCGTTGCGTTAGTGAACTTAAAAAACTTATTAGTTTAGGTTCTGAAAGTTAACAGGTTATGAATAAAACAAAATACTTGTATAATTCAAATGTGTAATTTAACCCCTCGCGCGTTTTATGCATACTTCCGTGTGTATAAGGAAAATGGCACAATTATCACATACCGTGATAAACGCTATTGGTCAACTTTCCGTTTTTATGATTGCATATTGTTTTTACAAGAATTTTTTTCTAAATAAAGGGAAAGAGTTTTTTTAACTTCCCGTAGGGCAAGTTATAGTAATCGCAAAAAAATCGAAAATGAAAATTTTTATATATCTTTACGTTTCAAAGGTTTCTGAATATTTTGGCATACCATATGTGTATGTGTGTGCGTGTCTGTGTGTGTGTGCGGATACAAATTTTCGTCGACGATTTCGGGAACACGGATCAACCGATTTGAATAATTCAAAAAACATTCGATTCGTATTGATAAAAAGACGTGCTGATTAGTTTTTGGCAAAGGCAGGTCTAGCCGTTCCGAAGATATGGGGCAAAATTGAGCCAAAAACGGTAACTCAGTTTTAAGAGAACGGAGCGTCCGATTTTAATAATTCAAAAAACATTTTACTTGTATTGACAATTATGAAGAACTGATCAATTTTTCATGAATGCAGGTCTAGCGGTTTCGGAGATCTAATGAAAAAAGTAAAAAAAAAGCCATTTGGCGGTCAAAATGATCATTAGACATATGCACATCAAATTATCAGATATTTTATAGAGATTTTAACAATAAGTATAAATTTTATTTACATTCCTATGGGTTCCGTACCAAAGTGTATCCTTTAGACAGCGACGCGGCGCTTACGCGCTTTATATTTTGTCTCTATGCAATCCTAAAGCAGTAAAATTGCTTTGAAAAAAAGTTCAGATCTTCCAAAAAAATTAATTTTTTGTCCAATAGTTTATAGTTTCTCAAAAATCTTATTTTTTCGAAGTAAATTTTTTTCAAAAATGTTAATCGTTTTTAAAAAAATAATAATTTTAGGTACGGAAAGTACCAGCAATTTGCTTTAAGGTACGATGCCTTAATTGCCTTAAGACCATTTACGGCTAGTTTTTGCGAAAAATAGGAAACGCGCGACTGGTTAAGCGTCGGGCATAAGGTGCATATTCCCCTTCATGAACATTAACATGTTGAAGTTCTCGTCTGAAAGCGAAGCTCGTTTTGGTGTCAAAATGTCTTTACCCGTGGAAAACAAACGTTCAACTGCAGCGCTTGAGGGTATAGCAGTATTGTATTTAATAAATAGATTTATGAATATCTGTTCCCCGAGGAATGCAGCATCGTTGAACGAGTCTTTTGATTTCATATCCAGCCACATTTTAACGAGAATTTGCGCTTTATTCTTTAAAGAGTTTGTAGCTTTTTGGTTTTTCTATAGACTGAGTGACAGAATTGAAAAAGTCTTCCTCCTCGTCATCATCGTTGTTACTCGCATTGCTCCCTCCGCCACTTAAACTATCTCTGTCCTTCGAATTTTTCGCTACTTCTTGCCATAAGGCATCTTCTACCTTTTTTTCCGTGCATTTTCTTACTGCATTCCTCTCTACTGCTGTCATACGTTTCCAGCCACATTAACCGAAACTTTGGGTGAAATGCCGCGGCAAGTTGGCACTGTTCATCATTCAGGAGTAGTCCAAATCTTTTCTCTATGTCGTTTAATAAGGCATTGGCTAAAGCTGTGCCGTGCGGTAAATAGTAGGCATTGGATTAACGATTAACGGACTTCTCGCATTTTAACGGAAGTTAACGTGTCCGTTAACATTTTTAAAAGTTAACTTAAAAGTTAATCCGTTAATCAAAATGTTAACTTCGTTAATTAACGATTAACGGATTAACGAGTTAATGCCCAGCTATGTATATATATATATAAGGATCAAGGCGCTGCCACCAAAATTATCTGAAATGTATCTTTTCCTTAGTTATTGTGTTAGTTTCATCATTGTTAATAAATTTTGATCATTTTTTTATATTTCATATATATATTGACAATAATTTGTTATAAAAATACCATTATTCAAAAAAAAGTTTGTAATATTTTTTATTAATTTAAATAAAATTATTGAACTGCTGATGGGGGCGCAAATATCCGAAACGTGGTCAGATGTCAGATGTTAGGAAAAAAGTGAAATAAAAATAAATGTTAATAGACCGATTAAACTTCTAAAACCATTTTTATCTTATATTGTTATAAAATGTCCTAATTTACTGAGATTGATCGGTTGAATGTAACATTCGAGTAGTCAACATAACCTCAATGTAGCCAATTGATAGATTTTATTTTGACTTTGACATGATCACTTGTCTTACGTAACATAAAATAATATTACATGATTTAAGATAAAATAATATGCGTTCTAAGATCTGTATTAAAATAATAAAACAAGTTAGATCTGACATAACCTCAAAGAGAATATGTCATAACCTCAAAGAGAATGTGCCATGATCTCAAGTCATAGTTGTTTTTCTTTCTATTGTGAAATAACATATTTTCTTTCTTTTCTAAGTTCCTTGCTATCCAATTTAATAATCAACTATAATAAGATGAGATAATTTCCTTGGCATTATTTAAAATGTCAACTATATACATAACCTCAAAGTTTCCAATTGGCATCTTTCATTCTTGCTGTTTTATCTTACTGAAAGATAGCAGAACAAGCCTATATGAGATTAATTTTATTATTTAAATGTAAAATTATTTTTAATAAATCTATTTTTATTTTCAGATTACGGTTCGAATGCTCTGAGTGTTACAAAATCTTCCCTGGACCCACATTCGCACTTGAGGCAACCCGGTGAGTAAAATCAGGCAACACTAACGTGCAAATAAAGTCTCTTACTACAATTAAATAATATTAATTTAAAACATTCTATTGAATGAGCATAAACTGTCAAAACCATTTGACATTTGACGTATAAGCCGCCGTCCATTGTTTTATTTTAAATAACGCTTCTACAAAAAAATAATAATAAAAAATGTAAAGTTTTTTTGCGGTTTTGAAATAATATCTACGTTTACGTTACATTTGTACGGAATTACACTCTAGTCTCGCCTAGAGAAGTTTTTATTCAAAAAGTTTCTCATCATTTTGATAATTAATTTTTTCTTAGTCTTTTGTCCGTCCTTGAAAACGTTCCTGCATCAGGTTCCTGTGAACCCCGTCGTTTTTTATCGGTTTGGTTCGGACTATCAGTTCGGTCACACGTTGATTAACTTTTAAATATTTTATTTAAATTCTAACGATTGTAATTGTTGTTACATTGGAGAAGGTTCACAATATATTTACAGTAATTTACAAGAGAATGAATCGACATCCCTAATATTCAAAAAAATCCAAATCAATTTAAGACTATGTTTTTGGAACATATTATTAGTTTAAATACCAAGAATTATATTATTTTACACAAAGGAAAGAATATTGACCGTGGAAAACTAGCTGAGTCTGTTTTTATTTTTTTAAATCTTTTTTGTGTTATAAAGGAAATTCTGTCCTTTTATTACCTGATACCATGACATTATCAATTTTTTTAAAATAATTTTTTATCTTTAGATTTTTTATTTTATATGTTTTTTTATAAAATGCCTTATCATTTTGATATTTAATATTCTCTTAGAATTAGTCTTTTATCCATCCTTATCTCAACTATCATTGAAAACGATCTTGCATCAGGTTCCTGTAAACCCCGTCGTTCTTCTATCGGTTTCGTTCGGACTTTTAAATATTTTATTTTATTGTTTTGTATTTTGAGATAAAAAATAAAATTACAGATATTTTACTTTTGTGAACTATATTTGCTTAATAGATATCGAAATTTGCATTGATTAATTTTTATTAACAAGTAAGACAAAAGGCTTAGGGTATTTATATTGAGGCAAAATGACCTAGTTCATAATATTATATTTCTTTAAGATAAAAATTTAAGCCAGAATGGACTTATAAAAGTAACTATTAGGGATTATCGATTTTGCCTTGTGTTCCCTATTTTTCGCACGCGAAATATTTGCACAGCCACTGTGTATGTCAACAAATATATATATTTATACATTTATATATATATATATATATATATATATATATATATATATATACATGAGGCTAATGTATAAATGAACGTACGGTCAGTTAGTCTTGACAGAAAATCGTCTTGGCAAACTTTTTCATTGTTTGCCTTTTGCAAACATTTGCCACTTTTCCCCAAACGAACGACGTGTATATCAATACACACACATATACCTTAAATATTGTACACATAACCTTAATTATTGTTTAAAAATCCAGAAGACATAACCTCAAAAATTTTATAATGTTTACCATGTACAATGTTTTATACTTGTTTATCTATGATGTTTATCCACTTTTTTATTGCAAGATACTAAAATTTTAATTAAAATTAATTTACATTTATATTCTGAAACATATTCTGACAAACGTGTCATCAGAAATATTTGTTACGGTTTTTTTTTTTTAAATTGTCGCATTCTTAAAAATCTTGAGTGTGTTTGCACCCTAACATTAAAAATTTGTTATAAGGCGGAGGGCGCATGTAGACTTTTTAACTTCCCATAGGATAAGTTTAGTTATATAATCGCAAAAAAATCGAAAATGAATATTTTTGCATATTTTTACGTTTCAGAGGTTTCTGAACATTTTGGCATACCTTAGGAAAAATGGATTTTTGTGTGCGCGCGTTTGTGTGTGTATGTGTGTGCGGATACAAATTTTCGTCGACTATTTCGGGAACACCGATCAACTGATTTGAATAATTAAAAACATTCGATTCGTATTGTTAAGAAGACGTGCTGATTAGTTTTTGGCGAAGGCGGGTCTAGCCGTTCCGAAGATACAGGGCAAAAAGTGCCAAAAACGTTAACTTAGTTGTCAAGAGAACGGAGCGTCCGATTTTAATAATTCAAAAAAAAATTTACTTATATTGACAAGATAACAACTGATTAAATTTTTGGAAAGGCAGGTTCAGCGGTTATGGACTCTTAACAAAAATAACTTAAAAAAATGTCATTTCAAAATGTCAATGTCAAAAGGTCAAAAATGTTTATTGGACATATGTACATCAAATTATCAGATATTTTATAGATATTTTAATAATGTGTACACATTTTGTGTAATTTTTTTTGGGTTCCGTACCAAGATTTTTAATTACGGTACGGAAAGTTCCAGCAATTTGCTTTAAGGCACGATGTCATCCACTACACTAATTTAGTATAGCAATCGAGAAGTTCATAGAGATAAGAAAATAGATAAGTCACTTCAAGAATATTTCGAGGTCATCGGAATAATTGCTTATTACGCCGCTAGAGGCGCTAGTGGTTTATACAATGTTTTATTTATGAAAATATTTTTTAGGTATTAACCATTTTATAATACATTATAATTTTATTAGCAATCAACAATTTAAACCAAACAATTAATGAAGTAATAACATTCTATCTTAGTTACTTATTACGAACAACCTTAACTATGAAGTAGTTTTGATTACGCTTTCCTTATATATAAATAAATGAATAAAACATAAGTAATTTTCGTGAAAAATACAATAAAATGTAAAACGTTATAATGAAATCATAATAATTGATATTATAAATAAATACTAAAGGTGCATATCATCGCGCTTTAAGGAAAATTGCTGGAACTTCCTATAGAAATTATAATTTTCTTTCCTCAGAAATTATAATTTTTGAAAAAGATTGAATTTTTTTTTAGAACTTTGATAAAAATAGATTTTTGAGAATTTTAAAATTTGTTCCTACTATTTAAATATTTAAAAAAATTCTGATAATTTGATGTGCATATGTCTAGTGATAATTTTTGTCTGCCAATAGACCTGCCTTACCAAAAAATTCTTCAGTTCTTCATTACGTCAATGCAAATAAAATGTTTTTTGAATCATTGAAATTGGATGATACGTTCTGTCAAAAAATCACTTACCAATTTTGGCACTTTTTGCTCCATATCTTCGAAACGGCTCGACTTGCCTTGGCCAAAAACTAATTAGCACGTCTCCTTATCAATAGGAATCGAATGTTTTTTGAATCATTCAAATCGGTTGATCAGTGTTCTCGAAATCGTCGCCGAAAAATTGTTTCTATTAATTCATATTAATAATTGCACACGATATACATATTTTATTACCGGTTTGAAACTCAAATTTTTGGGTCTAATCCACGCTAAACACCATTGACTATATTTCATCCCACTCCACCTATTATTATTTTTTTTATTCCTCCAAAAATCACAAAAGCCCTAAATTCGTTTGCGAAGGGAAAGCGCGGCTCCGTGACGACGTCGTGACCCCCCTGTCGGAAAAAAAGAAAATAGAGAAAAAAAGAAAAGCAAAAAGTAGTCCCCCTATTATGTATTGTGTCTGGATTCCGACGGCGCCCCCTTGGTTGTAAGAAAATGACTGCGCTTTCAATAAAAATCGTGGGTTTCTTTTTATATAATTTGCCAGATTGTAAAAGAGACAGCAGATGATTAGATAAATAAATAATATTGTATAAAAGATGTTGGCAACCACTGTTATATATTATAGTTTTTAATATTTGCAGAAGCCAGTCGTATTATGCAATTTTAAACTTATATATTTTTATTATTTTATTAAGTATTTATTTTAATTTTTATAAATATTAACTTCCTTAGTAGGAAGTTATTGTAATCGTCCAAAAATCGAATTGAACTTTTTTGCATATTTTCACGTTTTGAAGTTTTCTGAACATTTTGGCATACCTTAGAAAAAATAGGTGTGTGTGTATGTATGGATACAATTTTTCATCCACGTTTTCGGGCGCACGGTTCAACCGATTTGAATGATTCAAAAAACATTTGATTCCTGTTGATAGGAAGATGCGCTGATTAGTTAGAAATAAAATTCGAAATGTTGAGAAAACGGAGCAATCCGATTTGAATGATCCAAAAAACATTTGTAATGATGGGGAGAAGAGGTGATTAGTTTTTGGCAAAGGCAGGTCCAGCCGTTACGGAGACACGAAGCAAAGAGTGCAAAAAATAGAAATGCAGTTTTTGACAGAAAGGAGCATCCGATTTGAATGATCGAAAAAACATTCAATTCATAATGATGGGGAGAAGTGGTGATTAGATTTTGGCAAAGGCAGGTCCGAAGACATGGGCCAAAAAGTTGAAAAATAGCAATTCTGTTTTGAAGAGAACTGAACTTGGGACGATTCGCATGATTCAAACAAAATTTCACTTGCGGTGTGAAAAACATTTTCACAATGGCAGGTTTAGCGTTTTCGGAGTTTTGGGAAAAAAGTAAAGAAAATTGACATTTTGTGGTCTGAAAAATGATGATCATAAAAATCATTATTGACTGATGTTGTACATATGGAAATAATAATACACAGATAACAGGTGTGCAGGTAGGCAGATGGTCGGATAGACAAATGGACAAATAAATAGGTGAACTCGTAGACAGGTAGACAAATAGACAAATAGGAAGTTAGACATATACACATATTGACAGGTAGACAGGTAATCATGTATTCATCATATACTGTTGACAGTATCTTATATTATTTTAATTTCTGGTACATCTCAGCTGCTTTTTGGCAATAATAATTTAGACATTACATTTTTCTTGTATATTATATTCTAATATTATCTAGGCTCATAATTTCAGCTAAATTTCAAGAGAATTGACATTTGTAACAGATGACAGTTCAAATGTTTACAATGTCAAATGATACTTGTTTTTTTTGTTAGTTTTGCCATTTATTTCTACAAGATTAATATAGTTAAGTTTATCGTTAATTAAATCTTAAAAATTTCCTTTGTCAAATTCTAAAAAGAATTATCAAAATCCGAATAACCGTTTAGGAGAAGAATCAAATCATACACCCGTACAGAAGAATTTTGTATATAAGAATATATGTGTGTGTCTGTATAAATCTTAAGTTTCAATTCGATAAGAGTGAAGTTTAATCAAGATGTCAGTGAAGAGGTGTTGCCAGTAATTACTTTCCTCTGAAACCTTTTATTAGTATTGCCACAGGTGAACTACTACGAGAAGAACAAAGACAAACAAAAAAGTAATCTGGCAATCCACACAATCAGGCGAACAGGAAGATTATTAGATTCTAGACGGACAGTAAGAGCGGGAAATTTAATTGTTAATAATGAGAAGAGATTTATTTATGTATATCGTGGACCTGCCTTGAAAATAATTATTTATTATTAACACTGTACACATGATTTTTTTGTAATTTTTGCAAATGAAGCAAAAAAAAGATACGATACAGGGTTACCATCTGCACCAGGTTGAGATCTCTGTGAAGTTATCAAAAATAGTTACAAAAAAACTTTTTGTTTTAGTTACAAAAAATAAAAATGTTTTTCTTTTTATCCTACTGATTGTTCTATCGTAAATTAAATTTCCAAAAACAAATCGCCCGAAAAAACTTTCTTTTATCATCCCCGACTTCTAATTTGCAATCAATATCCCTCCTTTGTCCAATTTGGTACCATGATCAAAAACAATTACCCAAACAGTCTTCTCTGGGTAATCGTTATTTGATACAGTAACGGAGGAGCCCTTCGGAAATAGAGCTCCGAGGGGGTTCTGGGATAAAATCAAGGTTCCGTAACAAGATTTGGTGGACAAAAAGACCAATTAATAGACATCAGAGATATGAGAATAGAAAATTTTGCTGTCAAAGGACTAAAACTCATTGTCAGTTCCAAAAAAAGTTGCTAACATGTTTAGTAAACTGGTTTATTGGTTGAAGTGTAGATCTATGCGGATCCGAGACATGGACACTAAGAAGAAGACATCACAGGAATGATCTTTAAAAAAAAACAGTGAACTCTACTAACGAGCAAGTAGAATCTAGGTTGAAAAACTTTGCTAGAGTAATTGTTTCACTGTTTTGTTACATGAAGCCCTGCACGGATCTGGGACATGGGCTCTATGAGTTGGAGAAGAATGGAGAAGGTGTTTTGGATAACCGATAAAATGACAAATTAAAAAGCACAATGTGAAAAGCGAGAGAAGACAAGAGCGAGCATCAAGGTCTGAAGCAAACTGGGTTGGATTCATTTTGCTAAAAGATTGTTGTGGAAAGACTGAAGTTTAAAAAAGTCCGGAGAAGTATTAGATGAAACTATTTGAAGTTTTTCTCTATACGGATCAGATGCATGGACTATACAGTCGCTTTCGCAAGCATATCTAAGAAAATGTCTACAAGATCTAATATAAATTTTGTCCTACATATATTCCAAACTCGAATCCTAAATTATCCAATTTCTATATCAGATGATTCAGAATGACTTGAAACGTCAAGAAAACATAAAGTTAGCAAATCAGATTTTTTGGCAAAGACATAAAGATCTCTTCCGGGTAATTAAAAATAGGGTAGTAGACATAACCTCAATTTAACCAGCTTTAGTTAATATCTCATCATCAATTTTTAGTGTCAGTAGTCAATTTTTAGTGTCTTTTTGTTTATTGTGTGGTTAATTTGTAAGACATTGTGTGGTGTGTGTGTATGAAAAATCCATAAAACGTCTCGGCCACCCTCAGAACATGATAACTTGTACGCATTACTAAACTAAGTCTATTGTGATACGTGCAACCCCTTTTCTGATTTTATGCGAAAAGGGGATGATTCAGACACATTTTTTCTGTCTGCACCCCGAGAATATATATATATATATATATATATATATATAAAATGATTGTTCACGGATTAGAGACTTGGACTCCTAAAACTCCTAGAACGTCACTGACTGGAAACTGAATCTCTCTTTAAAACAATGAAACTAAAACTTTGTAAAAATCACTTTGGAAACTTGGTAAAACTGTTTGCTTGTTGGATCTATACAGATCAGAAATATGGACTCTAAAGAACTACCTCAAATGTTTCAAGATCTGATTGTGAAGAAGACGGAATAGGACAAGGTACCAAATTAAAATGTACTGCTTAAGAACGCTTCTGAACACGATTGTGAAAAGAAAAGGAAACTGGATGAGACTCTGTGTGATAAGAGCTTTCTACAAAGATATGCTTTGTAGGTCATACTATACTATCTTTTGAATTGCTCTGCAAGGATCAGAGACGTGGACTTTAGGCAATGCCAGTAAAAACTACCTGATTATAAAATAAATGATAAAGGTGACAAATAACGAAGCAATTAGAAAAGTGGAAGAGGAAAAGGAATCTACACGATTGTCTGTGGTTTATAATTTTTTTAATTGCTCTGCAAGGATCAGAGACTTGAACTTCAAGCAAAGCCGACAAGATGTATCTTTTAATCAAACAATTGAAGAAGGTTACAAATGAGGAGACAATTAGAAAAGTAGAAGAAGGAAAGGGCTCCACAGGACCTGATTGTCCAATATTGAGGTTATGTGTGTATCATGCTTTGCTATCTTTTGAATTGCTCTGCAAAGATCAGAGACTTGGACTTCAAGCAAAGAGACAAAATCTATCTATTAATAAAATAAATGAAAAAGATCACAAATGAGAAGACAATTAGAAAAGTGGAATAGAAAAAGGACTCTTTACGATTGTCTGTGGTTTTGTTTACATTGAGATTAAGTATATATCTTGTTTTGCAATTTTTACTCTGCAAGGATCAGAGACATGGACTTCAAGGAAAACCAACAAGAACTACCTTTTTATAAAACAATTGAAGAAGGTTAGAAATGAGAAGGCAATTAGGAACGTAGAAGAAAGAAAGAGTTCCACAGGACGTAATTGTCCAATGTCCTGTGTTCGAGGTTATGTATGTGGCATATTTTACAATATCTCGATTGACTCTGTAAGGATCAGAGATATGTATACACTGCAGATAAAATCGGGAAGGTGACAAATGAGGGTAGCAGTGAGAAGAGTAAACTGGATACGATTGCCTGTGATTTTGAGGTTATGTTTCCACCTCGATTTTCTTCTAATAAAATTACTTTCTGCAATATTTAAGGTTATGTTCTCGCCATAATTATCCCCGAAGTCCGAAAATGGCTAATTTTAATTTTATTCACCCTCTTGCACAAAAATTATTACTTTCGTTAGGGTGGTAAGTTAGTTTATTAATGCGAAATTATGAATAACAATAGACCGAGGGCACACGACCACGGTCATAAATTCATTGTCCGAGAAGGGTGGCAGCGCCCCTTATGTAAAAATCTTATACGTGTTAATTTTTTACACATAACTATGTGAAGTAAGTAGGTGTAAGTAAAATTTATAAATCGATATTTTATTACTTTCTTACTGATATATAGATATTCGATATATTTATATTGTAGTCGTAGGTTGTTTGTCCCTTGGGACAAATCAAACACAATAATGCGACAGGGCAAACATAATAACTGCGCCCTCTGTAAATCAACACGTGTACTAGCGACCCTGGTGGTCGGAGACAGAAGTAACCAATGTTCTGGATATTAAAAATTACATTTAAAGGTAGTTTGAATAGATTTTTCAGGGCGGGATGCGAAGACGTATGGGATTAACTATATGGCATCTGACATCATGGATGTCAAGAATTTAGAATAATAAAATTGTTTGAGCAAGGGTAATTGAAATACAAAACAAAATATTTTCACGTATTACCAAGGGATCCAAAAATCGTTAAAAATCGATCACGTGATCAATGGACGTCTCATTAGTTTCAAAATCATCCATAAATGTCGCTGTGCTCCTTTGCGAAATGATGATGGAGATAGTTATACAATTTGTGAACTTCGTTAAAAAAGATTATGCTTTGTTAGTTTTCCGCATAATACGATCTTATTGACTTTCTCCCAGAGAAATCGTCTTAACGGGAATTCAAATGTTTATAAATCTTGATATATCTTTACTACTGCAGTCAACACTGTTTATACTTGTGTGCAATCGATTCAATTTGTAATTACATAATTTACAACTTTATAAAAATGTATTACAAAATATTTGTTTTCAAAAATAAACATTATGACATGTGTCATTCTCATTTATTCGGATGTCCAGTCTATTTTGATCCCACATTTGTTCACCTATGGTTGTCAGCTACGACCGTAATTAGTTCCATATTCGCCCACCATTGTCGCTGTACCCATTCTTCTTTAAAAAAAAGTCCCTCTTATGAATTAATTAGCAATCTGAGAGCATCTAGAAATGACTTTTTGCACGCCTAATAAATTTTTACGTCTTCAGTTATTACAGTTTATAATTTATTCATACTTGATTTTTTTAATTACAGATCCGTATCAGATGTTCGGGCCCACCAGCTCCAGACTGGCGAGTTCAGGTAAAAGATTTTGGATAAGATTTCTATTTTAATAAAATAGTAATAAAATATAAATTAGTAAGATACTTATTGTAAATATTTTATCTTTAGATAATATATTTATGATAAGTATCTTACTTAGTTTGAGACATAACCTAAACGTCGCCAACTGATCTATCTTTTTGTTTTTTTTATTTTATCTTTGATAGCAAGTTTACCGTCTATTTATCTTTTTTATTACGAAACGGTGTCTCGGAGTGAATTTATGTAAACACCTTGTGTATTCGACCCTTACATGGTGCCCCCTTGGGTAAAAAAAGTGGCAGTAGCCCTGATTGACTGACTGACCACCCCTTACATTGTGACGTCATGGATTAAGTAAATATATGCACGCGCGATAATAAAATAAATAATATTTTTTATGTTGCAAGTCATAATATAAAATAAGATCAGTAGAGACGTTTATTTTTGATCAAATATTTTTTGTTTTTTTTTAAACAACAAATATGACGTGATTTTGAAAATTTAAAATATTTAGGTTGGCTATAGTGTTTTTCGAACTGAAGATTGTTCAGACTGTTCGAAGTAAAAATTTTTTAGTTTTAAATTTAAACTAAAGATTTGTGTAGTGTAAGTTGCAAGCATAGAACCGAGTGCACTCGATGAAAAACCGGGGACACACGAAGATGTTGTGCAGAGGGTTTCAAGGATAGTTAAACAGTCGGAACAACAATTAGAGAAAATAATAAAAAATAGGAAATATAAGATTAAAAAGACTAATAGAAAACCACAAGAGTCAAAGATTTGAAGAATTAGTTAAAAAAAAATTGATATTATTACGATAAGAGTCATATACTAACAGAGCAGAATTTCGTTTATTAACGCAAAGGGGGTTTAAAATGATAAATACAGATTCAGCAAATTTTCTGAGGTTACCATTATTTTTCTCATGTAATATAATAGGATTTTTGGTAATGAAAGTATGGTTTAAACTAATTACATGTTCCGAAAACATTGTCTTATACTGATTTGGATTTTTCGAATTACAGATGTGCTTGTTCATTCTCTTGTAGATATATGTATGTATATATATATATATATATATATATATATATAAATTTTTATATTTATGATCCGAGTGCTTCGACTTTAAGTATATAGGGGAGTGCGGCGTAGCGTGTGATTCGGCCAATATGACTTTGAGTAGGAGACATTGGTCCCAGAAAGAAGAACATTGTATTCGAATTATTCACGAAACATTTATTCCGACATCGAAACAGAATGATATACACATTTATATATATATATATATATATATATATATATATATATAATATAAATTGTGAGTCATATCGCTAAAAATGGCAAATAAGCGCAGTTAATCTATCAACAAATTTTAGTCAAATCATATTTTCTGACAAATATCTGTCCAAATTTAAATTTCTTTAAAAAAATTTACAAAAACAAAAATTTGTTTTACTTAGCCTCATATAATTGCCTATAATTCGATTACACAATATCAACTTCCAAAACCTAACCTCCAAATGGCACAAATGTGTCACTATGTCATTATAACATTTGTTCGACTTGTGCACGTTTTGACTCTAGATCTGTGTCATCATTTAGTAGTTGACACACAGATAAGAAGATAATTGTTACTAACTGGTAGTGCATGGCATTGTGCCTTAAGCCAAATTGCTGGAAATTTTAATAAAGCTTTAAATTTGAAAACTTTGAAAAAATTATGTTTTGAGATTCTCGAAAAAAAAATACTTTTTGCTTTTTTTATGTTCTAAATTTTTTTTTTTTTTAATTTCAATAAGTATTACAACTGTTAAATTATTAACATCTAGTAATATTGATAAATAATAACAAATTTAAATTTAGATTTTTTCTTAAATCAATAGCGCTGCTTAGCTGTTTTAGAGGCAAAATATCGAAGCGCGTAAGCGCCGCGTTGCGAATCTCTATAAAATATCTGATAACTTGATATGCATATGTCTAAATATCATTTTTGGTCGCACTTTTTGCTCTGTATCTTTGAAACGGCTGGGCCTGCCTTGTCCAAAAATCAGCTCGTCTCCTTACTAATAGGAATCGAATGTTTTTTGAATAATACAAATCGGTTTATCCGCGTTGTTGAAATCGTCGACGAAAAATTGCATCCGCATATACATACATTTTTTCTAAGGTATGCTAAAATGTTCAGAAGGTTTTGAAACGCAAAGATATATAAAAATTTACATTTTTGTTTTTTTTTGCAATTTTTCGATTTACATATTTTCAAGTACATAGCATAATTAGTGCGTTTATAAAAGTTCCAATATATTTCCAAAACATTTTAAAATAAAGAAAACATTTTTTTCAAAAAGTCTTTTTTTTTGAAAAAAAAAGTAAATTTTTGTCAAAAATTTATAGTTTCTCAAAAATCTTATTTTTTCAATGTAAAATTTTTTCAAAAATGTCAATCTTTTTTAAAAACAATAATTTTTGGTACGGGAAGTTCTAGCAATTTGCCTTAAGGCACAATGCCATGCGCCCCACTAGTTAGATTTTATATAATAACATTGTTCAATAAACTATTTCATGTAATATTAAAAATGATCACAATGATAAGTCGAAATCCTCGTATATAAAAATCTTAACACTATATGCATTCTATGCTGTATTTATTTTCTTGTAAAAAAGCGACTTAGGGGGGCATTTGTATAAATATATAAATATATATACATCGTATCGTGCCGAGGTCATCTAGGGGGGCGCACAGCTATTAATAAAAACTGGACGATCATTTGTTCACGCACTTTTAGCCTCCGAAACATTTATCAAATCTGCACTTGGATGTTGTATAATTTTTTGTCTGCCTTTATATATATATATATATATATATATATATATATATATATATATATATATATATATATATATATATATATATCTTATATATAAAATTCTTCTGTAATGGTGTATGAAAGGTAATCTTCCTAAACGATTATTCGGATTTTCATAAATCTTTCGGCAGTTAAGGGAATTTTTAAGGTTTGTTTGATTTATAGAAATATAGTTAGATTGTAGAAATAAATGAAAAAAAATACAAAAAACCGCTTATAATTGATTGACATTGAAAATATTTGAGGCATTGTTTGACATTAAAAACAAATGAAGACTATCATTTGCCAAACATTTCCATTCACTTATAGGCTAAGATAATATTAAAATATAATATATTTTTGATTATGAATAAGAAAAATGTATTGACTACCTTATTATTGCCAAAAAGCAGCTGAGATGTGTTAAAAATTAAAATAATATAAGATTTACTGTCAACATCTGACAGGTGATGCAGTCTGCGCATGCGTATGTCAGTGGTCGCACATCAAACTTAGCCTATAATTCACTTTGACTGATTATTATTTTTTAACTTTTAAATGCAGTCGTGTTTTGCCTTACTTTACTAAATCACGATACAAAAATAATTTACTTATTCAAACAATTATTTAGAAGTTTCATTGTGTCAAAAATTTATATGTTTAGCACTCCATGGATACGGAATATTTACTCAAGTCAATAGAGTGGTTTGGTTCTGAATTTTTTTACTATGCTCCAATTTGTATGAAGTTTTGGAATTAGGTTTATCTTACTATCAAGTTCAAAAGTGAAAATAATTTAGACTCCTTTGCCACTTCCCGGGGGGATGACATCCCTCTCTGTGGTGTAATTTTATTATTTTCAAGGTGATATTGTACCTTTATCGCGGATACTATATATTAATTCTTTTTGAATTCGTTATACTATTCAAATGACTGCATTTTCTAATTCGTATATCATATGTCATAAATCACAAAGGCAGACGATGAATTTTTGTGTGATAAATTTGGAAAATCGATGTTTTTGTCCTGAATAAACAAAAAATCATTTATTTATACATCTACATCTACATGAATAACTAAACATTTTGGATAACCCTTGGCATTAAAATAAATTGAGCTATAGGAAATAAATTTGTTCTATAAATTTCACTGTATGATTTTTTATACAATTTTATTGAACATATTTTAATATTTAGGGATAATTAAAGTGTTAACTGTGGGAATTGAGAATCATCATTTTATTTGAAGCAGTTCTACATTTAACATCACTCATATATTTGTGTGAATAGTAATTCGAAAAACAATAATTATTATTTTTAACTGAACGGTGTAAATATTAGTATAGGATATTAAAAAAATGTAGATGTGGGTACAGGACAACGTCTGTCGGGTCATCTAGTATATATATATATATATATATATATATATATTGTGGGGGGCACACGAGTCGATAATAGAGATGATTTAGTGAAAGGCTAAACGGCAGAGCCCCCCTGTAAATGGCAAAGCCATCAATTACCGAACAGTTAGCCTATAGAATCATTGACTATACTATATAGGGATTCGTGTTACATCCACACTTGCACATAGTCAATGGACGGATCATTGCTAACTTCATTACGTACCAACATTGGGAAAAAATGATACAAGTACATTTTTCTTACTAATAATTTAATAAACATTATTGTTTATGTTCAAATCTTAGGTGAATTAATTTGTAAAAACTAGTTCATATGTGCACTATTCAATCTAGGATCAACTAAATATTCCATATCCAATGCCAGACAAATGAATTTTTAACACATAAAACAAAATTAAGTAATAGACTAACAAAGGCAGGTTTGGCTAACGTTTTACTTATCGAACTTGTTTTTTCAGTTTATTTAAAATCACTAATATTAATATTTCCATAAACATTGCGTCTTCCATTAGTCCCTTTACAATGACCCCACCCTCTATGAAACATTATCAAACATATTTTCGTATGAAAACTAATAGAGCGCCACGTGTCTCGATGCCCGAATACTACGGGGGCCCCCTTGATTCCTGTCCGTCAGACACGCGACAGTTAATGTTCCTTCTAACGGGAGTCTTAGGACGAGGCGGCCCCCTTAGAATGACTTTTGATTGGTGGGTGTTGCTGTTGACACTTTAATAGAGTGAATAAATTTATATTGATAGGAGTGGGATGAAAATTTTAAATTGTGAATTATATAATATTTTTTATGTCCTTAAAGGAGGTTATGTTTTAGCCAGAAAATTCGATTGACTAGATTTATGGTTGCTCGATATTCCAAGTCATTCTAAATCGTTTGACTCCGAAATTGGAAAAAAGAGTGCGCGTAAGGTTCACAGGCGATTGGAGTAAAACTTATTTGCTACTGTACAAAATGGCATTTAAGTAAAAATAAATACATCATATAACAATTTTGAATAATGTTTATTAGTAATATGGTAACACTCGTGATGCACACATTTATTAGTGTCAACCATTATACACATTTATATAATGATAAATTCTAAATTATATATTTATAATAGCATTAAAAATATGTATAATATCTAAAAACAATAATGTAAATAATGTCATACTTCAAATATGACATGATCGGTTTGTCATTGTAATTAGCATTTAGTAATGAACCTTCATTAGAGAAATGAAGTAATTGCTGATTAATAAGTTCTATAATATTTGTTCACACAGTTGATTATGTTAAACAACGCCTAAACAAATATTGTTTTTGCAAATTCACTCATCATGTAATAATTGAATTTGTTTGAAGAACTTCATGTAATTAAAATTAACATACATTCATTGACTGATGGTATTTTTTTACTTTTTCGCTGGCGATATAATCTCATTCTTTGAACAGCTGTTATGTCTGTTTTGCCTAAAAATATTTTTATTAATAACTTCAAGGATTTATAGAAACTACGAATAATATAGGAATAATTTCTAATCAACAAACTTACGTTTAGTACACGGCACAAATGTTTAATTTGTTTTATTATTTTCAAGGAACAGGGTAAAATATTCTTCTGATTCAGGCAATTTTCATTAAATCAAGATTTGTACTACGATGTAACTTTAAAATGTTTATTTATCTATGCCGATTTCCTTGTTGATATCGGCACACATACAACGTTGATGCCGGTACGCATCACGACAGATCTCTATTCGCATACGCGACGACTAATCACAATCGACCAGAATAGAAATGATATCATCGAGAGCGGATGACGAATCATTGGCACTCGACTCTTATCTTATCTTATCTGCCGTAACGCACTTCCGTTGCAGTTGTACGGATTTACACCCTAGTCGCGCCTAAAGAAGTTTTACTTCAAAAAAATTAAGTGAGCCAAAATGTTACTTTTCTTCTCTCACATAAATTCAATTTCAATTTATAACCTAACCTCAAAATTGTATCTACATTTTTTATCTATTACCCTTATCTAAAATTTCATCTGAAATCAGCGACCGCAGCGCCCCAACAGTTCGTTTCGCGCACCTGGTCGCTTTGTTTTAATTAAAATTAATTTCGAATTCCAATTTACACCTGGCCAATAAATATGTTTAGTAACCGTTAATAGCACGAGCCCCGTTTTTGCATGCGGCCCCCATGTAACAGTCAAGGGGGCGTCAGTGATTTGGATAGAAATGAATATTAATTACTTTGACCGCCAGGTGGCAACTTTTGATTTTAAGGGTTAGAAGGTAATTGTTAGAAATAAATTAAATTGAGATAAATAATTATAGTTTTGGGCTCAGAATTTGATACGGTTTTAGTTTTTGCAACTATTATATGGAACTAGGTGTAAGTGGTATTTTGTCGTATGTAAAGTGATCATAGTTTTATTAAGTCAAAACCGGGATATTCTCAGATAGGTAATTGTAATTTTATTATCAAGTAACAGAGAACGACAAAACATCTAAATCCAGGGTAAATGATGTTTTTAGAAAACCCGGGACACAAGGTGGAAATCCGAAACTGTTCCGGCCAAATTGGGACGTATAGTCACCTTAGTCTTAATGCAAGTTGCATGAACTTCCCGATCAGTTCAAATTATCTACTTCATGAATAAAAATTTAGATTTGGCTAAGGAAGTAGACTACGTGAATGAAAAATTTTTACACTTTTCTACCAATGATAAAGAAATGGCTTGCACGATCGTCTCCCAAAACTAATCACCATGAGTTCCTACTGAGTTCTATGAAATGGCTTTTACATTCATACACAAACTTTTTCAACTTTTTGTAGAGTAAGTTATAGTAATCTTTCAAAAATCGAATTTTTTGCATATCTTTACGTTTGAGAGTTTTATGAACATTTTGGCATACCTTAGAAATAATGAATGAATGTGTTTATGTGTGTGTTTTGTGCACGGATCAACCGATTTGAATGGTTCAAAAAACATTCGATTTCTATTGATAGGGAGATGAGCTAATAGTTTTTGGCAAAGACAGGTCCAGCCGTTACGGAGATAAAGAGCAAAGTGTGCAGAAAATAGAAATCGAGTTTTTGAGAGAACGGAGCATCCGATTTGAATGATCTAAAAAATATTCAATTAGTACCGATTGGGAGAAGTGTTTATAAGTTTTTGACAAAGGCAGGCCTAGCCATTTCGAAGATACGGAGCTAAATGCGTAAAAAATTGCAGTTTTTGAGAGAACTAAGCGTCCGATTTAAATGATTCAAAGAACTTTCTGCTTGTCTTAACAAATAATTGATTCTGGAAAAAATTTGTTTCAACTTTTTTGTTCAAAAAAAAAAATTTGTATATCGAAAATGATTCAGATTTCATTTTTAATACTGACTAAAGTTCTAATATACTTTAAACAAATAATTTCAACGGTGCAATTCAGTTTATATAATTCTTATAAATATTAGGCAATGTTGCAATATTTATAATAATCTATTTGAAAACATTCAGTATTCCTCGAACATTTTGTTACGGTACGGGAAGTTCCAGCAATTTGCCTTAAGGCATGATGCCATACACCGCACTAGTTTATATCTGAAATTCTAAATATTCTTTGAATATTTCATTACGGTGCGGAAAGTTCCAGCAATTTGCCAAAAGACACGATGCCATACACCACTAGTTCCATTTTGGTGTAAAACTACTAAGCATGACTTGAAACTTCTGAAAGCATGAAACTATCAATTTGAATTTTCTAGCAAATACACAAAACCTCTCATTCGAGATGGTTAACCTGAAGAATCCATTTCAGTTTCCTTTTCTCTCCATAAACTGGCCCATTATAATCTTTTATCTGTTGCGGAACCCTTTTATGGGTTATATTCTACGAATGTTTCATTACGGTGCGGGAAGTTCTAGCAGTTTGCCTTAAGACACGATGTCATACACCACTAGTTCTATTTTGTAGTCTAAGAAATATTTGAAACGCTTAGAAAACTTTAAGTTAGCAAGTTGGATTTTCTTGTAAAAACACATACATTCTCATGTAGAATGTTATCTAGAAACTTAGCCTGTAGAATCCATTTCAGTTTCCTTTTCTATTATAATCTTCTAGTTAGTCCATTATAATCTTCTATCTGTTACGGAACCCTTTTAAGAGGGTCGTCCAAAATGTGTTAGTTCATTCGGCGTGCGCGAGAGGCGTGACGGTCGCATGACAATCCATCATTCCCTCATTATTCAATAGAGCGCCCCCTTCGGCGACTTAAATCTGGAGTCATGTTAGTGTAATTATTGATCATTTGTTAAAAGGAACACGGGCGCCCCCTTTGGAAAATGATAGTTGGTTATGAGTAATAGGCCTATTGTAAATGACTCATGAGTCAACATTGTTGCCAATTAATGGTTTAATGGATTTGTTTTGTTGGCCTATTGGCAAGTTGGTTAATAAAATAGCAATGTAATTTCTGGTAACTTTCTGGAGGACATGCTTATGTTTTTACCAAATTAGATAATCCACAACATTGTCTATTATCTACTAAATTATCTCATTTCTCATCCACCGTCGTTTTCCTTTCCCCAGGTTCAGGCCAGATTCAGCTCTGGCAATTCCTCCTGGAGCTGCTAAGCGATTCGACGAACGCTGGTTGCATCACGTGGGAGGGCACCAACGGCGAATTCAAGCTGACGGATCCTGACGAGGTTGCCCGAAGATGGGGCGAGAGGAAGAGCAAGCCGAACATGAACTACGATAAATTATCCAGGGCACTGAGGTAAGAATGATATGGTTTACTTTGAAATTGGTATTGGATATAGATTAGTAGTCTAATGATAATAACCGTGAAGATATTATGGGACTGACTAAATACTGTCGAAATGCCATGTATGCAACTTTACTCATATGTTATTATGTCATATCACAAAGATGCAGTCATGATAACATAGTTTTTTTGACATTTGTGCGTTTTCTGGGTTAGGTTTTATGTCTAAAACTCCTGTCTGCACAGCAAGCACATGGCATTTTGACAATATTAACTTCCCGTGGGGTAAGTTGTTGTAATCGTCCAAAAATCGAAATTGAAAATTTTTACATTTCTTCACGTTTTGAAGGTTTCTGAACATTTTCGCATACCTCAGATAAAATGGATGTGTGTGTTTGTGTATGTATGTATGAATATATGGATAAAATTTTTCGTCCACGTTTTCGGGCGCACGGATCAACCGATTTGAATTGTTCAAGGAACATTCGATTCCTATTGATAGAGAGATGTGCTGATTAGATTTTGCGAAGGCAGGTCCAGCCGTTTCGGAGATATCGAGCAAAGAGTGCAGAAAATAGAAATCGAGTTTTTGATAGATTGGAGCATTCCATTTGAATAATCGAAAAAACATTCAATTCGTAATGACGGAGAGAAGTGGTGATTAGTTTTTGGCAAAGGCAGGTCCAGCGGTTTCGAAGATACAGAGCTAAATGTGCAAAAATTGCAGTTTTTGAGAGAACTGAGCGTCCGATTTGGATGATTCAAAGATATTTCTGCTTGTTTTAACAAAATTATTGCTTTTTGAAGAAAAAAAATTGTATCAATTTTTTTTTCAAAATTTTTTTTTTTTTGTATATCGAAAATAATTCAGATTTTAATTGTAATTCTGACTTAACTTCTAATATACTTTAGGCAAATATTTTAAACTTTTCAATTCAGTCTATATAATTCTTATAAATATTAGAAAATGTTACAGTATATATTTATAATAATCTATTTGAAAACATTTAATATTGCTCGAATATTTCGTTACGGTACGGGAAGTTCCAGCAATTTTTTTTAAGGTATGATGCCATGCACACCACTAGTTTAGTACCGTCTTGAATGAGATCGCTACGTATCATAGCCCTGCCATAACATTGGTCCTATATTTTTCAACGTTGGTATCGCTGATACATGATGCAACGCAGGATCAAATTGAGTATGTTCTTCCTATCACAAAACAATATCAGCATTTATTTTCTAATATTGTTATTTCTATCTATGTAATAATAATAGTAAGTAAAGATAGATCTAGAATAAAATAGTGTTTTCCAAGTGATTGCGCCAACCTAATTTTCTTATGGAATAACGTGGCAAAGGCAGGTCTAATTAAAAGTGCCTCGCATTTATGTCGTATTGATTTTCGTCTTTATATATATATATATATATATATATATATATATCTGTCAGTTATCTGATCCGATCTTGTTTTTCCGGGCAGACCCCGCCCCCTCGCATTCCAATCCCCAGCACCTAAATCCCTCCAACCAATCCCCAGCCCTCCATCCCTCTCCTCTCTCTTTCTATCTCTGCGTCTCCGTCTCCGGTGGATCAATCTTTCGGCGCCGCCCACCGACGCCGCCACTTCCCGGAAATCCGGAACAAAATGGCGTCCTTCCTGTGTGTGCGGCGCTAGTCTCTCACCCTCCTCTCTCTTCTCTCCCTCGTGTGATAAGTCACGCGATAAATGTATAATATATATATATATATATATATATATATATATATATATTGTAGGGTGTTCGTGTTGCCTGATGAGTTCCGCGAGTTTAATTAAAAACAGATTGGTATCTGGTACGGAACTTTATGCAATTATTTTCCATTGCCATTTATTTTATTTATGTATAATTAAATTTGTAATTTTTATTTCAAAGATAAACTAGGTGTAAGTAGCATTTTGCCTTAAGACAAAAAAAATTTTATGAACTAGATGTAAGGGGCCATTCAAGTATTACGTAAGCTCTATAGGGGGGCGGGGGGTTGTTGATTTGCTTATTTTTTTGACATGGAGGGCAGGGGAGACTGGATGATAATTACGTCATAGGTAGTATTTTTATTTTTTTACATTAATTGCAAAATGTTTACGTAAGCATGGGGGTAGGGGGCAAGAGCTTTGCTTACTTTTGCTGACAAGGGGGCTGGGGGGTAAATAATTGTAATAAATCTGCTTACGTAATACTTGAACGTTTCCTAAGTGGTATTTTGTCTTAAGACTAAAAATGTACTAGCCCAGTCATTCAAGCTTAAATTAGGTAAGAATCTCGGAATTAGAGATACATAGCTGTAAGTCTGTAAATACTTGTATATTGACATTTAAAAGTTGTCTCAAAACCTACATATGGTAGGCTGTACGTACCATATGTAGGTTTTGAGACAACTTTGAATTGTCCATATACAAGTATTTACACACTTACAGCTGGGTATCTCGAATTTCGAGGTGAACTTACTATAATGACTGGACTATTAATTATTACCCTAACGTATGTAGGTTTTGAGACAACTTTTTAGTGTCAATATACAAATATTTACAGACTTACAACTGAGTATCTCGAATTCTGGACTATATATAATTAACTTCCGTTTTAAAGGTTTCTGAACATTTTGGCATACCTTAGAAAAAATGGATGTATGTATGTATGCGTGTGTGTGTGTGCGGATACAAATTTTTGTCGACGTTTTCGGGAACACGGATCAACCGATTTGAATAATTCAAAAAAACATTCGATTACTATTGATGGGGAGACGTGCCGATTAATTTTTGGCAATGGCAGATTCTGCTGTTTTGAAGATACGGGGCAAAAAGTGTCAAAAATTGTAACTCAGTTTTTGAGAGAACGGATTGTCTGATTTGAATGATACAAAAAATATTTTATTGTATTGATTTGAATACTTCAAAAAACATTCGATTTCTATTGATAAGGAGACGTGTTAATTAGTTTCTGGCCAAGGCAGGTCTAGTTCTTTCGAAGATACGGGGCAAAAAGTGCCAAAAACGGTAACTCAGTTTTTAAGAGAACGGAGCGTCCGATTTGAATAATTCAAAAAACATTTTACTTGTATTGGCGAAATGAAGAACCTATTAAACGTTTGAGAAGGCAGGTCTAGCTGTTTCGGAGATTTAATGAAAAAAGTAAAAAAACACTATTTGGCGGTCAAAAATGACCATTACACATATGCACATCAAATTATCAGATATTTCATAGAGATTTTAATAATAAGTACAAATTTTAGTTTCCATTCCTTTTGTACTCTTAATTATCCGCTAGACCGCGACGCGGCGCTTACACGCTTCTATGTTTTGTCTCTAAAACAGCTACACAGCGCTATTGCTTTAAAAAATATTTCAAAGTTTTCAAAATATTTCAAAATGCAAAAATAACTCAATTTTTCTTAAAAAGTTCAAATATTTTCAAAAATTTCAAAATTATCAAAAATGTAATTTTTCCAAAATTTTAAATAAATTTTAAAGCTTTTAAAAATGTTAAATTACATTAGGCAAAAATGCCATGCACCACTAGTTTATTGGACTTAATAATAATAACTAATGGTAATCTGCTCGAAGACAGGTCCATGTTATGAGAGCCAGCACAAATAAATAATTCTCTTGCTCTTCGTTGTTTGTCATGCCCATTACCACTATATTCTCCCCCCCTTTTTACATGTAGTTTTCTTACCCAACCTCTGCTTCCATGCTTCTTGATCCTGTGCTTCGTCTTTCAGTTCCCTGTATTTTCTTTCTTCGTGTAAGTTGTCAATCATTTGCATTCTTCTTATTGGACTTAATAAATAAGAAATCAATTTATTAATTTATGATGGATTTATGAGTATACCGAGTTTTGCAAAACATGTTAGTTATATTCGACAAATAGTTTAAATATTGCAAAACTTGTTTGAAATGTGTTATTTGTTGTGATATAATTGTTTTGTTTTTCACAATATAATTAATATTTGCTCAAGGTCAAGTTGGACCTTTGTGCCTCGCCCTGCTCTACATATATACTTTTTTATTAAATTTACTTTAATTCATCGAATGTTACTTGAAACTTCAAAAAGCAGGTCAAAGAAGAAATACTTAATTCATTTTCTATCTCTCCTCGCAGAAATTTGGAAATTTTGTATAAGCTAGAGTAGTATTATTTACAAGTAGGAGGATTAACCCAATTTTTAGTTAAAATTTATTATTAAACCAATTGTCGTATGCCTCTAATATTTTAGTATTTTTATTAATACCAGGAAACCTATCGCCGTACAAAGTTTCACAAAAAAAGTTCAATAATTAATCAGTTGTGTTTATGAGTAAACCTAGGCGTTGTAGAGTTTTTTACTGTTAGATAAAGTTGTAAATAATTCAATTTTGTTGAATACATTATTCATATAATCCATAATCAATAATCACAAGCGATACAGGCACAACTACCAATTCCATTCTACATATCTAAAAGCTAACAAATACAACTCTTTTTATGATTATTATTTTTTCCTAATTAATTTAAAAGCGCCACCGTCGCATGTGTTTTTTCCCCGGAACTAAATGATTTCCCCGTCGGCGCGCGTGCCGGACGACCGGTTCCGCTTCCGGACTCTCTCGGGTTCCGGGGGCGCCGGATAACGGATAACGGATACCGGATTCCCGGAACGAAGACAACTCGTTTCCAAACGGCGGACCGACGGACGAACGTGACGGACGCCGTTAATAATAATAAAACGTAACGGTAACGGATTTTTGGAGGTGGATGGAATATTAGACAGTTTGTTACTTTTGAATCGTTTGGTTAATATGAATAAGGTGTTAGAAGAATTTGTGCAGAATTAAATGATATACAACTTTGTCTAACATCATAAGACCCTAAAACAACTATCTATACTCTTAAAGCTCAATAGAACGTAAAAAATGGTGGCAGCGGTTACATATGCCAAAAAAAGAGTGCGCGTAAGGTTCACACGCGATTGAAGTAAAACTTATTTGCTACTGTACAAGATGGCATTTAAGCAAAAACAAATACATCATATAACAATTTTGAAAAATGTTTATTAGTAATATGGTAACATTCATGATGCACACATTTATTAGTGTCAACCATTATACACATTTATATAATGAGAAGTTATGAATTATATATTTATAATAGCAATAAAAATATGTATAATATTAGAAAACAATAATGTAATTTAAGTCATGGTTCAAATATGACATGATTGGTTTGTCATTATAATTAGCATTTAGAAATGAACCTTCTTTAGAGAAATGAAGTAATGATATTCGTTTACACAGTGGGTTATGTTAAATAACGCCTAAACAAATATTGTTTTCCCAACTTCACTCATCATGTAATTGTGTTTGAAGAACTTCATGTAATTAAAATTAATATAAATTCATTGACTGGTAGGATTTTTTTTTTACTTTTTTGCTGGCGCTATAATATCATTCTTTGAACTACTATAATATCTAATATATAGAAATAATTTCTAATCAATATACTTAAGTTTATTACACGGCACAAATGTTTAATTTGTTTTATTATTTTCAAGGAACAGGGTAAAATATTCTTCTGGTTCAGGCATTTTTCATTAAATCAAGATTTGTACTACGATGTAACTTTAAAGCGTTTATTCATCTATGCCGATTTCCTTGTTGATATCGGTACGCATACAACGTTGATGCCGGTACGCACATAACGACAGATCTCTTTTCACATACACGACGGCTAATCACAATCGACCCGTACAGAAATGATATCATCGAGAGCGAATGACGAATCATTGGCCCTCGACTCGGCCGTAACGCACTTCCGTTGCATTTGTACGGATTTACATCCTAGTCGCGCCTAAAGAAGTTTTACTTCAAAAACCATTGCTTTAGTATATCTTACATAACTTCCAAACCATTCGAGTCGTTATTAATCAGCAATTACTCTAGTGAAGGTTCATTTCAAAATGCTAATTACAATGACAAACCGATCATGTCATATTTGAAGTATGACTTTAATTACATTATTGTTTTTAAACATTATACATATTTTTAGTGCTATTATAAATATATAATTTATAATTTATCATTATATAAATATGTATAATGGCTGACACAATAAATGTGTGCATCACGAGTGTTACCATATTACTAATAAACATTATTCAAAATTGTTATATGATGTATTTATTTTTACTTAAATGGCATCTTGTACGGTTGCAAATAAGTATTACTTCAATCGCGTGTGAACCTTACCTGCACTCTTTTTTTTAAATTATAATTCTCAAACAAAACACTAATGATGCACAAAAGACGATGACAAAACGTATTTGTCACAGTTTCCTGTTCTTTTTGCATTCGATTCAATTTTTCATGGAAAACAAAATAAATGATGGAAAACGTCAGATAATGTCATTAGCGTTTCTTTTGTTTCCAGAAAAACCGAAAGAAATAGGGGGTGATTTTGAGGTTATATTTATGGCTACATGTGTATTTCTGTGTGTGTGTGTGTTTGTGGATAAATCTTAAAGGGCATCATATCTAGTAAAAGGGACAAGATACAGTTTTCAAACCATTTTTAATGTTTGACCTTGCAACGACCTTCAGCTAATAAAATGCACTTGGACTAATAAACCCTGTGGAACACCTAAGCTAAAAATTTTACACCAAAAATTCCTAAATGAAAATAAAGCTTAAACTTTATGCTAAATTTCATAGCCAAATCAATAGCTTCACGCGATTCCAAGTTATCGCACATAAAACAAAAATTCGTACCACAACGACATCATGCAACACTGATACCAATTAAATTTTTATTTCTGTCTTTACACCTTATACACAAGTTATATGTGTAATGTATGTATATGTATAAATACACAAAAAGTCACCAGTATGTATGTACATGTATCCCCTTTCTCAGAATTCTATTTCCTTCCCCAAAAATCAGGGCTGGGCACTGAAACGAAAATTCCAAAATAAAATTGAAGCCTAAACTTTTGGCTAAATTTTATCCTAAAATACCAAACTAATAGCTTCACGCGATTCCAAGTTATCGCTCATAAAACAAAAAACCGTATCACAGTGACATCATGCAACACTGATACCAATTACATTTTTATTTCTGCCTTTACTCTGTCTTTACACCTTATACACAAGTTATATGTGTAATGTATGTATATGTATAAATACACAAAAAGTCACGAGTGTGTATGTACATGTATCCCCTTTCTCAGAATTCTATTTCCTTCCCCAAAATTTAGGGCGGGGCAAATCTAATCAATGAGCAATCACGAGAACACTAACGAGCCCATTAGGGCACCCAACCCTCAGACGTCGTAATTATAATCAAAGAAAATATCTAAAAGCCCTCTTTTGGGAGTGAAGGGAAAGTAATAGGGCATGAGGAAAAGTGTTGCCACATTCATACTAACTGAATGGTTTCAAATTTTCTAGATAATAAGAATAGTGTATTTTTATTTATAGGGAGGATCTAAACTATAAAGAATAATTGTTTGTCAGTAGGGTTTACTTTCGTTGTATCAATCGAGAGCCCGTGTCTCTGATCCATAAAGAGTAGTATGTATTTATTTATCTTTTTATTGAGAGTCCGTGTCTCTGATCCATAAAGAGCTTTTGTTTGTAAGTGGACTTTGTCAGTGGAATTCTTTTTATTTTTTTTAATTGATATAAATATCAGTAGTATGTATTTTTTTATCTCTTTAGTTGAGAGTCCGTGTCTCTGATCCATAAAGAGCCTTTGTTTGTAAGTGGACTTTGTCAGTGTAATTCTTTTTATTTTTTTAATTGATATTTGTTATCAGAAGTGTGTATTTTTTTATCTCTTTAGTTGAGAGTCCGTGTCTCTGATCCATAAAGCGCTTTTGTTTGTAAGTGGACTTTGTCAGTGGAATTCTTTTTATTTTTCTAATTGATATTGTTTATCAGTAGTATGTATTTTTTTATCTCTTTAGTTGAGAGTCCGTGTCTCTGATCTATAAAGAGCTTTTGTTTGTAAGTGGACTTTGTCAGTGGAATTTTTTTATTTTTTTTATTTTTTTTATTTGATATTGTTTATCAGTAGTATGTATTTTTTTTATCTATTTAGTTGAGTGTCCGTGTATCTGATCTATAAAGAGCTTTTGTTTGTAAGTGGACTTTGCCAGTGTACTTTGTCAGTGGAATTCTTTTTTCAATCGATATGCCAATCATCAGCATTTTTCTTCTTCCTAGTCCTTTTAGTCCTTTTATTTTATCTTAGACGACGTCGAGTAGCAAGCACATGAGTCCGGCCAGTTTCCTTTTCTTTTTATGATTATCAGTAGTGTTCTTTCGTCTACCTCTCTTCTTGGAAACTCTCCAGGCAGCTGTTGCTAGCATTTCTTAGCGTCTCTGTGACTCTGATTCGCGCAGAGCTTTATTTATCTCTTGCAGATCTAATTTCTTAGTCAGTACAGTTCACATCTCTGATCCATTTACCATCTATGTCTTTTGCCCAGGTACCACTACGACAAGAACATAATGACCAAGGTCCACGGAAAGCAGTACGCCTACAAGTTCGACTTCTTCTTCCTAGTCCTTTTAGTCCTTTTATTTTATCTTAGACGACGTCGAGTAGCAAGCACATGAGTTCGACCAGTTTCTTTTTTTTTATGATCATCACTAGTGTTCTTTGGTCTACCACTCTTCTTGACAACTTTCTAGGTAGCTGTTGCCAGCCTTTTTTAGGGTCTCTGTGACTCTGATTCGCGCAGAGCTCTATTTATCTCTTGCAGATCCTATTAATTAGTCAGTATATTCCACATCTCTGATCCATTTACCATCTATCTTTTACCCAGGTACTACTACGACAAGAACATAATGACCAAGGTCCATGGCAAGAGGTACGCCTACAAGTTCGACTTCCAAGGTCTAGCTGCTGCCACTCAGCCAGTGTCCGCCGGTGGTCCTGCTTCGTCGGCGGACGCCTACAACAAGTACACGGATGCAGCCCTGTTTTCCTATCACCACCACGTGTACGGAAACGCGGCGGCGGCGGCAGGTACAGCGGCTGGTGTCTACCACCAGCACCACTCGGGGAACGGTGGTTCGGGTGCCGGGGCTGTTGGAGCTGCGGCGGGTAAACTGGGGCTGGGACTTGGGGGGCATCATCATCATCACGGGATGGGGGCGGCTGGAGGTAAGGAAGGAAAAGATTGTTATTAAAATCCGACTTGATAATTTTAACCCTTTCCACTCGCGAATTGCGAGATTTACATGAATGTTGCGACAGGAGCGGTAGCATCCGAGTGGAAAGGGTTAAGACATTTTTGAATGTTTGAGAACAGATTGGGGAAAAGTTATCATCGAGGTTTACTTAAAAACAGCTGAACCGATTTCAAAAATTTAGAAGCCATTTGATAAAACTTGTTAAGGACTCGCGTTGATTAGTTTTGAGAGACAATCGGCCGAAGCGTTTCTTTAGAAAAGTGCAAAAAATGTGTAATATATACACACACACACACACACATATATATATATATATATATATATATATATATATGTGTGTGTGTGTGTGTGTGTAATGATATCGATGTAATGGGTTAGAAAATCCTAAATGGGGCGCGAAAATCGAAGATTAGACTACTTGAGACCTGAAAGTGGCTCAAGTATCTTGGGGGAAGGGGTGCTCCCTTGCACCTCCGAGGGACGATTGGGGCCACTGAAAGCTTTTCAAAACGATATATATATATATATATATATATATATATATAAATGTATATCTCTGCTTTTGAATAAATTCATGTCACCGCCAGACAAAGTGGCGGTTTCGAGTTCTTTATCAATATTGACCTGTAGATTTGTATTTTATATTGTAAATGGCTTTTTGAGTTTTTTGATTGATATTTTCAGTTTTTGTTTGGAACTAGTGGTGTATGGTTCAAAGACTGAACTTGTTAATGGATATTTTAACCCTTTGCACTCGTATGCCGCGACAAAATTCATATAAATCTCGCAATTCGCGAGTGGAAAGGGTTAACACATTATATCTTACCGTCAATTAATTATTTTTTTAATTTTCAATTACATACTATTTAAGAGTATACCGAGTTGTTGTAGGGATATACACCTAAGTCTGTTTTTACACGGAGATTGGTTCCAGAAGAAGCCGTGTAAAAAAAAAACGTGTAAAAAAAGGCATTGATCTTATACAAAAATGGGTGATTTGTTCCTAATCTCTAAAACCTATTAAAATTGGTGAAAAACAAGAATTTTTAAGAACAAGAATTAAATTAGTGCTTTAACCAGTAAAAATTGTTTGTACGCGCTAAAGGGGAATTCACACACGGGGACAAGATCGAGATAGTCGATTCTAAGTATCGGTCTTGTATTGCGTCTTTTGTAAACAAAGCGCAAATTTGTCAGGGGCTTGCTCCGCTTCCGACGCTAAATTATAAGGTGAACGTGCCTTTTGCTACTTTCATTCCAAATTCTGGGTCGGAATTGGTAATGGATTGAAAGTTAGCACATTTGAAAGTGTTATTCAAAATTTTCTAAAACCAGTACAGTATTTTATATTTTAATAAATTCAGTGGACATCGTAAGAAAATCGCCAGAATTCCCGGGCGGGAGCCTCGGGAAATGTCGCAAGACATGATGGACGTCTTGACGAGCACCGTCCTAAAAAACAAGTACCAGGCATTATCGGACCGGAGTGAAATGGACACGGATCGAGAGATAGACGAGTACCGGACAGTCAAACGCAAGAAGCGGTTGAGGCAAAACAACGCAGACAATGTGATAGGAAACCAGACTGTTAACACTCTGAAGCCATCTACATCGAAAACGGGGAATTTAGCACCCAAGAACACCACCGTAACAGATCCAAAGATTCCACCTATCATCGTCAAAGGCCAGCTGGATTTAAAAGTGATCAAATATATCAAAGATACGACGAAAATAATATTCAGGACCCAATATTTAAAGCCACAATTGCACAAAATATATGCCGATACGATTGCAGAACATGAAAAACTGAAAACCATACTAAGGGATTGTGATTTCCAATTTTACACCTATACTATGCAGCATGACATCCCTAAGAAAATCACTATAACTGGCCTAAATCCAGATATTACTGAAACGGTGGTTCTTGATGAGCTGAAAGCCAAGGGCATTAAGGTGAAGCAGGTGGTCCAAATTAAGAAGAAGGAATCGGACGGCAGTCAACGCAAACTCCCTATATATATTGTCCTTCTAGATAAGGAACAAGAGATGGCCAAACTGAAGGAAATAAACAATATAGAAGGACATATATTTAAATGGGAAAGCTACAGGCCACTAAACAAGACCATCCAGTGCCACAAGTGCCTAAACTTCGGCCATACCTCGTACACGTGCGACATGCGGTATAGATGCATAAAATGCACGAATGTGCACCCACCGGGAGTGTGCACGAAGCCACCAACCGAGGATCCGAAATGCGTGAACTGCCAAGAAAACCACCCGGCTAACTATTCTAAATGCCCAGCTCTAATCAACTATAGAGCAAAAAGAGACAAAGATGCGCTTAAGAGAAATCCAGCATACAAGCCAGCGCCAACACCTGCGCCGCTGACGAGGAGCTTCTCGTCAGCCTTACAACCCACCAGCGATGGCCGTAACAACAGATCTGCGTTTCCTGAACTCCCGGTACCATCATCACCACGAACACAGCCGGCCTCCCAGTATCCATCGCCGAAGATCCAGCCAACACCAGAACCGATCCGGCCAGCATCCTCACGAATCCGGCCTACCACCAGCCAGTCCGATCCAGACCTGAGTACACCGGAGGGACTATTTACTGTTATGGGCGAGATCAGGAAGTTATTCGCGGATCCCGAGGTAAGACAAATTTTCAGTGAGCTTTATAAACTGACAAAGACATTGAACACAAATATGACTTACAATGACAAATACACAACCATACTTAACTTTTTAACGGCATGCCCATAAATCACGCACGCGACATACACATAATGTACTTCAACTCCAACGGACTCAAAAACAACGTAGACGAACTGAAACAGACCATAACAAAATATGACTTGGACATTGTACTAATTAACGAGACACACCTTAAACCCACGGACAGACTTTACATCAACAACTACAAAGTATACAGGAACGACAGACTGACAAACTCACGCGGATGGGGAGGCACTGCGATATTGATCAAGTCTTATATAAGACACGAGCAAGTGCCAAACCTGACAGCGGGCGGTTCTGAAATAACAACTATTAATGTATACAAAAGAGGTCAAAAAGTGACTATAATATCGATTTACATCCCGGCAAGCGGACTGCAACTGACGGACCTACAAAACCTACTTGACTCAAATACACACGTCTTAATGGCAGGAGACTTCAACGCGCAACATACATCCTGGAACTGCAACTACAACAACGCGAACGGAATCCGACTCTACGAATATCTGACGGAACACAACACCACGGACGCACAACTGCACTATCCTGACACGCCGACCAGATACGCCACCGTACAGACGCACCATCACAGCACGATCGACCTAGCCTTGACAAAAAATCTTCACATAACATCCGAACCCATAACTAGAACACTTTTCAACTCTGACCATAACCCTGTTTTTATGACTATCTCTGACAGACTCGACGTCGACAATACTCCAGAACGCAACATTTTGGATTATTCCAGAGCCAACTGGCCACTTTTTAGAGAAATTATTACAGACAATATACGACACACGATACCCATAGAGACCAATACAGACATAGAGGAGGCTGTGACACATCTGACACGGACGATCACGGACACCATCCAACACACAATACCGCTGCGACACGCAAATACATCCACATTTGACACGCTTCCTCAACAAATATTAGTAAAAATTAAATTAAAGAACAATATAAAGAAACTGTGGCAACGTACTGGTGACAGACTACTAAAGGAACACGTAAACAGACTGACAAAAATTATTCATAATGAGATACGTGAGCACCGGAATGACACTTGGACTAAAAAACTAGAAACCATCAACACTGACCCGCACAAAGTTTGGCAAACAGCCAAAAGACTGACGAGGAAAACAACACCTATCCCGCCACTCAAACTACCTGACAACAACTACGCCACGACACCAGCAGACAAAGCAGAAATTTTAGCAACACACTTTGAAAACATACACAGACAAAACGCCGACATGTCCAACGCAGACTTAAGACGAGACGTACGCAATTCTATTCAAAATTTTACTGAACAATTTAACGACAAAGACCTACGAATAGACCCTGCCACAGTTTCAGAAATAAAGTTGACAATCAGAAAACTACCGAACAGGAAAGCACCCGGACCGGACGGACTACAAAATATAATACTGAAACAACTACCAACGAACGCATACATACTAATCACACGACTGGTTAACCGTATAATGGCCAAAGGCCACTTTCCTGCTTCATGGAAAACATCGACCATATTTCCTATCCTGAAGCCGAGGAAACAGCCAGACTCTCCGCAAAATTACAGACCAATCAGCCTCCTCAATACAATGAGCAAAGTAACTGAAAAGGTACTACTCAAACGCATCAACAGACACATCAGACGAAACAAGATTATACCAGACACACAGTACGGCTTTAAGGAACAGCACTCTACGTTACATCCACTGACACAACTAATAGAAAACACTGTACTCAACTTCAATAGACGAAACCATACCGGATTGGTGTTGCTCGATTTCGAGAAGGCTTTTGACACCATCTGGATGGACGGACTGATACACAAATTCATAACCCTTAACTTTCCACCATACATCACAAAACTACTCCATTCTTACCTCGCTGACCGTAATTTCACAGTTCAAGTAGACAACACACCCTCGACGATTAAACAAGTGACGGCGGGAGTACCGCAGGGCTCGATCCTGGGACCGTCCTTGTTTAACGTCTACATCCACGACATGCCCACTGACGCCGACACAACACTGTTGACATTTGCTGACGACACTGCCATTTACAGATCATCACGTTCACCTACGCTACTGACTACAAAAATACAGAGACATATAGACGCCCTGACTGATTACACGAAAAAATGGCAAATTAAAATCAATCCTTCTAAAACAGAAGCAATTTTCTTTACAAAAAGCCGTTGGTCCATTACACTTACTGACTTGACGAAACTAAAGGTAATGGGCCATGAAGCTGAGTGGTCCAAGGAAGTCAAATACCTTGGCGTAACCTTGGACTATAGACTCAGCTTCACAAAACATACGAATACAAAAATTGGACAGGCTTACGGGATGATGAATCTACTGAGACCTCTTTTGAACCACAACAGCCCGCTAAGCGTGAAGAACAAGCGGACACTTTACTTGACACTGATAAGACCATTACTGACATACGCCGCTCCGGCATGGAACGCGACAACCAAGACCAACAGACGGAGACTACAAATAGCACAGAACAAAGCACTGCGACTGGTACTAGACAAATCAAGGAACCCACTGACGAGACACTACTACCCAACGAAATATTTACACGAACAGACGGACATACCGACCATACTCGAACACATAAAAAAGCTCACCGAGAATTTTTACCGAAAGTGTAGGGATCACGATAATAGTACCATCCGCGCGTTAGGCCAGTACACATCAGAAATGATCTGGTACGGGAACTATGCCATGCCTAACTACCTGATCGAGCCCGCAGTGAATACATAAGCCATAAAACAATGAATAAAGGATTTTTTTTAGGTGACAAAAATCGTCTCCTTTTTTTGTCCTTGCGAAATAATGAATAAAATATTGTACAAATACAAATATATAGACAATATTGTAAAACCACAAACTTTTGGGTAAAATACCCCCAGGGTAGACAAACCCACATATAATTCACTGTATTTTACACTGTATATATTGAATAAATTTTTATTTCTGTCTGTTCTGTCTGTCAGGGGAATTCACTTAAATCTTTAAGCTAGTGTTTGCAAACTATCGATAATATCATATTTTCTTTCATAAATTCTTTTTTGTGATATGAACATACTTCGCAAAAATTAAATTTGACAAAAAAAAAATTAAGTACATAAAATTTCAAATCGTGCTAAATGGAATAAAATCGTGTAAAAAAATTAAAAATATTCAATTTTCAAACCGTGTTATATCAAAACCGTGTACAAAAAGACAGTGTAAAAACAGACTTAGGTGTATAGTAATATAAACAAATTTTGAACAAATTTGTCTTATACATCATTCATATTAATCGAATGGTTTAAAAGTTACAAGAACTGCAGTAAATAAATGTATCTAATGTGCGCTTCTGAATTATATATTTGTCTAAGTTCAAATACAACTTTAAAGTACACTAAGTTGCTCTAGAGCATTTTGGTATTAGAAAACCTTGCTGATAATTTAATTTTAAACAAATCAGTCTTGAACATCATTCATATTAATCGAATGGTTTTGAAGTTATAAGAATTGAAGTATATAAATGTACTAAGGTGCACCCCTGATTTAATATAATCATTTAAGTTTAAAAACAATTTTAAGTTGTTGTACACTTAACGTTAAAGATACATTAATGCTACATTTTAAAACAGTGATGAGAATCCAACTATAACAAATATTACGTTACAGTTACGTAGAAATTGATAAATTACGTTACAGTTACGTAATAATTGAGAAATTAACGTTAAAAATAACTTACTGCTTACAAATGTTACGTTACAGTTACGTAATAATTGAGAAAGTAACGTTAAAAATACCTTACTGCTACATTTTTAAAACAGTGATGAAAATTTAACTGTAACAAATGTTACGTAACAGTTACGTAATAATTGAGAAATTAACGTTAAAGATACCTTACTGCTACATTTTTAAAACATTGATAACAATTTAACTGTAACAAATGTTACGTAACAGCTACGTAATATTTGACTAATTAGCGGCAAAGATACTTGCCGATACACTGCTACATTTTTAAAACTGTGACGAAAATTTACATCATTCATATTAATCGAATGGTTTTAAAGTTACAAGAGATGAAGTAAATAAATGTACAAATGTGTGCTCTTGAATTAATATGCATATCAATTTTCAAATACGCCTTTCAGGTATTAAGAATTGCTCTAGAACATTTTGTCGTGAGAAAACATTGTTGATAATTTAATTTTAAATAAATCTGTATTATACATCATTCATATTAATCGAATGGTTCAAAAGTTACAAGAGATTTAATAAATAAATGCATAAATTACACTAAAATGTATAATAAATATAGAATTTTCAAATACGCCTTTCAGGTATTAAGAATTGCTCTAGAACATTTTGTCGTGAGAAAACATTGTTGATAATTTAATTTTAAATAAATCTGTATTATACATCATTCATATTAATCGAATGGTTCAAAAGTTACAAGAGATTTAATAAATAAATGCATAAATTACACTAAAATGTATAATAAATATAGAATTTTCAAATACGCCTTTCAGGTATTAAGAATTGCTCTAGAACATTTTGTCGTGAGAAAACATTGTTGATAATTTAATTTTAAATAAATCTGTATTATACATCATTCATATTAATCGAATGGTTCAAAAGTTACAAGAGATTTAATAAATAAATGCATAAATTACACTAAAATGTATAATAAATATATATAAATATTATTTTTAATTACAACCAATTAAATAACTATTTTTCTTCCAGCTTCTATTTTCCCTTCGGCCTCATGGGGCAACTGGGGAACCCCCGGAGGCGCCGGAAGCCTCTACGCGCCCCCCAGTATGACGCACCACGTTGCGTCGCACGTTGCCTCACACCATCACCATCACTTGGGTTCGTATCCTCACTACGCAGCGTGACGACCGAAAGATGGCAGCTCCGACTTCATATCAGTCGGAGGGGGCTTTTCCCACAATGGAAACCTCGAAATTAGGAGCCCCCATGGCGGGGAGGAGAGAAAATGTGGTAATGAATAGGAAAAGGGATGGTAGGTACATGTTGCTTGAGGGGGTTGAGGAACGATTTGTTTTGGGTTAGTCGGTACAATTGGAGTTGGTAGCATGAGTCAAGTAAAATAAATGTATATCGTAGCCTTGAATTTGTAAAGTTTTACAAAAAATTTGTTTCACATCATCACCATCACATGTGTTCGTATCTTCACTACGCGAAAGCTGGCAGTTCCGACTTTATATCGGTCGGGGGGGGGGGGGGTTTCACAATGGGAACCTGAAATTTAGGAGCCCCCATGACGGAGAGGAGAGAAAATGTGGTACTAAATAAGAAAAATAATGATAGATGAAGTTGCTTGAGTTGTTTTGAGGGAATGATTCGTTTTGGGTTAGTTGGGACAATTGGTGTTGGTGGTATGAGCCAAGAATAGAAATTTTCTTTTTTTTTTTTTGCAAAATTTTTACAAATTCTAAGGTTTTTGAAGACCCTCTGACGAGTACATTTGTTTTGGTATAGTCTCAGATATTTAAATAATAGTTCGTGGAATTACCCTGCGTAGTTGAAGTGAAACTTCTTTATAACACATTTATTCTAACCATGTTAAAAGACGCATTAGAAGTTCCGCCAAAAAAGAAAATGATATGAATGAATGAAAAATATATTGTTTGAATAATATCGTCCCAAAATGTGTAAATAAATTAAAAAAATTGATATACATTTATTATTATACTCAGTGTATATATATATTTAACCAAATGTTACACCATATCACTAAACGTATGAGAATTTTTGTAAATGTATACATTCTCAAAAAAAAAAAATTAATTTCTGTTTATAGTGCAATATTGTATTTGGGAAAAAAAGTGACGTGTAACAACAATTAATTTTAAACAATCATTTTGATAATTAGTATCGTATGTGCCATATTGGTAAAATATAATTCGGGTTGAGTCTTTTATCACGTTAGTCGATGAGGATAAATGTGTAAATTGCATAATATTAATGTGTTAGTAATTAAATCTAGTCAGAAAATTTTAAAGTCACAAAAATATGTTTATAATTAATAGTAAACTCTTCTACAACGTGGTTTGAAACTTTGCTAGAATGTAAAAAGTTTTAGTCAAGTAACAGGTACGTACATACAACGTAACAAGCGTGTGATATAATATTATCATTTATTACGTTACTGTTTGTAACGAAACAAACGTTACGTTTCAGTTACGTAAAGATCGACAAATTGACGTTAAAGATACCTTACTGCTACATTTTTGAAACAGTGATGTTAATTTTACTGTAACAAATGTAACGTTACAGTTACGTAACAATTGAGAAGTTAACGTTAAAGATACCTTTCTGCTACATTTTTAAAACAATTACATAATAATTTATAAATTAACGTTAAAGACATCTTATTGCTACGTTTTTAAAACAGTGATTAACATTTGACTGTAACAAATGTTACGTTACAGTTACGCAATAATTGAAAAATTAATGTGAAAGATACAGTTACCTTTCTGCTACATTTTTAAAATAGTGATGAAAATTTAACTGTAACCATTGTTACGTTACAGTTACGTGATAATTGAGAAATTAACGCTAAAGATAACTCAGTGCTACATTTTTGAAGCAGTGATAAAAATTTAGCTGTAACAAATGTTATGTTAGAGTTACGTAATAATTCAGAAATTAACGTTAAATATACTTTACTCCTACATTTTTAAAACAGTGATGACAATTTAACAAATGTTACGTTATTTTGACGTAATAATTGAGGAATTAACGTTAAAGATACCTTTTTGCTACATGGCCTAAGAGTCTTTTTTATATATTAAGAGTCTTTTTTAGTCTTCTGTTTTATCATCCATGTTGTGGAAGAGTTATGAAGCCTCGGCTAATCGAAACTGTGATAGCAAAACTATTCCAAGTAAAAAAGGCTTTTTGTGTAAATATAAATAAATATATTGTAATATATATAATTATTAATATATTGTAATTATATATAAATTATATATATAATATTATAAAAGTAACTTATTATGTTTTAATATGAAAAATGTTTTAAAGACAAACTAAAGTCTTCTCACAAAGATTTTTGTGTACGAAACCATTTGTTTCTTGAAGACATTTTATATTTAATTTAAATACTAAAATTTTCTAAATTATTATTTATTTATTTTATTGTACAGTAAATTTATATTAAATGTAATATATATGATAGGAATATCCAGCATTAATGTAACAAAATAAAAACAAATATCAATGTGATTATCAAGTTTGTAAATAATGTTTAATTAGGAACGATATATTCTGATCCATTTAAAATTAAATTTTTAAAAGTTAGGATGGGTTCTAAAATGTCATTTTTTTTTGTAAGTAACACGAACGTAACATGTTAAGCACTTGTTACGTTCATGTTACTTACGCATCAGTAATACAAAGTTACTGTTGTTACGTAGCTGTTACGTTAATAACTATCACCTTTGTTTTTAATTACAGTAATTGTGAAAATACACATCATAGTATTTTATAAATTTCAAATTGTCTTGTAAATACTACTACTTGTTTTTGATATTATTTTTCTTAATTATTTACAAACTTGGAAATCATCTGTAAACTATAGTGAAATAATATTATAAATATTAATCTTGTAATTGTTGTAAAATGCTTTTATGTAAACGACACAATGATGAAAATGACGTTAATAGCAAAAATACAAAAAGTGACAAAAAAATATACCAAATAAAAATACCAAATCGATGTTATATTAAAAAGTTTTAAAAACGAAAAATAAATATATATTATAAACTATATTTTGTGTCTTTTATTATAGAAATATATACATACAGATTATGTAAAATACATATAAAATCATATAAACATTTATATCTAATTGAAATTGTATTAAAAGCAAAGTATATAATAATGTTTATTTATATAATTTTATATATTATTATAATATTATTTTAAATTTTAAAGTATATATTCTATTAGCGCCACAAGCGACTAATTTTGAAATTAATATATGGATGAAAGCTTTGCTAAATTGGTTTAGATAGTTGATAAATTCCACTTACACTTGGTTTCTTTATCATTAGCTGACGGCGCAATTGAATTAAATATTTAAATAAAATGACATAAAATATTATAGGGCTACGAAGTGAGATTTAATTATAATAATTCCAGTGGCGGATTAGACTTTCCGTCGCCCTAGGTCCTATCTGATTAGGTGCCCTTTTTAATAGACAAGATTTTTTGCCGTAAATCGACGTTTTCTCAAAAACGGCTGGACCGATTTGGAAAATTTAAAAGCCATTCGATGTATCTCGATGAGAACTATAGCGTTAATCAATTTTGCGTGACAATCAGCCAAGCCGTTTCTTTGTAAATCGCATAAAAGTGAAAAATTCTCGTCCACGGTTTAGTCCGCAATTCTGAATCGATTTTAAAAATTCGATAACCGTTCGAACGATATAGGTTGGGAATCGTGCTGATTTTTCTTGTAATAAAGTGTTAAAAAAATTTTTTGATGATTTTTATTATTATTTTTTTGACGGTAGATACCATAGTCATATAGATCATACTAAAATATTACGGCCCTACGATAACTCGTTTAGCTTCAAAAATTCGTCGAAATTTGCAAAAATTAGTATCGGTTTTTGAGCATTTGTCAAAATTAAGCCTTGGATCGACGTTTTCTCAAAAACCTTTTTCAGAAATTTAAAAGCCAATTGATGTATCTCGATGAGGATTATCGTTTCTCAGTTTTGTGCGACGATCAGCCGAGCCGTTTTCTTTGTAATTTGAAAAAAAGTGTTAAACTTTCAGTCCACATTTAAGCTCATACTACCGAATCGATTTCAAAAAATCAAAAAAAAAGTTTGAAAGATATTAGTTGGTAATGATAGTGATCAGTTTTAGGTGAAAATCTACCGAGCCGTTTTCTTGTAATTAACTGTTGAAAAAAAAATTTAGGCCGATTTTGATGGAATTTTTTTTAGCGATATATATCATGGTCTTATAGAACTTACTGAAATATTGCGTCCTTACGACAAGTAGTTTAATTTTAAAAATTCATCAAAATTTGAGAAAATGAGTAGTTTTTTTGACGTTAGCTAAAATTAAAATTGGACGATTTTACTTGGTATAACGTTAGAGTATTTGGTTTTAATGAACATATCAAGCCATTAAAGTCCTATGGAAACTGTTTCAATTATAACAATTGTTGATTTCTGAAAATTTACTTTTAGAAAATACTCCGCGTCAAAGTGTTCGTTCGTTTTCAATTATGTGTAATAAATCCACTCGGAATATTTTTAATCAATCATAAATTAATTTAGTTTTGATTGATTAGGTCAATTAATTACACATATCGGGAAGTTCATGTAACTTGCCTCAAGGCTAAATACCAATACCAACTAGTTTTAATATCAATATTAATTAAGCATAAGCAAACCAAGTTACCCTAGGCAATAATATTTGAATATTTGAAACTCTATCGAGGGTGTCATGATCTAGAAAATACATAAAAATTTTGTTTCAAACTAGTAAAATTTAGAAGGATTTTATGAAAATGTTTATTATTAACAAAGAATTAGAAGAAGCAGTCTTGAAAGATGACTTAAAAAATGTTAAAGCACTTTTGTCTGCAGGTGCTGATGCTAATATTAAAATAGGATGGGAAGAACAAACGTTACTTCATGCTACTAGTAGTGTAGAAATCACCAAAGAGCTTTTGTTGGGTGGTGCTGAAGTTAATGCAGAAGATAAGTATGGAAAAACTCCATTACATACTGCTATAACATCAGGGAAGAAATTAGAATTAGTCAGAGAGCTTCTGAAACACGGAGCTGATGTAAATGCAACATTCTCTGGAGGCCATACCGCACTGAGCTATGCTGTAGAAAAAAGCTTCTTTCCCAAAGCAAAAAGAGATCTGGGAGTAGTAAAAGAACTATTAGAATATGGAGCTGATATAGACCTGGTAGATGGTTCATCATTATTAGATTATGCTGAAAGTAATCTAGCATGCGCTCATTTGTTGGTTAAATTTACTTTATTAAGAAACTCTAATAAAATTATTGACTTATCTTCTTTAAAAGAAGGGAGTAGAACTACTTTCATATTATTATCATGGCATCAACATTTCTGTAATTATGAAATACTTCAAATGAAAACAGATGAAATTGAATATAGACTTCCACTATATGAATTAGTTACAAACAACTTCAACATACATAGTAATAAATTATCTGTAAGAGTAGCAAAATTTGATTATTACATGCGCTATCCTATATATAATGATGTCATATCAGAAAAGTTGAAACCGTTTGTGGAAAGAGCAGATTTGTTAAATAAGTTAAGTACAATACAATTTTATACTATATTAAATGTGGCTGATCAAGATGCCAAGGAAAAGAAAATTATTCTGGACCAAGATTCTACATACCATGTAACTGAATTTCTATCCAATGATAGCTTGTTAAATTTTATAGAAGCGTTTGATGATTCCAATGAACATTTCAATGTTACCACAATAATCTCAGGACTTTATGAAACTAATATAAGTAATGATGCCAAACATGCAAGATTAGAATGAATACATTTTTTGTCAGGATTAATGTATGGTTCAAAAAAGATGATACATGAGATATTAATATAATGCATATATTTAATATCATATAATGATCGTTTCAGTAAAAATAAAATATAAATTTAAAGGATTAATGTCTTTATATATTTTGAAAACAACAGCTTAGGGGCCGTTCAAGTACGAGGTGTGTTCAAAAAGTACCCGGAATTACTAATAATTAAATTTCGCGGGTCTGGAGCGTCTGATTGTCAAAATTTTTTTTTATTGTGTTGGTATACATGCCCCTAAAGTATGATGAAATTTTCAGCTATATTCACTGTTTACTTTGTCTGTGGTAGTCGCTAAGGTTCGACGTGTTTTTCTGAGCTCGGCGATTTTTACAATGGAAGAATTGAAAAGTCAAAGAATTTGTATTAAATTTTGCGTAAAAAATGAAATAAAGTGTTGCAAAGTGCAAAAATTCACCAGATATGGCTCCGTGTGACTTTTTCCTATTCCCAAAGTTGAAGAGACCCATGAAAGGACGGCGGTTTTCCTCGATTGAAGAAAATCGCTGAGAGTGCTCAAGGACATATAAAAAAGTGAATATCAAGGGTGCTTCGAAAATTGGAAAAAACGCTGGCATAAGTGTATTATATCTGGGGGGGACTACTTTGAAGGGGACCACATTAATGTAGACGAATAAATAAATATTTTTTTGAAAAAACGAAAATTCCGGGTACTTTTTGAACAGACCTCGTATTACGTAAGCCATGTAAGCACTATAGGGGGGGCGGGGAGATTGTTCATTTGCTTATTTTGGGTTGACATGGGGGGCAGGGGAGTCTGAATGATGATTACGTCATAGGTAGTATTTTTATTTCTTTACATTAATTGCAAAATGTTTACGTAAGCATGGGGGTAGTGGGTAAGAGTTTTGCTTACTTTTACTGTCAAGGGGGATGGGGGGGGTAAATAATTGTAATAAATCTGCTTACGTAATACTTGAACAATCCCTCATTTAATTAAAAGAAAATTATATTTTTTAGATATTTATAAATATTTGTCTCATACAAAATTAAATATTTGATATTTTTATGTTAAATGTAGTATTTATTATTTTATATAGAACAGAAATAGCTGTTCCAAAGGGGTTACAAAAAACCAAACGTCGTGAAAGCTTTTCGTTATGAAATTGCAGGATTAGTAGATTAGTCATCTCAAAAATATTTTATTAACAAACGTTGCTATTTTAATTCCCGTAGGGTAAGGTATTGTAATGGGCCGACGTTTGAAGGTTTCTGAACATTTTGGCATACCTCAGAAAAAATGGATGTGTGTGTGTATGTATGTATGGATACAAATTTCCAGTCATGTTTTCGGGCGCACGGATCAACCGATTTGAATGGTTCAAAAGACATTCGATTCCTATTGATAGGGAGATGAGCTGATTAGTTTTTGGCAAAGGCAGGTCCAGCAGTTACAGAGATAAAGAGCAAAGAGTGCAGCAAATAGAAATCGAATTTTTGAGAGAACGGAGCATCCGATTTGAATGTTCTAAAAAACATTCAATTAGTAATGATCGGGAGAAGTGTTTATCAGATTTTTTGCCTAAATCTGACATTTGCAGGCCCAGACATTTCGAAGATACGGAGCTAAATGTGCAAAAAATGGCAGTTTTTAAGAGAACTAAGAGTCCAATTTAAATGATTCAAAGAACTTTCTGCTTGTCTTAACAAAATAATCGATTTTGGAAAAAAAAATTGGTTTCACCTTTTTTTATCAAAAAACATTTTTTTGTATATTGAAAATAATTCAGATTTTATTTTTAATTCTGACTAAAATTCTAATATACTTTACATAAATAATTTCAACTTTGCAATTCAGTTTATATAATTCTTATAAATATTAGACAATGCTACAATATTTATAATGATCTATTTGAAAACATTCAGTATTCCTCGAACATTTCATAACGGTACGGGAAGTTCCAGCAATTTGCTTCAAGGCACGTTGCCATACACCCCACTAGTTTAATTATTAAGTTATGATTAAGTTTATAGAAATAATAAATAGAATAAATACTTTATAAAATTAGTTGTAAATTAAAAAACAGTAGTGTGTCAGAACCCTAAGCTCTATGTCGGCGTCCATTTTGTGTGCTTCGCCTTTATAAGTGTCATATCTAAATGACATCTGTCATTTGTCCTCTATGTTTATGCGTCAGCTAGAATAATTTTTGGTGCGAAAGTCGTGATAATATTTTTATCGATTTATGTGTTTAAAACAAACAATTGTCAATGAACTGAATACAAAAAACTTTAAACAAACATTGTGTTTAATTATTCGATTTTTAAAATATATGTGAAAGACTAAAACAAACAAAAAATTAATTAATCATGTGTGATGCCGCTCGAGCCCTCTTGGACGAACTTATGGGAAGGAATCGAAACGCCGATCCTACAGAAAAGAGGAAAGAATTAAATTGGGAGGACCCCGAGGTAAATAGACACATGATAATTAATCTATCCATTCACCCTTTAACCCCCCTTGTTTTTATTTCCAGTACTGCAAATACTTCATAGTCCGTTTCTGCCCCCACGACCTCTTCACAAACACCCGTGCAGATTTAGGGCTCTGCCCCAAAATCCACGACGAAGAAGCCAAAAAACTCTACAAAAACGCTAAACCAAGCCACAGAAAAACCTTCTACGAAGACGAATTTCTCAGATTCTGTCAAAACATGATCGGGGACGTTGATCGCAAGATTGTCAAAGGCAGACAAAGATTGGCTCTCATGAATAAATCCGATGGTGAAAAGATTACCCCGGCACAAACTAAACGCAATCAGGATCAGATCAATATGTTGACCGATAAGATTGCCCAGTTGGTGAGAGGGAGGCTGAAGCGGCAGGCACGAGAGGTGATGTTGAACAGGCGCAGGGGCTTATGAAGCTTTGCGATACGCTGAAGGAGGAAAAAGAAGGGTTGTTGAATCAGAATGATAATAGGTAATAATTGAGTTAATTAAAGATTATAGTTATTTCATAAATTTATTTATTTTTTCCATTTTTTTAAAAAAAAGTTATATATCAATATTATTTTTCTCAAAATATTTCATTTTTATAAAATGTTATACATTAATATTATTTTTTTAAATTATTTTAATATTCTTTATATTACAAAAAGTTATATTATTTTTTCTCATTTTTCTTGTTATTATTTTTTCAAAAATGTAGATTATTTCTTTTTCTCTACAATTATTTATTATTTACAAAATTATTACAACTTTTCTAAAATTATTCATTATTTTTATTATTTTTTCATAAAGTTATACCATCTTTAATTATTATTTTCAATTATTATTATCTAAAAAGTTAAATTATAATTCTTTTCTACAATTATTTATTATTTTTCTAAAAAGTTATACCAATTTTTTTTTTAATTATCTAAAAAGTTATTTATTACTATTTTTCTAGAATTGTTTATTTTTTATACTATCCAAAAAGTTATGTTATTTTTATTTCTCTAAATTTTTTTATTACTAGCTAAAAACTTATTTTTGGAGAAAAAATACTATTTTCTCTAAAAGATATATCATTCTTATTTTTTTTTAATCATTTATTATTATTATTTTTTATAAATAGTTATATTATTATTTCACAAATTATTTTTTTTATTTATTTTCCAAAAAGTTACATCATTTTTAGTTCTCTAAATCTATATTTTTCCAAAGAGTTATTAATTACTATTGTTATTACTTTTATATATATTTTTTTTAAAAAAATATGTTACATTTTATATTATAAACAGTTATATTATTTATCAAACTCTTGATTTAAATTATTTTTTTTTTATATTTTTTTATATATTTAAAAAAAATCTTATTTTACTAAATTTATCTGAAAAGTTATTTGTTATTATTTTTCTAAAATTGTTTGTAGTTTACTTTTCCAATGAGTTATATTATTATATTATATTATTATTATTATTATATTTTTTTCAAATTTTCTATCATCTAAAAAGTTAGTTTTTTTTTAATTTTTCATTATTTTTCCTAATAGATATTATTCTTATCTCTCTAAATTTATTTATTATTACCTGAAAAGTTATTTATTATTCTTTTCCTAAAATTGTTTATTTTTATTTATTTTTTCCAAAATGTTTTATCATTTTTATTTCTCTAAAACTATATTTATCTGAAAAGTTATTTATTACTATTTTTTTCAAAATAACTCATTGAGTGTTGAGTTATATTATCTTATTTTATCAAATTCATTTATTATTATCTAAAAAGTTTTTTTTTCTAAAATCTTTCATATTTTACTATTCCAAAAAGTTATATTATTTTTTTCTCTAAATTTTTTATTACTATCTAAAAAGTTATTTTTTAATTGTTTATTATTTTCCCTAAAAAATATATCGTTCTTATTTCTTCTTAATAATATCATTCTTAATTATTTATTTTTATCTTAAAAGTTATGTACTATTATTTTTTTAAAATTGTTTATTTTTTTTTTTTTTCAAAAAGTTATTCTTGTTTCTATAAAGTTATTCATTATTATATTTATAAAATAGTTTATTATTTTTTTTAAATTAAATTTCATCATTTTAAGTAAAACTAAAAAGTTATATCATTTTTATTTATCTGGAATTATTAATTATTACTTAAAAAATTATTATTATTATATCTCCGAAATTATTTATTATTATCTAAATAGTTATTTATTATTATTTTTGCAAAAGGTTTTATCATAAAGTTTTTTTTCCTAAATTTGTTAACTGTTATTTAAAAAGTTATCTTATTATTTTTTTAAAATTATTTATTCTTATTATTTTTTTAAAATTATTTATTCTTATTATTATTTTTCTAGAAAACTATCATTTATTTCTGTAAGTAATTTTGTATGTGCTGTTACCATGGGAATATTTTTATACTCCTACAAAATAACACACACAAAGTTGCAGATTTGCATTCTATCTTGGACAGCTTGATATCAAGCAGTAGTGTTATCACTTCTTTTTTGATAATATATTTGAATAAGATCTTTCAGGGCGTTGATAAATAATTATATATAACTATAAAAGTTTCAAGTTTGATACTCACTTCAGATGATCTTGAAAATTTCCTTGAAAATTTAGATTTATAAATATTTTGAAGTTTCAGACAGTTTTTGTCAAGTAGTAGTGATATCAGTTTTCACTTGAAAAATTTGATCTAAATATGAATTCAAGTGAAGAATGTCCTTTTGGGGAATTAATAAATGAGTATATGCTGTATTTCACATGGAAAATCATTGGGTTGCTTTCTGTAATGTCATTAGTGAATATAAGTTGATCACAACTGCTCATTGAAAAATTTTCTAAATTGTATTGAAAGTAAAATGTTTTTCAAAAATGTTTAGTACTTTCAGATTTATTTTTATTTATATCTATATCTTTACTGTTATTTTACAGCCATTGGAGTATGACAGCAGAGTTAGCAGCTGCACAAGAGAAACAAATGGAAGTGTGCACTATTTGTGGGGCCTTTTTGATTGTTGGAGATGCCCAACAGAGGATCGATGACCACTTAATGGGAAAACAACACTTGGGGTAAATAGAAAAATCATGTCTCTGATCCATACAGAGATATATTATAAACATAACCCTTTATTGGCTTAATAATAAGATATATGTGCATATTTATACTTTTGGAGTGCATTTTTTGTACAAAAGTCTAAAGAAGTTTTACTTCAAAAAATATAGGATTTGATTTTAGGGTATCTGGGGTATCATTTAAAAGGTTTTGAAGGGCAGAATACGTTTTTATATTTAAAAACGTGATAACAGATATTATTTATGAATTTTAGTAAACGAATCTAAAGAAGTTTCACTTCAAAAATTTAAGAATGTGCTTTTAGGGCATGTGAAGTATCGTTTGAAAGGTCTTGAAGAGTAGAATACGATTTTATAAATAAAAACCTAATAGATATTATCATTTATACTTTTATTATATCTTATATGAATTTTAGTAAACGAATCAAAAGAAGTTTTACTTCAAAAAATTTAGAACGTGTTTTTATGGCATGTGCGGTATCATTTAAAAGGTCTTGAAGAGTAGAATACGGTTTTATATATTAAAAACGTGATAATAGATATTATTTATTGCATTTTTTATGAATTTTAGTAAACAAATCTAAAGAAGTTTTACTTCAAAAAGTTAAGAATGTGATTTTATGGCATGTGGGGTATCATTTAAAAGGTCTTGAAGAGTAGAATACGATTTTATATATAAACATGTGATAATATTTATTATTTATAGCATTTTTTATGAATTCCATTAAACGAATCTATAGAAGTTTCACTTCAAAAAAATTTGAATGTGCTTTTATGGCATGTAGGGTATCATCTTAAAGTTTTTGAAGAGTAGAACAAGATTTTATATATAAAAACGTGATAATAGATATTATTTTATTGCATATTTTATGAATTTTAGTAAACGAATCTAAAGAAGTTTTACTTCAAAAAATTTAGAATGTGCTTTTATGGCATGTGAGGTATCATTTAAAAGATCTTGAAGAGTAGAATACCATTTTATATATAAATACGTGATAATAGATACTATTTATTGCATTTTTTATGAATTTTAGTAAATGAATCTAAAGAAGTTTTACTTCAGAATATTTCGAATGCGCTTTTATGGCATGTGGGGTATCATTTAAAAGGTCTTGAAGAGCAGAATACGATTTTATATATAAAAACGTCATAATAGATATTATTTATTGCATCTTTTATGAATTTTAGTAAATGAATCTAAAGAAGTTTTACTTCAAACAGTTAAGAATGTGCTTTTATGGCATGTGGGGTATCATTTAAAAGGTCTGAATAGTAGAATACGATTTGATATATAAAAACGTGATAATAGATATTATTTATTTAATTTTTTATGAATTTTAGTAAACAAATCTAAAGAAGTTTTACTTCAGAATATTTAGAACGCGCTTTTATGGCCTGTGGGCTATCATTTAAAAGGTCTTGAAGAGTAGAATACGATTTTATATATAAAAACGTGATAATAAATATTATTATTGCTTTTTTATGAACTTTAGTAAACGAATCTAAAAAAGTTTTACTTCAAAAAGTTAAGAATGTGCTTTGATGGCATGTGGGGTATCATTTAAAAGGTCTTGAAGAGAGGTATACGATTTTGTATATAAAAACGTTATAATAGATATTAATTATTGCATAATTAAATATTGCATCTTTTATGAATTTTAGTAAACAAATCTAAAGAAGTTTTACTTCAAAAATTTTAGAATGTGCTTTTATGACATGTGAGGTTTTATTTAAAAGGTCTTGAAGAGTAGAATACGATTTTATAAACAAAAATGTAATAGATCTCATCATTTATACGTTTTTTGCATATTTTATGAATTTTAGCAAACAAATCTAAGGAAGTTTTACTTCAAAAAATTTAGAATGTGCTTTTATGCCATGTAGGGTATCATTTAAAAGGTCTTGAAGAGTAGAATACGATTTTATATATAAAAACGTGATAATAAATATTACCATTATACATTTGAGTTTTAGTTAACAAATCTGAAGAAGTTTTACTTAAAAAAAATGTAGAATGTGTTTTCATGGCATGTGGGGTATCATTTGAAAGTTCTTGAAGAAGCAAATGTGAAATATGTGATAAATTTTCATTTGCTGTAAAAATGTCACCCATTTTTTTAATTTTTAAGTTTGAGTCTAAAAAAGCTTCACTTCAATGTATGTACAAAGTGTGAATTTAATTATTATTATTACTATTATTATTATTATTATTATTATTTAGGTATGCTCGCCTTCGTGAAGCTGTTGAAGAATTGACTGAGGAGCGTAAAAAGGAGAGAGAGTCTTTAAGAGAGAAAGAAAGAGAGAGAAGGAAACGAGATGAAGAAAAGGACACAAGAAGGCGAAAGGAAAAGGAGAGGTCTAGAGAGAAGGAGAGAGATGATAGAAAAAGAGACAGGTAATAAAATATAATTATTTATAAATATATTATAATAATGTTATTAATAAATAAAAAAAAGTTAATCGTTTTTATTAAAGCCTTTTTTGTGATTAATTTGATTGTGTTTATTATTTAGGTCCGATAGAGATGACAAGAAAAGGAATAATCGTGAGAAGCGTGATGACTATGAGAGAGAGAGGGACAGGAGTCGGAGAGATTACAAGTCTGAACGAAGTAAGTCACTAGTCTTACCTAAATCTTTGTATAAAAAATCCAATTTGTCAAAAATTTGCGCTTTTATTACATTTATACTAAGCGAGCCTAATGAAGTTTTACTTCAAAAAATTTTGATTGTGTTTTTATAGCTTGTGGGGTATCATTTGAAAGGTCTTGAAGAGTATAATACGATTTTATAAGTAAAAACGTGATAAATACTACTATGTTACAATATCAAAACAATACATTAAATTTTATTTCAAAGCATATTAAAATGTTTAAGCTTTGAGTAATATTAGACATCAATTTTAAGTTTTACTGTAAATATTGTCTCAAATATGACACGATTTGTAAAAAATATACACTTTCATTCCATTTTTAGTATGCAAGTATAAAGAAGTTTTACTTCAAAAAATTTAAATAGTGTTTTTATAGCTTGTGGGGTATCATTTAAAAGGTCTTGTAGAGTACAATACGATTTTATAAGTAAAAACGTGATAAATACGAATATGTTACAATATTAAAATATTAAATTTTATTTCACAGCATATTGAATTTTTTAAGCTTTTAGTAACACTAGACATCAGTTTTCAGTCTTACTTTAAATTTAGTATCAAATACTAACATTCATACCATAATTTGTAAAAAAAATATACACTTTTATTCTATTTTTAGTATACTAGTCTAAAGAAGTTTTACTTCAAAAAATTTTGATTATGTTTTTGTGGCTTGTGAGGTATCATTTGAAAGGTCTTGAAGAGTATAATACGATTTTATACATAAAAATGTGATAATTACGACCATGTTTCAATATTAAATCAATAATAAATTTTATTTCAAAGAATATTAAAATGTTTAAGCTTTTAGTCATATTAGACATCAGTTTTGAGTTATATTGTAAATATTGTCTCAAATAGGACATGATTTGTAGAAAATATACACTTTTATTCCATTTTTAGAATACTAGTATAAAGAAGTTTCACTTCAAATATTTAAATAATGTTTTTACAGCTTGTGGGGTATCATTTGAAAGGTCTTGAAGAGTATAATACGATATTATATATAAAAACATGATAAATACGACCATGTTATAATATTAAAACAATATTAAATTTTATTTGAAAGCATATTAAAATGTTTTAACTTTCAGTCATATTAGACATCAGTTATTGGTTTTACTTTAAATATTATCTCAAATACTGAAATTAATGACATGATTTGTAAAAATATACACTTTTACTCCATTTTTAAAATACTAGTCTGAAGAAGTTTTACTTCAAAAAGTTTTGAGTGCGTTTTTATAGTTTGTGGGGTATCATTTGAAAGGTCTTGAAGAGTAGAACACGATTTTATAAGTTAAAACGTGATAAATACGTCCATGTTATATTATTAAAACACAACATTAAATATTATTTCAAAGCATTTTAAAATGTTTTTAATGAGATTTGAGTCATATTAGGCATCAGTTTTGAGTTTTTATAGAATATTGTCTGAAATACGACACGATTTGTTAAAAATATACACTTTTATTCCATATTTAGTATACTAGTCTAAAGAAGTTTTACTTCAAAAATTTATAGCTTGTGGGGTATCATTTGAAAGGTCTTGGAGAGTATAATACGATTTTATATATAAAAACGTGATAAATACGGCCATGCTACAAAATTAAAACAATATTAAATTTTATTTTAAAGCTTATTAAAATTTTTAAGGTTTGAGTCATACATATACATCAGTTTTGAGTTTTACTGTAAATATTGTCTCGAATACGACAGGATTTACAAAAAATATACACTTTTATTATATTTTTATTATACCAGTCTAAAGAAGTTTTACTTTAAAAAAATTTAAATAGTGTTTTTATAGCTTGTGGGGTATCATTTGAAAGGCCTTTAGGAGTGTAATACGATTTTATATATATAAAATTGTAATAAATACGATCAGGTTTCAATATTAAAATACTAAATTTTATTTCAAAGCTTATTAAAATGTTTGAGCGTTGAGTCATACTTAGACATCAGTTTTGAGTTTTACTTTAAATATTGTCTCAAATACGACACGATTTGTAAAAAACACTTTTATTTCATTTTTAGTATACTAGTCTAAAGAAGTTTTACTTAAAAAAATTTAAATAGTCTTTTAAATAGTTATGTGGTGCTATTTGAAAGTCTTCAAGAGTAGTATGTGAATTTGGTGATAATTTTAATTCATGGTAAGAAGTGTCAAGGGATTTTAAACTCTTTAGTTATGTCTAAAGAAGTTTTACTTCAAAAAATTAAATATTTGTGCTTTGTGGCATGTGGGGTATCGTTTAAAAGGTCTTTTGGAATATAATATGAATACTGATTTAAAAATTTAAATATTTCAACTTTATTTTTTTACATTTTTGAACATTTATTGCATTTTTTATGAATATTAGTAAACAAGTCTAAAGCAGTTCAACTTCAAAAAATTTAGAATGTGTTTCTATGGTATGTGGGGTATCGTTTCAAAGATCTTGAAGAGCAGAATACGATTTTATAAATAAAAACGTGATAAACGAATCTAAAGAAGTTTTACTTCAAAAAGTTAAGAACGCGTTTTTGTGGCATGTGGGGTATCGTTTGAAAGGTCTTGAAAAGTAGAATACGGTTTTATAAATAAAAACGTAATTGATGTTATCATTAATATGTGTTTTGCATCTTTTATGAATTTTAGTAAACGAATCTAAAGAAGTTTTACTTCTAAAAAATTCGAATGTCTTTTGATGGCATATGGGGTATTGTTTCAAAGGTCTAGAAGAGTAGAATACGATTTTATAAATAAAAACATGATGCTAGTTCTATTTACACTTTTATTGCATTTTTTATAAAGCTGTGGTAAACGAATCTAAAGAAGTTCTACTTCAAAAATGGGGTATCGTTTCGAGGGTCTTGAAGAGTAGAATACGATTTTATAAATAAAAACAAGATACAAATTATTGTTTACACTTATATTACATTTATTATAAAATTGTAGTAAACGAATCTAAAGAAGTTTTACTTCAAATTATACAAAGTATGTGTTTATGAGATGAGAACCCCTCTCATCCCATAGCCATACATTTACACTTTTATTGCATTTTTTATGAAATTGTAGTAAACGAATCTAAAGAAGTTTTACTTCAAAAAATTTAGAATATGTTTTTATGGCATGCGGGGTATCATTTAAAAGGTCTTGAAAATTAGAATACGATTTTATAAATAAAAACAGATACAAACTATTATTTACACTTTTATTGCATTTTGAATAAAATTGGAGTACACAAATATAAAGAAGTTTCACTGCAAAAAAATTAGTATTTCTTTTTATTGCATGTGGGGTATTGTTTGAAAGGTCTTGATAATTAGAATACGGTTTTATGACTAAAAACATGGTGCAAATTATTATTTACACTTATGGAGCAAGTTTTTATAAATTTGTAATAAATGAATCTAAAAAAGTTTTACTTCAAAAAATTTAGAATGTGTTTTTATGGCATGTGGGGTATCGTTTCAAAGGTCTCGAAGAGCAGAAAACGATTTTATAAATAAAAACATGATACAAAACTATTATTTAAAAGACTATTAATTTAAAGTATTATTTAAAGAAGTTTTACTTCTAAAAGTTAAAAATGTGCTTTTATGGCATGTGGGGTATCATTTTAAAGGTCTTGAAGAGTAGAATACGAATTCATAAATAAAAACGTAATAAATGTAATCATTTATACGTTTATTGCATCTTTTATAAATTTTAGTAAACGAATTTAAAGAAGTGTTACTTCAAAAAGTTTAGAATGTGTTTTTATGGCATGTGGGGTATCATTTCAAAGGTCTTGAGGAGTAGAATACATCTAGTTTAATTTATCAATAATTTAATATTCTATTATTAATTTATCTCTTTTTCCTCAGGTTCATCCCATCGAGAGCGCCATAGAAGTCGCAGCAAAACACGTCACCACTAAGAATCTCCTTCGTCTCCGTTGTTGTCCTCCTGTAGATACTCCAGCACCACTTCTTTTTCTTCTTTGCCGATTTGCCTGGAACCTTCAAATTAACTTTAGTAAGAGACCCACCTACCAGGTAAGTGTCCGAAAACTGGTTTTACATCAGTTTTCTTTTTTTTTTGTACTTTATTCATTACAGATTAAATCATATTCAGGTTAGTCTTTCCAAAACGTTTATATAAGGGTTTCTAATTGTTATAATTTAATTTTAAGCTAAGGATTGGGGGAGTAAGACTTTTGGTGCCAGCTTTCGTTTTCTTAATCCAACAGGGTAAAAGAAATTTAAAACGTTTTTCTTGTGATAGAAATATTTAAAAGTTGTTGATAATGATCCAGTACCACTTTTTGGTAGTTCAAGTTTTTAAAGTTTTAAATTTCTATTAAGGGTAACTCTCTTTGCGTCGTTTTGTTTTGCTTTTTTATTTTAGTAGATTACTGATTATTAAAAATTTTCAAAAAGATTTTAAAAATTGAGTTGTTTTGGGTTCGAGCCATTTCTTTTTCCTTTGTTTTTGAATGAACAACTACAATTGCTTTTTCCTTGCTAATGAAGAAGGTGACAGTGACCAGAATTTAAATCCAACGACATGTTATATTGACAATGTATCGTAATAACTATACATTATTTTTAAATGGCAGAAGATGGAGATTTGAGGTGTTTTATGGGAGCTACAAATATCAATTGCTATAACACAATTTTATGTTAAAAATAAAAACAATTTTAGAGAATGCAGAATATTTTTACACAATTTACAAAATTCTCAGACAATCTGTAAAATTTTCAGATAATCTACAACATTTTCAGACGATTCCTAACATTTTCAGACAATTCATTACATTTTCAGACAATCTACAGTATTTTCATACAATTTACATTTTCAGACTAATACTGCTACATTTTCAGACAGTTTACACCATTTTCAGAGAATTTTGATCATTTTAAGACAATTTTCAACGATTTTAGACAATCTATATTTTCAGACAGTCTGCAACGTAATCATACAGTCTACAACATTCAAAAACAATCGACAATGTTTAATGTTTGTTTCTGTTTAATTCATCATTTTAAGATCTGTAACATTTTTTAACAATCCATAGTATTTTCACACAATTTATAACATTTTCTGACAATATTGATCATTTTAAGTCCATTTCGATCATTTTCAGACAATCTACAACATTCACAAAAAATCTACAATGTTTAATGTGTTTTTGTGTTTAATTCAGACAATTTTAATCATTTTAAGATGGCCTAAAATAAAACATCCAAACAATTTGGATCATTTTAAGGCAATTTTGATAATTTTAAGACAATATTGATTATTTTAAGACAATTTACAACGATTTTAGACAATCTACATTTTCAGACAATCTACAACAATCTGCAATGTTTATTGTTTGTTTTAGTTTAGTTTAAACATATATCTGAAACATCTTTAGATAATCTACAACGTTTTCAGACAATCTAAAGTATTTTCATACCATTTACAACATTATAAGATAAAACACAACGATTTTAGACAATCTACATTTTCAGACACTCTGCAACATTTTAAGACAATCTTCTTTTTCAGACAGTCTGCAACGTTTTCAGACAATAAATAACATTCTCAGATAATTTACAACATTTTCATACAAACTACATTATTTACAGACTAATTGCAACATTTTCAGACAATCTCACAACATTTTCAGACACATTTAATAATTTTAAGACAATATACAACGATTATCAGACAATCTACAACATTTTCAGAGAATACATAACATTTTCTAACGTATTTCTAATCTACAGTATTTTCATACAATTCACAATATTGTCAAGACAATCTACATTTTCAGACAAACTACAACATTCTCTGACGTTCTACAACGTTTTCAGACAATCTACAGTAATAATTACAATCTACAATAATAATAATAATAAAATAATTTACAACATTTTCAAACAATCCACAATGTTTGCAGACTAATTGCAATATTTTCAGACAAATTTAATCATCTTAGGACAATATACAACGATTATCAGGCAATTCTTAACATTTTCAGAGATGTTATAACATTTTCACACAATCTACAGTATTTTCATACTATTCACAACATTTTATGACAATCTACATTTTCAGTCAATCGACAACATTCTCAGACGATCTAAAACTTTTTCAGATAATTTAAAACATTTTCAGATAATCTACAATGTTTTCAAACTATCTGCAACATTTTCAGGCAATCTTACAATATCTTTAGACAAATGTAATCATTTTAAGACAATATACAACGATTATCAAACAATCTACAACATTTTTAGACAATTTACAAGATTTTCAGACAAGCTACAAGATTTTCAGACAAGCTACAAGATTTTCAGACAAGCTACAAGATTTTCAGACAAGCTACAAGATTTTCAGACAACCTACAAATTTTCAGACAACCTACAAGAATTTCTGATAACTTACAAGAATTTCAGACTATCTACTACATTTTCAGACTATCAGCTTATTCTTGGACAATTTACAACATTTTTAGACACTATCTTATATAACACGTATGATGGTGATGGTACAAGTTTGGTTCTTATCTTTCGGAAGTTTGAAAAAAAGCAGAACAAAAAAATGCAAAGCGAGATACCTTAATGAAAGTAATTTACCAATTGATTTTATAATGTTTTTTTTATTTGTTTCTCTGGTGGATGAGGAAAACATTGGTATGCACCACAAGCTTGAATAAAAAAACAACAACAAAATTAATATAATTTTAGTCATGTGTTAGTTTTGCAGCCACAAAAAAAATGTGTGCGTCACTCCACGATTCAATTTAGTCACACGAGATTACGATATTGGATAGACATGTGTTTTTGAGGTATTTATGTACATTAAACCTTGAACCTTTAACTTTTTAACAATCCACCTTGATCAAAATCTGATGATGATAATAATAATATTTTGTTTTAAGTATTCAAAACCAAAAACCAAATCCCGGTTGGTTACGTTTGTAAAAAGGTTTACAGTTGGGGGCATATTTGTTAATGCCAATGATTGAAATGACATTTTGTTTATATTGTATATATAAGACTTTGGTGTTAAGACGTTGTTTATGGATGATGGTTGGTTTACACTCTCGACATGATTGAGGTATTTATTCATACATTTGTTCACATCCATTGCAAGATGGTTTTTATTGCAGGCGAAGGGATGTGGAGGCCCATTTGATATACCTAAAACCATCCTTGTCTCCTCTCACTTCAACTAAGATTTAAAGACTACACTTAGATAAGTTCTAGGGTTACTCCTAAAATTAAAAGCCAGAATATTGTCAAACATAAAGTATAGAATTTTTAGTAGTTTTATTTGCAAGATCTTCTTAGGTTGATCCATAAATTAAGATGTCTTTGTTAGACAGCAGTGTTCATTTTTCATCAAATAAATCAATTTGGTCTTCGCTTAAGTAAAATGTTTTCTAACTACAAATATCCAAAATTTTCTAATTTCACAGGTCCAATTAAAATGCCAATGTTCATAACTTGAAATTTTCAATAACATGCATTTATATCTTAAAATGTTTTGTAAAGTTAGGTGCATTTCGAAAATTTTTTATTTTCATGCTTTCAAATTTTAAAATTGCGTCACTTAAGCGGTTGAATCCATTTTTTTGTGATTAAATTTTTTTTTCATTCTAAAAGAAAATATATCATACTCTGCTTTTTTATGCGTCTAAATTTCTCTAAATATTCCATTTTCTGCGTCCAAATAAATAATTATTTCAATAATGTCCGTCCAAATACTAAAATCACAGCAATGGTGCGTCCAAATTTTTAAATTCATAATTATAGGTTTAAATGTTAAAATTTTCAATGTCAGGCGCTCAACTGTGATTTTTTTTATTGTTATGTGCGTCTAATTTTGAAATCGTATTAATTTCCTGCGTCCATATAAATAAATATTTCAATAATACGCGTCCAAATATTAAAATCACAACAATCGTGCGTCTAAATTTCAAACTTATGAGTTTAGATGTTCAAATTTTAATTTTTTTACCGTTATCCATTCAAATGTTAAAATTTCTAACGTTAGTCGTTCAAATCGGAATTTGTTTATTATTATATGCATCTAATTATTAAATCATATTTATTTTCTGCGTCCAAGTAAATAAGTATTTCAATAAAAATTAAAATAAAATTTCCAACGTTAGGCGTCCAAATCTTAAATTTTTGAATGTTATATGTGTCTAATTAACAAGTCATATTCATTTTCTGCGTCCAAATAAATAAATATTTTCATAATATGCGTCCAAATATTATCTTCACAGCAATCGTGCGTCCAAATTTTAAAATTTTAAAATTTACAAGTTTAGGTGTTCAAATCTCAATATTTATAAATCAATTTATCCCGAACTTGAAATTTTTACCTTAATGCGTTCAAATGGTAAAATTTTCAGTGTTAGGCATCCAAATCTTAAATTATTAAATGTTATATGCGTCTAATTATCAAATGTTTCGGTTTTACGCGTTCAAATCCTTGAATTTTTCAGTTTTTTTGCCTCCAAATTTTAAAATGATCAAATCTAGGCGTTTAAATTGAAATATATTTCGTCTTTTGGACGTCCAAATATCAAAATATGCGGGTTTGCGTGACCATATCCTTACATTTTCACTTTTATGCTTCCAAAGCGTTAAAGTGTGCAATTTTATGCGTCCAGGTATTAAATTTTTCGCAATTACGCTTCTTAATCCTCAAATTTCGTAGTTTTATGCGTCCAAATATCAATTTTCTTCTTTTTAGCGGCCAAACTTTAAAATTTAGTTTTATGCTTACAAGTGTTAGTTTTGAATATAAATTTCACTTCTATGCGCCCAAATATTAAAATTTCTAGATTTATGTAACTAATTCTCAAAATTTTATTTCAAAATGCGTAGTTCTGAACTTTTTTAGTTATATACTTACAAGTCTTAATTTTGGACATAAATGTCATTTCTATGCGCTCAAATATAAAAATTTCTAGATTTATGTAACCAATTCTCAAAATGTTCGGTTTTATGCGCCTAAAGACTAAAATTTTTTGCGACCAATTTTTTAAATTTTCAATGAGATGACTAGATATTAACATATTGAACAAGATTTGAATGTCCAAATCTTAAAAAATTGAATTCAGATATTCAAATCTTAAAATTCTTAGTGTAATAGTGAATTAATCGTGTAACGTCCAGATCTCAAAATGTTGAATATTGGACATCAAAATGTTGACTTTTAGACTTTCAAATGAAAAGCTGAGTGTAAATGTTAAGAGTTGCATTTGGTCGCTTTCGTAAGGATTCACATTCGCTTATGCTTACAATATCACCACTTTTCATAAGCCTATAATATTTTAGGATGGTCTTTAAGACCATGAACTTTATCACTAACTAATCAGCACGACTACCAACTGATATTTTTAATATACGACTGAAGTTTGCTTATTACTAGCAGAAAAGTTTCTTTAGGCAGACAAATCCAAAATATTGGTCCAAATCCAGCTTTTTTCCATCTTGACCTCAGTTTTATGCATGCAACTATTAAATGTTTCAACTTCATGCGCCTCAATCTCAATCTATACCTCTACCTCTACAAATCCTTAGAACTTGTAGGAACTTAGACATCTTTGTTTTCTTGTGGAACCAAATTTGCACCACATCAAAGACAAAAATATGTTTTTGAAGTTTAGGGTTCATGCTCCTCAATCTCAATCTATACACCTCTACTTCCACAAATCCTTAGAACCTGCAGGAACTTAGACATCCTTGTTTTCTTGTGGTACCAAAGTTGCACCATGTTTCAATCAAAGACAAATATATTTTTGAAGTTTAGGGTTCATGCTCCTCAATCTCAATCTTTACACCTCTACCCCCACAAATCCTTACAACCTGCAAAAATTTAGACATCCTTGTTTTTTGTGGAACCAAAGTTGCACCATATTTCAACCAAAGACAAAAATATATTTATGAAGTTTAGATCTCCTCAGATCGCTTCGCCTGCACAACATGTACCTGATGAAGAAGAATGTATATTTTAGTAATAAATTAGTTACAATTTACTAACGCAAGCTTTTTTATTATAAATATGCATTATACTTCATCTGTCTTCAAGGATCATCTGTCATTTTAGATGTGTGTCTTTGAATGCTCTACTCTTTGCAGTGCTATACAGGTTTGCAGTCTAATCTAACAATTAACCATCGATTCCAACTATTCCATCTATTCTGGAATCGATCTCTATCTTGATCTGTCTCTGATCTGTGAATGACTGGTGCTGCAATCAATGGACAATAAACTCACTCCTACACATTCGATAAGGTGATACTATTAATTTACAATGTTGTAAATATATTAATTGTAGTTTTGTTTCTTTTTGGTATTAAATGTAATGAAATAATTCTTTTCTGTACGAATGAACATTTTAGCATCGTTTGATTTTGTTTTTTTGATGTTAGAGGATAAGAATAAATTGTGTGGTAAAATATTGAGGTGTTTTATTTGATGAGGAACATGAATTCTTTTCCAGTTGATTTATTACTGTTTTAGTTTATAGTAAAATTGATTTGGATGAAACCAAAGGATGTGTTAAGTGATTGTTATTTTTGTTTGGCCCAAAATCATTGTTGGAAATCCAAACATGACAACAATCCAGGAAAGGTCTCCTGGTTGAAGATAATTTTAGATGCCTTCTTCTGTGCCACAAACCACCTTTGCCAACTCAGTCATTGCTCAAAATCTAAAGACTAGTACATACCAGGAAGAGTCTCTTGGCTAAATATAGTTTTGGATGCTTTCTTCTTCAGCCAAGAGTCTCTTCATATGTAATGCCAAACTGCCTAACCAACGTTATTGTTCAAAATCTAAAGACAAGTACATACCAGAAAGTGTGTCTTGGTTGAAAATAATTTTGGATGACTTCTTCTGCAGGCAAGAGTTTCTTCATACATAATGCTAAACCGCCTGTAACAACTAAAAGTCATTGCTCAAAATCCAAAGACAAATACAAACCAGGAAGAGGATATCTTGTTTGAATATAATTTTGGATGCTCAGCCAAGAGTGTCTTCATACTTAATGCCCAACCGCCTGTGCCAACTCAAAGTGAATGCTCAAAATCTAAAGACAAGTACATACCAGAAAGGATGTCTTGGTTGAATATAATTTTGGATGTTGTCTTCTGTGCCAAACCGCCCGTGCCAACTAAAAGTCATTGCTGGAAATCTAAAGACAAGTTCAATCTGGAAAGGGTCTCTTGGCTGACCATAATTTTGGATTTCTTCTTCTTCAGCCAAAAGCAGTCTCTTCATACATAATGCCAAACCATCTGTGCCAACTCAAAGTGATTGCTCAATATCTAAAGACGAATACAATCCAGGAAGGATCTTTTGGATGAATATGTTTTTGGATGCCTTCTTCAGCCAAGAGTCTCATTACAATAAATGCAAAATATTATTATTACTGCTGCACAGCAATCGTGCGTCCAAATTTTAAAATTTACAAGTTTAGGTGTTCAAATCTCAATATTTATAAATCAATTTATCCCGAACTTGAAATTTTTACCTTAATGCGTTCAAATGGTAAAATTTTCAGTGTTAGGCATCCAAATCTTAAATTATTAAATGTTATATGCGTCTAATTATCAAATGTTTCGGTTTTACGCGTTCAAATCCTTGAATTTTTCAGTTTTTTTGCCTCCAAATTTTAAAATGATCAAATCTAGGCGTTTAAATTGAAATATATTTCGTCTTTTGGACGTCATAATTTTGGATGTTGTCTTCTGTGCCAAACCGCCCGTGCCAACTAAAAGTCATTGCTGGAAATCTAAAGACAAGTTCAATCTGGAAAGGGTCTCTTGGCTGACCATAATTTTGGATTTCTTCTTCTTCAGCCAAAAGCAGTCTCTTCATACATAATGCCAAACCATCTGTGCCAACTCAAAGTGATTGCTCAATATCTAAAGACGAATACAATCCAGGAAGGATCTTTTGGATGAATATGTTTTTGGATGCCTTCTTCAGCCAAGAGTCTCATTACAATAAATGCAAAATATTATTATTACTGCTGCTCAATATTCTTATGAATTGTGAGTAAACAGTTTTAGTTCAAGTAAGATTTACTTTTAATAATTAAATATTATCTTTAGACAAAAACAAAAATGGTAGACTGACTTTTGTGTAAATGATTTGTAGTCTTTAAATGTCTTTAGGACATTTAATTTGCAATGGATATAACATTAATACAGCTGCTGTTGATTTAATTGTCATAATTACTAATTTAAACTAGTTAGTTCTAAATCAACTAAATTATTTTTTTATTTATTTTCAAAAATATTTTAGAGTTTAAATTTTGGAAATAACAAAAATGGCAGACTAACCAATTTTGTATAAATGATTTATTGTCTTTAGACATTTCATTGATAATAAATGTAGTAATACTGCTGCTGTTATATTTTTATTTATTAGTTGCAAATAATTAGTTGATAATCAACAAAAATATTCTTTAATTAAATTTGTACTATTGACAACAACAAAAATGGCGATTGTCTTTTGTATAAATAATTTTTTGTCGAACAATATTAATTTATTAAATAAAAATAAAAACTAAAATACATATCAATTTCGATAATAATAATAAATAATATTTTATTTCATTCATATACTGGATAATGTTTGAAGTGAAATTTCTTTAGGCGCGACTACGATGTAAATCCGTACAAATGCAACGGAAAAAGCGTTACGGTCGATTGTGATCGTTCGTCATGTCGCGTGAGTATGATTTCTTTGATTGTATAGTGAAAATAATAAAACAAATTTTTATAGGCAAGACAGTTATTAAAGCTGCTCATAGAATGAGATTAATTTTAGTTACATGAAGTTTTTCAAAGACAATTACATGGTGAGTGAATTTGTGAAAACTATATTTATTTAGGAGTTGCTTAACATAATAATTCTCTACATTTTTATAGATATTAAAAAATATTAAAGCATTACAGCTTTATTTTATCATGCCGAATATATATCTTTTTTAGAATTATATCTCAAACACTTTTGGAAGTTTAGAGGAAGTCTACATGTTTTTCGATCATGATGGCTATTAAGTATTACAAAGTTGCATATTTTTATAAATAATGAAGAATAAATTGATATTCAGATTTAATATCTTAAACAAGAGACCAAGCACAACAATAGTTTGTTGTATCATTTACATACAGATATACTTCATAATGGACATCTATGCAGTTTATTTATTGATAGTGTTAATGAAATTAGTCAAGATTTTTATAAGTTTACTGTGTGAACGAATATTATAGAATTTATTAATCAGCAATTACTTCATTTCTCTAATAAAGGTTTAAGTCTTAAATGCTAATTACAATGACAAACCGATCATGTCTGAAGTGTGACTTTAATTACATTATTATTTTCAAACATAAATATTTTTAATGGTATTATTAATATATAATTTTTTTTTTTTCTATATAGATATGTATAAAGGTTGACATTAAAAAATGTGTGTTACCAAATTATTAATGAACATTATTCAAAATTGTTATATGATGTATTTATTTTAATTTAAATGCCATCTCGTACAATAGCAAAAAAGTTTTACTTCAATCGCGTGTGAACCTTACGCGCACTCTTTTTTCATTCAAAATTTCATAAACATCAGTACTACCAACTTTTTTTCAAAATGTTTTAAATATTTCTAACGTGGCAACGCTGATCAACAAACTTAACAACAACTTCACAGTGACTACAAATGCCAAACTTTGTTGTTTGTGAATGTTTGTTTTATTATTTAAGTAGATCATTTTAATACTAAACCCAGTGTAAAATTATGTGAAAATAATAATAAAAAATAAATAAGTAAAATGTAAATTTATATTGTATATATAACTAGTTATTTGTTGATTTTTATTTGACATAACCTCAAATAATGTTGAGAACGTTCAGGGGTTTTGTTGTTTTTTCTTTAATAGTTTTATGTAAAATAAGGACACAAATTTTTAAAATGTGACCTGATATGTTGTTTTAACTTTAGAATTTTAAGAGAAGTTTTATTAATTAATGAATTTATATACAAGATGAGCAATATGTATAGTGACAGCAGTTCTGTTGGTGATGTCAGCAAAGCCCTATCTGCTTTGTGTATTCACAGGAAATTCCGTAAGTAAATAGTTATAAAAGTCTTATGTTATAAATTAAAATACTTAAATATCTTAAGTTATAAAAGTCATACCAAATATGTATTATTTGTTTAAAGTAGTTTAAGTATAACATATTGATTCATTCTTCATTCATTAGGCTTAAGATAAATATTTACATTTACTTAATCTATCTATACTTGTAGAGCTCAGTAAGTTCATCAGTTCCTTTCTCTCTCGTAAATGATTCTCGAAGCTGCAAGAATAACAGGAGGCTCCTTATTACATGTATTAAATGTGGTTCCTAAAACCAAACAAAGTTGTTTCTTGATATTCAGCATCTTTAAATCAGTCTTCGATTACTTCTTCAACATATGGTGATTAATTTAAAAATAAGGTTCACACGCAATTGAAGTAAAACTTATTTGATATTGTACGAGATGGCATTTAAGTAAAAATAAATACATCATATAACAAATTTGAATAATGTTTATTAGTGATATTGTAACACTCGTGTTGCACACATTTTTTAATGTCAACCATTATACATATTTATATAGCAAACATTATAAATTATATATATTTTTAATACCATAAATGTTTGGAATTAATAATGCAATTAAAGTCACACTTCAGACACGATCGGTTTGTCATTGTAATTAGCATTTAGGACTTTATTAGAGAAATGAAGTAATTGCTCATTAATAAATTCTATAATATTCGTTCACACAGTGAGCTTATAACAATCTTGAATAATTTCATTGACACTACCAATAAATAAACTGCATAGATGTCCATTATGAAGTATATCTGTAAATAAATGATACACAGCTACACAAACTATTGTTGTGCTTGATCTCTTCTTTAGAGTAATAAATCTGAATATCAATTTATTATTCAATATTCTTAAAAATATGCAACTTTGTAATACTTAATAGCCATCACAATCAAAAAACGTGTAGACTTTCTCTAAACTTCCAAAAGTGTCTAAGATATATTTCTGAAAAAGATGTATCTTCGGCATGATAGAATAAAGCTGTATTGCTTTAATATTTTTTAATATCTATAAAAATGCAGAGAATTATTATGTTAAACAACCCCTGAAGAAATATTGTTTTCACAATTTCAATCATGATGTAATTGTGTTTGAAGAGCTCTCTCTTTGAAGATTCTCTTGTAAATATATTGAGAACTTTCTCCAATGTGACAACAACAACAGAAAAAGACAGAGATCGTTAAAAGGATAATATACATTTTTATATTTGTTAATGACAAGAACATGTACAATTAAAAACTTAAGCTATATATACTTGTAGAGCAAATTTATCATCAAGAACATTGTAGGTGTCTGAGAATGTTGTAGATTTTATGAAACTATTGTTGAGGGTTTGAGAATGTTGTAGTCTGCCTAAAGAAAATGTAGATTGTCAAGAATGCTGCAATTTCTGAGACTATTGTTGCTGGTCTGAGAATGTTATAGATTGTCAAATAATGTCGTAGACCTCTGAGAATATCGTAGATTGTCTGAGAATATTGTTGCCGGTCGGAGGATGTTGTAGTTTGCCTAAAAATACTGTGGATTATTGAAGAATGTTGTAGATGTCTGAGAATGTAGATTGCTTGAGACTATTGTTGCTGGTCTAAGAATGTTGCTGGTCTGAGAATATTGTAAATTGTCTGAGAATATTCTTGCTGGTCTGAGAATGTTGTAGATTGCTTAAAAATACTGTAGATTGTCGAAGAAGATTGTAGATGTCTGAGAATGTTGTACATTGTGCTCCAGTAAAGTGTGGTTATAAAGATTTTGCAATAAACAATGTATGTTCTTCTGGCTGGATTTGGTGCAATTAAATGGCAATTAGAATCATTTTTTTAAGATTATTTTTGCTGTGGTTGACCAGGCACTTTACAGATTAGAGACTACGTGTCTCTATTTCTTTTTAACATTGAAGTAGTCACACCAGGACTGCCTGAGTAAGGAGCTTTGATATATAAATGTGAAGCAGAAAGATACCAGCTTCTGCATTCCAACATTTGTTATGTTTCAAATTGAATTTTATGAGAACATGAGGCTTTAACAATCTTTGATTTTTTAAACTTCTATCCGTGAAGTCACTGATGTGTGCACTATCACTTTAAGATTAAAAAGGATAAATTTCCATGGGAGCATTCGTAGTATCATTAGACTACCTCTCAAATAAAAGGTTTAAAATTACTTGTTAAAGTTCAAAATCTAAATGTAGTGTTTGGATACTTTGTCTTTCCACTGAATAATGGTCTCAACATAGGCTGAAACATCTGCATCTAATAAACATATATCTTTTAATAAATCTTACAGGGCCTAGCAAATCCTCACCATGATTTACTTTATGAACTGCATATATTTTTAAATTAATCACCATACATTAAAAGAGTAATCAAAGCCTTATTTCAAGATTCTGAATCTCGGGTGTGCTCAGAAAACAATTGTGTTAAATATTTCAGAGTTAATGTGGTCATAAAATACAATGAACTTACCACTATTGCTTACATTTTTTTACAATATTGGAAATATGGACAAGGAATTGCTGTTGTTTTATAATTTTTTAAAATTTTTATCAAGTTGTATGAGACAACCTTCTGCAAAACGTCTTTGCCAAAAATATTCCAAATCTGAATTTAGTGTTTCCAAATGTTTCAATGTTAGGATGGTCATAAAATAAAATGAAATTACAACTGTTGCATTCAGTTTTTTACAATATTATACAAACATATACAAGGAATTGCTGGCATTTTTTTTTCAAGTTGTATGAGACAACCTTCTGCAAAACATCTTTGCCAAGAGTATTCCAAATCTGAATGTTGTTTTACCAAATGTTTCACTATAATCATCACTAGGAAGGAATTGCTGTCGTTTTATGATTTTTTTTAATTTTTTTGTCAAGTTATATGAGACAACCTTCTGCAAAACGTCTTGGTGAAAAGTCTTCCAAATCTGAATGTAGTGTTTCCAAATGTTTCAAAATTAAAATGGTCATAAAATAAGATGAAGGAATAACTATTTCATTCAGTTTTTTACAATATCAGCAACGTGGACAAGAAGGAATTGCTGTCGTTCTATGATTTTTTTAATTGTTTGTGAAGTTATATGAGACAACCTTCTGCAAAACGTCTTGGTGAAAAGTCTTCCAAATCTGAATGTAGTGTTTCCAAATGTTTCAAAATTAAGATTGTCATAAAATAAGATGAAGGAATCACTATTGCATTCAGTTTTTTACAATATTAGCAACATGAACAAGGAATTGCTTGTTGTTTTTTTTTCATTTTGGTTAAGCTTAATGAGAGAACCTTCTGCAAAACGTCTTGGCCAAAAGTATTTCAAATCTAAATGTAGTGTTACTAAATGCTTCAGAATTGCTTTCATTTTATTTTATTTTTTTAATATTTTTTCAAGTTGTATGAGGCAATCTTCAACAAAACGTCTTTACCAAAAGTATACGATTTAAAATACTGTTAAGATTTCGCCTTGCAGCGAAGTTTATCTCGAAATTAAGTTATTGTTAAGGATTGGTTGAGCCATTTCTTCCTGTAAAAATTAATGTTTGATTTGTATTGTGATTGCAATTCCAAATTAACTCTTCAATGAACCCATAAGAAGAAAATTAGAAAAACTATAATTCAAATAAGTATTTATTTTAATTTTCATTTACTATTCTCTTTCAGATTCTTCATACAACCAATCTGACACAGACACTGCCGGTTCTGATGGATACTTTCGTCCAAACTCCCACAAAGTCCGCCAAAAACGCAAACAGAATTGTGGATATCACAGTGACAACAGTACTGCCAAAAGTGCTCTGCTGCCACCAATTGGAGTCTTTTGGGACATTGAAAACTGCCAGGTAAAAAAGATACAAACCAAAATGGTAATAGATAGAAAGAAATGCATTGATTAATTTTAATTCATTTACCCCCAGGTGCCTCGTGGTAGGTCAGCAATGTGCATTGCCCAAATGATCCGTGATATGTACTTCGAAGGCTACCGAGAGGCTGAATTTGTAGTAGTCTGTGATGTTCGCAAAGAAACCAACCAAGTCATCCAGGAACTATGTGACGCCCAAGTCAACCTAATCCATGTTTCATCCACAAGCAAAAATGCAGCAGATGAAAAATTAAGACAATGCATGCGCAGGTTTGCTGACACTTATGGCGCACCTTCTGCAATTCTGCTGATTTCTGGTGATGTCAATTTTGCTGCTGATCTGAGTGATCTGAGACACAGGAAGAAGATTCATGTGATTTTGTTGCATAAGCAGAATGTTTCGAAGGCTCTCATATTGTGTGCGAGTGAACATCATTGTTTTACAGAGTTGACCAATAGTATTCCTGTTAGGGCAACTCCTAATAAGGTAAGGGATAGATGATCAATAGTTTTGAAGTAATTTCTCAGCTTTTGCACAATTTCTGGATTAGCACGAATATTTTAAGACTAAAACTGTCCAAATCGGTTCGACCGGTTTTGACTTTTAGCATACCTAACATTATGTTAAGCTCCATTTTTATATATAAGAGTAGGTGTAAGTCGTATTTTGCCTTAAAGCAAGTTGCATGAGCTTTTTTGCATGTGTGAATGATCGTCATAGTCAATAAAGATTGAAATTTAGCTATCTTCATAAAAATTTTAACTGTTTATTTCGAAATTAAGATTTTTGTCTATAAATTAATCAATGCAATTTACAATTGATATCCTTCAAATAGATTTATAATATCTGTAATTTTATTAATTACTTGCTGACTCTGTAAACGTTGTTTTGTTAAATAAGGTATTTAACCATTTCTAGAGAGTCAAAAAAAATTTCTAATAAATAAATTGACAAAATGTTCCCTTCTATCGATTCCAAATTTAGGATCTTAATTTAATAAAATTAAGCAAAATAATGATATATTCTAGAGAATGTTAAACACAAATGAATATATAATTATACAAATGAGTTCTTTCAGAGTACAAAGTTTAAAAAAAAAGATTTGCAAAAAAAAGAGTGCCATAAAGCCAGATAGTGTATTTCCATATTAACATTTCAATATCTTGAAATGGATATTTTGAGTTTCTAATTACACTTGTGACTCGTTTAATTATGCTTTTGTGTATAAATAAAACTACTTACTACAATTAAATAATATTCATCTAAAACATCCTATTAAAGTTAATTGAACATAATCTATCAAAACCATTTGACATTTGACGTATGAGCCGCCGTTCATTGTTTCAATTAAATTACGCTTCAACAAAAATTTTCAAATTAAAAATGTAAAGTTTTTATGCGGTTTTGAAATAATATCTCATCTTTTCCACAACCTCTGGATTAGCACGAATTTTTTAAAACTAAGTCTGACCAAATCCATTCAGCCATTTTAGAGTTTTAGCATACCTAACATAATACCGAACTTTTTTTTATATATAAGAAGATAGTGCTTAGCAAAACGTGTATGTCTTGAAGACACGGCCCATTATTTTAAACTTTAATGTTTTTTTATAATTGAACAGCTTTTCGTAGGCCTATAATTTTTTAGAATGGATTATAAACTCTATTATCATCTCCTAATGGCGATATCCGGATAATTTATATTTATATTTATATTTATTTATATTTATTCGCTTGACTACCTGTGTCATCTATAAACAACATCTGTCATCTATAAACAACGTCTGTCAACTTTTGCTTTTATATTTATTACTCTGAGTTAAATAATGGGAATTTTAATTTGTGGTGTTTTTTAATTAATCAGGATCAGTGTTTTTTAAATTTTTAATACATTTTTCTTGATATTGTATAATCTTAAAAAATTTCTTTGTTGGCTTGCTGGTTTGTATAGCAGTGTCACTTCTATGGAAAACTCTTAGGAAAAGAAACTTTTATAGAAAATAGCATGTAGTCCTAATTGTTAAATATATCAAAAATTATATATAAATAATATTTTTTATCTGTCTATTAAATCTATATAATTTCTAAAAAAGCATAGTAGAACTAAAGTTTTCTACTATAATTTGTACATCTTGAAGAGCTTCCTAAAAAGATTTTTATAAAGTACCTCAAAAAAAGGCTCATGTAGACCTAATAGATGATTATTCCAAAGATTGCATATAAAATCTATACTTTATGATATATTATGACAATCAATATTCTTTATAGAACATTTTACTATAACTAGTGCAGCCTGACGAGCTCGTTTAAAAAAGATATTTGAAAATGTCTTGTTAACTTCCCGTAGGGTAAGTTATTGTAATGGGCCGAAAATCGGAATTGAAATTTTTTACATTTCTCGACGTTTTGAAGGTTTCTGAACGTTTTGGCATACCTCAGAAAAAATGGATGTGTGTGTGTGTGTGTGTGTGTGTGTGTGTGTGTATGTATGGATACAAATTTTCGTCCACGTTTTCGGGTGTACGGATCAACCGATTTGAATGGTTCAAAAAACATTCGATGCCTATTGATAGGGCAAAGAACAGATTAGTTTTTGGCAAAGGCAGGTCCAGCCGTTTTGGAGATACGGAGCAAAGAGTGCAGAAAATAGAAATCGAATTTTTGAGAGAACGGAGTATCCGATTTGAATGATCTAAAAAACATTCAATTAGCTAAATATGTAAAAAATGGCAATTTTTGAGAGAACTAAGCGTCCGATTTAAATGATTCAAAGAACTTTCTGCTTGTCTTAACAAAATAATTGATTTTGGAAAAAAAAATTGTCCCAATTTTTTTTTTTTTTTTTTTTTTGTATATCGAAATAATTCAGATTTTATTTTTAATTCTGACTATAGTTCTAATATACTTTACAAATAATTTCAACTCTGCAATTCAGTTTATATAATTCTTATAAATATTAGACAATGTTACAATATTTATAATAATCTATTTGAAAACATTCAGTATTCCACGAACATTTCGTTACAGTACGGGAAGTTCCAGCAATTTGCCTTAAGGCACGATGCCATAATTGTCTCAAGACAGAATTCCACTTACAGCTAGTTTATATCTTTATTAATAACTACTCAGCACAATTACAAAATGATATCTTTTCAACGATTTTTGAATTTTCAAAATTGGTTCAGAAGTTTTGATGAAAAATAATGTATCTTCTAATTATAAAGAAACGGCTCGGGTGATAGTCGCACAAAACTAATCAAAACGAATTTTTATCGAGTTTTTTTTTCAAACGATTTTAAATTCTTGAAATTGGTGCAGTAGTTTTTGAGAAAACGTCGACAAAAAGTTTAAATTTTGTCACACACATACTTTATCCAATTTCGGTGTCAAACGATTTAGAACGATAAGGAACGTTGAGCAAAAATGAAATTTGTAAATCGGATTTTCTGGCCAAAACATAAATTTTTTCTTCAGGAAGTTATTAAATTTCATAAATCTAAAGAAAGTACTAAATAAGCGCTTTATCTTCAAGGGTGCAACATTAACCCTTTCCACTCGGATGCCGCTCCGGCGCAAAATACATCTTAATTCTGCAGATTGCGAGTGGAAAGGGTTAATACTTGACTACTAGTAATAGAACGCTGTAATATACATGTGTACATCTTTAAATGAATAACAAATACTAAATCTGATGAAAATTCTTGCGCAAAAAGGAAAATTTGTAAAAATTATTTGTACAAAGAACCATAAACATCGAAAGCAGTTGTGGTACATCAACTTGCAACTTGCCAATAGGCACCTTGTCATGTGATATTGATAGGTCTCGAAAAGTAGATTACAAATATGAAGATATTATTTATAATACACCTAGTCATTAATACTAATAATCTCTTCTATTTCCATTAGAATGGGGCAAGTCCAGCACCATCTCCTGTAGAATTGGCAATAACAAATCTTCCAATAACCCAAGATTCTAGTCGAGTAAAGAACCGTTTGAAGCAACTGTCTGATAATTGTGGAGGCCGAGTTACAAAATTGGACGCCGAGAATGGTGTTGCCGTTATCAGATTTCCTACAGATGATCATGCATTAAGGTAAAATACAATAATACACATAAGTAATTTAACCCTTTCTACTCGGATGCTGCCGCTAATACGTACTAATTCTGCAATTAGCGAGTAGAGAGGGTTAATATAGAATAATATACAACTGCATTAATATTTTTAATAGATAAACATATTTTTTAAATGCTTGAAACGTAGAAGTCGACCTTTATCCATGTTTCTGATCCATACAGAGTTATGCTCCAGTCATAACATTTGCATGCATTTGTATAATATTATTTTAACTATTATTATTATATTATATTAAATTGAAAATAATCTATTTCAATATTTTTTATCATAGGGCTCAGAAACGAATGGATGGTGAGGATGTCTTCGGCCATAAAATATTTACACAAACTTCACCCTGGCCCATAGAAGACAGTAGTAACAGAACTGGTAATTATATTATTTTATTACTTATAAATTTTACATTCTGACCTTAAAAATGCACATATATCATATTTATAAATTTCTATAAATTAATTGATGGGGCAATTATGACTCATAACATAGCGTTGTCATGGCAACTCTATTTTATGTTTGTTTATTGATAGTAAAAACTGTGAAAATGTTTATTTGCTGTGACATCAGACGTATTTTGCATATAAAAAAGCAAGGAAGAATGATATTATAACATAATAAATAGTTAGACATTTTTACAGTTTTCACTACCAATAAACAAGCTTAAGATAGCGTTGCCATGACAACACTATGTTATGATGAAGAATTGCTTCATAAATTTATAAATTATTGGCAATACATTTTAATAACTTATGCTAACTATAACTTATACTAATAATATTATGTTAATAGTTGGTAAATGATATAAATATATTAAAATGTGAAATGACAGTTGTCATTTATTTATATATATAAATAATAATTCTTACGTTAGTATATAGTAATCTGTTCATTTTATTTGTCTGTCTATATATTTATTTATATGTTTATGTATTTATTTATTGGTTTTTGTATTTCAGATCAGAGATTCCGTCCAGACATTTTAGACACAGATGAGGGCTACCATACAACAGCATCAATGTCAATGCGGTGTGGTCCTTTATCACCAATGCCTCCGATGCCACATTTGCTTTGGAATAAAAATAATAGGTAAGAAATAATTATTATCATTAAATAATAATAATTAATAGTATAAATTATTTTTATACTATTTAATAACAATAAATAAATATAAATCATATTGAATAATTGATAACTGATATATCTATCAACAGCAGGATGAAATATTTTTCAAGCCTCGTTTTTGTTTTTATAATTCTTATTAATTTTAATAATAATTTCTTGGTCAATAAATAATTTTTGAAACCAAAAATAATTGAATTGAATCTATATTTAAGATTGGAATGTTTAAATGTAAATGATTCAATATCATTATGTTGTAGATTGTCTGGGGATGTTGTAGATTGTCTGATAGATTGCTAAAAAATACTGTAGATTATCTGAGAATGTTGTAGATTGCTTTAAAACACTGTATATGATCAAAGAATCATTTGTATATTTAATTACATTTAGTAGAGAAAGAATGCTGACAAGTTGTTTAAAATTAGTTGTTCACAATTTAGTAGATACCCCCAGTGGCGTATCTGCTAAAGCTAAGAACTAATGTAAAAGAAAATACAACTAAAATCAAAAGGGAAAGAAAAACAATAAAATGTAGTATAATAAAGTATTATAGTTAAATAAACTATATTAGATCTCCAGGTATTTCTCTGCTGAGCTTGATCGGCTGACCTTCCTGGTATAAATGACATGCTAGTAGGTTAGAAGGACGTCAATTCTGTTCTTATAATTAATGGCAACCATTGATATATGTTCTTGAATTGTAGGAATGCCTGTGTCTTTGTGGATGTTTTGTAGATAGCTTAAAAATACTGTGGATTGTCAAAGAATGTTATAGATTTTCTTAGAATGTTTTAGATTGTCTGAGAATGTTGTAGATTGTCTGAGAATGTTGTAGATTGTCTGAGAATGTTCTTGATTGTCTGAGAATGTTGTAGATTGTCTGAGGATATTGTATATGTTTGAGGATGTTGTATATGTCTGATTATGTTTTATATTGTTTGAGATTATTTTTGCTGGTCTGAGAATGTTGTCTTACAATGTTGTGGATTGCTTAAAAATACTGTTGTTTGTCTAAGAATGTTGTAGATTGCTTAAAAATACTGTAGATTGTCTAAGAATGTTGTAGGATGTCTGAGACTATTGTTGCTGGTCTTAGAATGTTGTAGATTGTTTGAGAATGTTGTAGATTGGCTGAGAATGTTGTAGATTTTCTGAGGATATTGTATATGTTTGAGAATGTTGTATATGTCTGATTATGTTTTAGATTGTTTGAGATTATTTTTGCTGGTCTGAGAATGTTGTCTTACAATGCTGTAGATTGCTTAAAAATACTGCAGATTGTCTAAGAATGTTGTAGATTGCTTGAAAATGCTGTAGATTGTCTAAGAATGTTGTAGGATGTCTGAGACTATTGTTGCTGATCTTAGAATGTTGTAGATGGTTTGAGAATGCTGCAGATTGTCTAAGAATGTTGTGTATGTCTGAGAATGTTGTAAATGTCTGATAATGTTTTAAGTTGTTTTAGATTATTTGGGCTGGTCTTACAATGTTGTAGATTGCTTAATTTTAAATGTCTGAAATTGTCTAAAAATGCTGAAGATTGTCTAAGAATGCTGAAGATTGTCTGAGACTATTGTTTCTGGTCTGAGAATGTTGTAGATTATCTGATATTGTTGTACATTTTCTGAGAATGTTGTAGATTTTCTGAGAATGCTGCAGATTGTCTGAAAATGTTGTAGATTGCCTAAAAATACTGTAGATTGTCTGAGAATGTTGTAGATTGCCTAAAAATACCGTAGATAGTTGAAAAATGTTGTAGATTGTATAAAAATGCTGTAGATTGTCTGGGACTATTGTTGCTGGTCTGAAATGTTGTAGATTGTCTGAGAATGTTGTAGATTGTCTGAAAATGTTGTAGATAGCCTAAAAATACTGTAGATTGTCTGAGAATGTTGTAGCTTGCATAAAAATACTCTAGATAGTTGAAGGATGTTGCACATTGTCTAAGAATGCTGTGGATTGTCTGAGACTATTGTTGCTGGTCTGAGATTGTTGTAGATTGTCTGAGAATGCTGCAGATTGAATGAAAATGCTGTAAATTGTCTGAAAATGTTGTAGATTGCCTAAAAATACTGTAGATTTTCTGAGAATGTTGTAGATTGCCTAAAAATACTGTAGATAGTTGAAGAATGTTGTAGATTGTATAAAAATGCTGTAGATTGTCTGGGACTATTGTTGCTGGTCTGAAATGTTGTAGATTGTCTGAGAATGCAGTAGATTGCATGAAAATGTTGCAAATTGTCTGAAAATGTTGTAGATAGCCTAAAAATACTGTAGATTGTCTGAGAATGTTGTAGATTGCATAAAAATACTCTAGATAGTTGAAGGATGTTGTACATTGTCTAAGAATGCTGTGGATTGTCTGAGACTATTGATGCTGGTCTGAGATCGTTGTAGATCATCTGAGAATGCTGCAGATTGAATGAAAATGCTGCAAATTGTCTGAAAATGTTGTAGATTGCCTAAAAATACTGAAGATTGTCTGAGAATGTTGTAGATTGCCTAAAAGTACTGTAGATTGTTGAAGAATATTGTAGATTGTCTAATAATGCTTTAGATTGTCTGAGACTATTGTTGCTGGTCTGAGATTGTCTGAGAATGTTGTAGATTGCCTAAAAATGCTATAGATTGTCGTAGAATATTGTTGATTGCCTGATAATGTTGTACATTTTCTGAGAATACCATAGATTTTTTTAGATTATCTGGTAGATTGCCTAAAAATACTGTAGATTGTCTAAGAATGTTGTAGATTGTCTGAGAATATTGTTGCTGATCTGAAAACGTAGATTGTCTGAGAATGTTGTAGATGTCTGAGAATATTGCAGATTTTCTAAAAATTGTGAAGATTGTCTGAGACTATTGTTGCTGGTCTGAGAATGTTGTAGATTGTCGAAGAATGTTGTAGATTGTTGAACAATGTTGTAGATTGTCTAATAATGTTGTAGATTGTCTAATAATGTTGTAGATTGTCTGAGAATGTTGTAGATTGTCTGAGAATGTTGTTGCTGATCCAATAATGTGATTGCTGGTCTGAGAATGTAGACCAGCTACATTGTTTGAGAATATTGCTGCTGATCTGAGAATTTTGTAATTTGTCTGAGAATTTTGCGGCTGGTCTGAGAATGTTGTTGCTGGTTTGAGAATGTTGTTACTGGTCTGAGAATGCTGAAGATTGCTTAAGAATATTATTGCTGATCTGAGAATGTTCTTTCTGGTCTGAGAATGTTGTAGATTTCTGAGAATATTGTTGCTGGTCTGAGAATGTCACAAATTGTTTAAGAATATTTTAGATTGAATAAAAATGCTGTAGATTGAATGAAAATACTGTAAATTGTCTGAAAATGTTGTGCAGCCTGGCGCGAAATGGTATATTTTCTCTGAATTGATGAATTGATTTTATCATAATAAATTCATTGTCAATATAATAATCCTGTTTCCAGGATTTTGAAAACATTAGTTAAATTAAATATTAGAATACTTGTATTTCTATTATTCAACACTCTCATTTAATATAATAATATGTACTATTAAAATTGTATTTTTAAGTCCTCCTGGATCAACTCTGTGGGCTATATGATAAATAGATAAATAAATAAATAATAATCAAACACATTATTAAATAGACATATAACTGTTTTTTTTTTTTATTTAGGTCTGATACAAAACGATCGGCGACCACATCCAACACAGAAAGTTCACCACAATATCGACTGCAGGGAACAAATTTCAGTGCTTCTTCTAGTTCACAATTTAATCAAAATAGCAATGTAAGTAAATTATAATAGAACTTTTTTGCATGGATGTAATTAAAAAATAAATTCATTGATTTATACTTGTGGAACAAATTAAAAATGAGCAACACTTTATTTGTAAATTTTTATCCCACTTCTGTTTGTTAGCAATACTAAACTTAATAACATTAGTTAAAAAAGACTTATTTGAATGACTCTAACCTTTTTTTTAACTAATGCATTATCCTACAAATATTACAGACTTTGCATCAAATTAATCACCAGAATTTTGTGTTCTCTATATTAATAGTTTCTTTATGATGATCAAAACATTCAGCCGAATCTGAGTTGCTCCAGAGATTATTTTATAGTTTCTGTTGAGCTTCCATGATAAGGCGAGAAGCATTTTGACTGACAATAAACCAATTAACATAATTATTATATTAATAACATAATTATTGTTTAATTAAATCTTTACAAGTTATGTGTATTTTCTTTTTTAAGGTCGACAAGAATGCACGATCAAGGTCTACAAGTTTTAATAAACACCCAGAATGGTCTAAAAGCAGTTTTAAAGGTATAGTAAAGGATTATTTTCATTTTATATGCTGCAGAAATAAGACAATTTATAAGACATTTATTTTAAATAATTTATTAGTTAATATTTCAAACATTAATAGGCCAATTCTGCCACACAACAGACCAATGTTATGGCAAGGCTATGTTACATTCTAACTTTTGCACATTATGCTACTAAATCATACTGAAAGCTGTCAAAATGTCATGTATTTGCTGTGCACTCAAGCGTTTTATACATAAACTGCAACGTCACTCGTATGTTATGAAGCTGAGTCAGAAAGACCCTGTTATCTAACATCGTTTTTTTGACATTTGTGCGGTTTCTAGGTTATGTTTTCTATCTGACAACCTGAGAAAAACGCCTGACTGCACAGCAACGACATGGCTTTTGTCAATATTTAGTATGGAAAGTTTTTCATAACATAGCCTTGCCATAACATTGATCTGTTATGCAGCAGAATCGGTTCATAAATTGCTGAAAACATGTTTTCACAAATAATAAATTCAAAAATAGAGATAAAGACATCACACAAATAATAAAACCTTTTATTTCATAAGTTTAGTAAACAAGAATATATATATTTATAATTTTTTTATAATTTACAGTATCATTAGAAGATCAAGCCCCTGATCACAATGCCCCAAGAAGCGTACCTCGCAAAGCAAAACCTAAACCAAATAAAAATTTAGTAAGTTGATACATTGATATTTTATATTATATTATAAGATGTTCAATTTGGTTTATAATATAATGTGAAATAAATATATTGAGTGTCAAATTAATATTTTTAGAATCAAGCTCGAGCTCGAAGCGCTTCACCATGGCAATCTAATGTGCAATCACAATCGAGCAGCAATAGTAGTGATATCGAGGTAATTAACATAAATTATAAAAGACATTTATCAGTTGCATTGCAAGTTGAAACTCCCTTGAATGCATAAATAATCAATAACAATTTTTTTTTGTATGAGTTATTTATAAGTGTATCAAGTTTATTAAATTTTGTACAAAATCTCGCAAATCTCAAAATTTTATTTTTGTATCCGTATTTTATTCAATACCCTACATGCCATAAAAACACAACCTAAAATTTTTTGAAGTGAAACTTTTTCTAATTCTTGACAAATTTTTGTATAAAAATTTTAACATTGAAATTTTAGTTTAATATACTTATTCTATTTAAAAAGACCTGTCAAACGATACCTCACACGCCATAAAAACACATCCTAAATTTTTTTGAAGTAAAACTTCTTTAGATTCGTTTACTATAAGTGCTATAAAAGTATCAATGATCACATTTTTATTGATAAAATCGTATTCTACTTCTCAAGACCTTTAAAATGATACCCCACATGCCATGAAAATATTATGTAAATATTTTGAAGAGAAACTTCTTTATATTCGTTTACTATAAGTGCAATAAAAGTATGAATGGTGATACATATCACCTTTCTATTGATAAATTGTATTATACTTCTCAAGGCCTTTAAAACGATACCCCACATGCCATGAAAATATTATGTAAATATTTTGAAGAGAAACTTCTTTAGATTCGTTTACAATAAGTGCAATAAAAGTATAGATGTTGTTACATATGATCTTTTTAGTGATAAAATCGTATTATACTTCTCAAGACCTTTCAAACGATACCTCACATGCCATAAAAACACAACCTACATTTTTTTTTGAAGTGAAACTTCTTTAAGCTTGTTTATTTCACATGCAAAAAAAATGTAAGTGGTAATACTTATTACGTTTTTATTTATATCATCATTTTTATATACCCCATTCCACAAGTGGTAAAACATACAACTTAAAATTTTTGAAGTGAAACTTCATTAGACTGAAATTTCAAAATGTATAAGTGTAATGGTATTTTTCCTTAAAGCAAGTTGCATGATTTATTTTTGAATGTCCAAATAAATCGACTTAATCTGAATATTAATTTACATTTTTATGTCGAATAAAATGGTTGAAATTTTTGCAGTTTTTTACAAAAAATTGCGAAAATTAAAATTTTACTTCAGTATTCGTTTTCTGTTCAAAAAGACCTTTAAAACGATACCCCACAAGCCATGAAAACACAATATGAATTTTTGAAGTAAAACTTCTTTAGATTCGTTTACAAAAGTTTATACAAAATGCAGTAAAAGTGTATATTTTCAAAAAATATTTGTTAAAATTAGTATTTGATGCAAAAGTTTTACATTTCACACATGTTTGTATTAAAATTTAATCATTTAAATTTTTTAATAGAAATATAGTAATATTTATGATGTTTTTATGAATATAATATTTTTTTTATAAAAATTGTATTTTACTCTTCGAGACCTTTCAAACGATACCCCACATGCATAAAAACATATTCGAAATTTTTTGAAGTGAAACTTCTTTAGATTCGTTTACTACAAGTTCATAACAAATGCAATAAAAGTAAATATTTGTCAATTTTTTTTGTTACTTTCAGTATTTAATACAAAGGTTTTACATTTAATACATTTTGGCATTAAAATTTGAACTTTTTTGGTAATTTTTCGCGTTTTTATGCATCTAGTTTCTTTCAGTCTTTGCCCAGCTTGGTGTCAAGCGATTCAGAACGACTTGAAGCATCATAAACATCTTGCTTTACAAGTTACTAATAATGTTTTTTCATTTTTTATCTTTTAGACTCAAGATGTGGAGCCTCTCTTTTGCGCCAGACACTGTGCGACAGGCCCCCATCAGCAATGGGCACTCTACAACGCAGGCAACATGCCTAATATCAGGATAGGATTGAAAAAACTAAACGAAAATTTGTGTAAATTAGTAGAGTCTCATAATGGTTCCGTACCAATACTGAGGTAAAGGATAAATCATATTTAAAATAATAATTAGATTGATATCGAGCAGTATGGTGACTTGTGATTTTTATTTAGTCTTGCGATGTGTTACTCGAACGCCTTGGGAAGTCCCTTGATCATAGATCAGGCATCAGGAGTGCCGTTAGAACATTTGATGTTGTCTTGCCCTGGTGTATCAGTCAAGAAGTTTGCATCTGGTGTTAAACATATTGTGCATTCCAAGAACGATGTTCCTTATGAAGGTAAAACAATAAATAATAAAATTTAAAATAAGTTAAAAATAGTTCCATGTTTGCAAATCTTTTTTTTATTTTAGATTTTCGGGGAATTACTTCTCCTGATACAATTCAGCAGCTGCAGCGCCTTTCTAATGATTTTGTGATCCTGCTTCGGGGTTATCCAAAGTCTTTGTTGCTGTTTGATCAGTTTGCTCAGTCGTATCATAATCGGTTTGGGAAAATGTGCAAGGTTGCAGATAGTAGGTAAGAGACAGATGAAGGTTTACTAAATCATTAGAACCAAATTTGATAAAGACCAAATTATTTTTAGTAAAGTTGCATCCAAAATTGACAAAGACCAAATTATTTTTAGTACAGTTGGAACCAAAATTGACAAAAACCAAGTTATTTTTAGTACTTGGTCCAAAATTGACAAAAACAACTTATTTTTAGTACGGTTGGAGCCAAAATTGACAAAGACCAAATTATTAACTTCCCGAAGGAGAAGTTTATGTTTTCATAAAAAAATCCGATTCGCTAATTTTATGTTTTCTCGACGTTTCAAGCCATTCTGAATCGAATGAGACCAAATTTGGAAAAAGTATGTGTGTGTGTGTGTGTGTGTGTGTGTGTGTGTGTGTGTGTGTGTGCGTGTGTGTGTGCGTGTGCACCAATAGATTTTTTGCCGTAAATCGCCGTTTTCTCAAAAACGGCTGGACTGATTTCAAAAATTTAAAAGCCATTTGATGTATCTCGATGAGGACTATTGTTTGTCAGTTTTGTGCGACGATCGGCCAAACCGTTTCTTAGTAAATAGCAGAGAAGTGAAAACTCTTTCGTCCACGTTTTAGCCCGCAGTTATGAATCGATTTTGAAAATTCAAAAATCGTTCGAAAGATATTGGTTGGGAATCGTGCTGATTAGTTTTTGGTAGAGATCGGCCGGGCCGTTTTCTTGTAATAAAGTTTTAAAAAAAAAAAAATTCGACGATTTTTATGATTATTTTTTTGACGGTAGATACCATAGTCTTCTATATCATACTAAAATATTACGGACCTACGACAACAGGTTCAGCTTTAAAAATTCGTCAAAGTTTGCAAAAATTGGTATTGTTTTTTTGGCATTTGTCAAAGTTAGACCTTTGATCGACGTTTTCTCAAAAACGCCTGAGCCGTTTTAGAAATTTAAAAGCTATTTGATGTATTTTGGTAAGGACTATCGTTTGTCAGTTTTGTGTGACGATCTGCCAAGCCGTTTCTTTGCAATTTGGAAAAAAGTGTTAAACTTTTCGTCCACATTTATGCTCATCCTACCGAACCGATTTTAAAAAATCGAAAACTGTTCGAAAGATATCATTTGGGAATGATGCTGATTAATTTTAGGTGAAAATCTACCGAGCCGTTTTCTTGTAATTAACTGTTGAAAAAAAGTGTTAAATTTTCGTCCACATTTAAGCTCATCCTACCGAACCGATTTTAAAAAATCAAAAACTGTTCGAAAGATATCATTTGGGAATGATGCTGATTAATTTTAGGTGAAAATGTACCGAGCCGTTTTCTTGTAATTAAATGTTGAAAAAAAGTGTTAAATTTTCGTCCACATTTAAGCTCATCCTACCGAACCGATTTTTAAAAATCAAAAACTGTTTGAAAGATATCATTTGGGAATGATACTGATTAATTTTAGGTGAAAATCTACCGAGCCGTTTTCTTGTAATGAACTGTTAAACAAAATTTAAGCCGATTTTCATGGAACTTTTTTTGGCGATATACATGGTCTTACTACAAGTAGTTTAATTTTAAAAATTCATCAAAGTTTGAAAAATACTAGTAACGCTTTTCAGTCAAAATTAGACCTTCATCGACGTTTTCCCATAAACTACTAAACTGATTAGAAAAATTTAAAATTTAGGAAAAAGATAAAAATGTTTGTCTACGGCTCAGCTCACAACACTGAATCCATTTTGAAAATTTAACAACAATTCTAAAAATCATGCTTAGAAATCGTACTGATTAATTTTCGGTAAAGATAGCTTTTTTGTAATTTTTTGTTAAATATTACTGTTCGACAATTTTCTTGGAATTTTTTTTACGATATATGTCATTGTCTTTACAGAACATACTAAAAGTATTACGATCCTACAATAAGTCGTTTCACCATCAAACTTTGAAAAATTTATGAGCTTTCCTGGCATTTGTTAAGATCCGACGCTTTAGCAAAAAAGCCTGCGCGGATTTATAAAATTTGAAAATAGTTTTCAAGATATCATACTTTATCAGTAGTCGTGATTAGTTTTAAATTATTGATTTTTGAAAATTTGCTTTTAGAAAATACTCCGAGTCAAAGTGTTCGTACGTTTTCAGTTATGTGTAATAAATCCACTCGAAATACTTTTAATGACTCATAAATTAATTTATTTTTTATTGATTAAGTCGATTATTTAAACATATCGGGAAGTTCATGTAACTTCCCTCCAGGCTAAATACCAAACCAAATAGTTTTTAGTACAGTTGGAACCAAAATTGACAAAGACCAAATTATTTTTAGTACAGTTGGACAAAAATTGACAAAGACCATATTATTTTTAGTACAGTTGGAACCAAAATTGACAAAGACCATATTATTTTTAGTACAGTTAGAACTAAAATTGACAAAGACCATATTATTTTTAGTACAGTTGGAACCAAAATTGACAGAGACCAAATTATTTTTAGTACAGTTGGACCAAAATTGACAAAGACCAAATTATTTTTAGTACAGTTGGACAAAAATTGACAAAGACCAAATTATTTTTAGTACAGTGGAACCAAAATTGACAAAGTCCAGATTAGTTTTTGTACAGTGAAACCAAAATTGACAAAGTCCAGATTAGTTTTTGTACAGTGGAACCAAAATTGACAAAGACCAAATTATTTTTAGTACACTTGGAACCAAAATTGACAAAGACCATATTATTTTTAGTACAGTTAGAACTAAAATTGACAAAGACCAAAATATTTTTAGTACAGTTGGAACCAAAATTGCTAAAGACCAAATTATTTCTAGTACAGCTGGAATCAAAATTGACAAAGACCAAATTATTTTTAGTACAGTGGAACCAAAATTGACAAATACCAAATTATTTTTAGTACAGTTGGACCAAAATTGTCCAAAATATTTTTAGTACAGGTGGAACCAAAGACCATATTATTTTTAGTACAGTTGGAACCAAATTTGACAAAAAACAAAACCAAAATTGACAAAGACAAAATTGTTTTTAGTACAGTTGGAACCAAAATTGACAAAGGCCAAATTATTTTTAGTACAGTTGGACCAAAATTGACAAAGACCAAATTAGTTGTAGTACAGTGGAACCAAAATTGACAAAGACAAATTATTTTTAGTACAGTTGGACCAAAATTGACAAAGACCAAATTATTTTTAGTACAGTTGGAACCAAAATTGACGAAGACAAAATGTTTTTAGTACAGTTGGAATCAAAATTGACAAAGACCAAATTCTTTTTAGTATAGTTGGAACCAAAATTGACAAAGACCAAATTATTTTTAGTACAGTTTGAACCAAAATTGACAAAGACCAAATTATTTTTATAACAGTTTGAACCAAAATTGATAAAGACCAAATTATTTCTAGTACAGTTGGAACCAAAATTGACAAAGACCAAATTATTTTTAGTACAGTTGGAACCAAAATTGATAAAGACCAAATTATTTCTAGTACAGTGGGAACCAAAATTGACAAAGACCAAATTATTTTTAGTACAGTTGGAACCAAAATTGACGAAGACCAAATTATTTCTGGTACAGTTGGACCAAAATTGACAAAGACCAAATTATTTTTAGTACAGTTGGAACCAAAATTGACAAAGACCAAATTATTTTTAGTACAGTTGGACAAAAATTGACAAAGACCAAAATATTTTTTGTACAGTTGGAACCAAAATTGACAAAGACCATATTTTTTGTAGTACAGTTGGAACCAAAATTGACAAAGACCATATTATTTTTAGTACAGTTGGAACCAAAATTGACAAAGACCAAAATATTTTTAGTACAGTTGGAACCAAAATTGACAAAGACCATATTATTTTTAGTACAGTTAGAACTAAAATTGACAAAGACCAAAATATTTTTAGTACAGTTGGAATCAAAATTGACAAAGACCAAATTATTTTTAGTACAGTTGGAACTAAAATTGACAAAGACCATATTATTTTTAGTACAGTTGGAACCAAAATTGACAAAGAGCAAAATATTTTTAGTACAGTTGGAACCAAAATTGACAAAGACCATATTATTTTTAGTACAGTTGGAACCAAATTTGACAAAGACCAAATTATTTTTAGTACAGTTAGAACTAAATTTGACAAAGACCATATTATTTTTAGTACAGTTGGAACCAAAATTGACAAAGATCAAATTATTTTTAGTACAGTTGGAACCAAAACTGACAAAGGCCAAATTAGTGTTAGTACAGTGGAACTAAAATTGGCAAAGACCAAAATATTTTTAGTACACTTGGAACCAAAATTGACAAAGACCAAATTATTTTTAGTGTTAGTACAGTGGAACTAAAATTGGCAAAGACCAAAATATTTTTAGTACACTTGGAACCAAAATTGACAAAGACCAAATTATTTTTAGTACAGTGGAACCAAAATTGACAAAGACCAAGTTATTTTTAAACAGTTGGAGAACCAAATTTGATAAAGACCAAATTATTTTTAGTGCAAATAAAACTTAATCAATGGTTCAAACTATCCATTTATTCATAACTTTCCCAAGTAGTTTTCCAGAAAATTCGTTTTGCTAACTTTTTTTTCTCGACGTCTTCAGTCAATCTGAAACGTTTGACGCCGAAACAGAAGAAACTACGTGTGTTGATGTACCAAAATTTGATCTATCGAAGTTTTTTTCAAGAACGGCTGCACCGATTTCATGAGATTTATATCATTTGACTAAACAAGTACATGTTATATTACATTTTGTTTTGTCATATTGACAAAAGCCATGTGATTGCTATGCAGTCAGACATTTTTCTCAAGTTGTCAAATAGAAAACCTAACTTACAAGCCGCACAAATGTCAAAAAAAGATCTTAGATAACAGGGTCTTTCTTACCCAACTTCATAACACACAAGTAACTTTGCAGTTTATGTGTAAAACGCCACTGCGATTTGTTCTGCTATTGTGAGCCAGCCGTCATAACAAATAATGATAAATATTCTTTTATCTTTCAGGTGCAAAAAGCTCACAGACCTTTTTGAAGCCTTACCATCAATTATTCAAGTCCTCGGTGAAGGCTCCAATCGAACAGTCACCTTAACACACAAGGTGCAGAAAAGACTATTTGCTTCTGACTTGTGCAGGATTCTCAGGACTCAAGACGATATGAAGATGCTGCTGTCTGAGTTTGGATCGACTTTTAAAAAAATTATAGGTAGGGATAAATAAAAATATTATTGCCAAAAAAAAAATAATCAAAATAGTGAAAAGTGTTTATTGCAAAAATTAGATAAAAGAATTTTATCCAAAAGTGTCAGGGGTAGAATTAAAATAAATTACTGTTTTTGGAGAAAAGTTTAAATTTTTTTTTAGCTTAGAAAAAGTATGATGAAGACTTGCTTTAGATTTATTAATATCAATAAAAAAAAATTATATTATTTTTTTCCAGGTCGACCATTCGATATAACAGACTATGGTGTGTGTTTTGTATCTGATATGCTGGAAGAATTGAATGAGACCGTTGTTGTTAAGAAGAAACTGCCCAATGGTGATGTTTTGTTATCCAGGCCTAAAAAGGAACAGACTGAAATCGAAGTTCAACGGATGAATGGATTTAAATTAGAAGTGAGTGAGAATAAAAAAAAAAATTAGATAAAATGTATTAGTTCTGTAACATGATGCATATTTTTATATCAATAAAGTTATAGACTTTTCAAGAGATATTAACATTTTATTACAAGATATAACAATGCTACAGTTCATATTTATAAATTATTTAAATCTATATAGTAATTTTGACTTTATCCACCAGGTTATACAACTCTTAACCAGGGAGCCAGAAAACACAATGTTGCTGAACAAATTTGCACCAGCTTTTCATCAATGTTTTGGAAGACAGTGCAAATTATCTGATTATGGATTCGATAAACTAATCGAATTATTGGAAGCCATTTCTGATTTGGTTGAGGTAACATAGAAATTATATATATATATATATATATATATATATATGTGTGTGTGTATAAAATTCTTCTGTACAAATGATTTGATACTTCTCCTAAACGGTTATTCGCATTTTGATAATTCTTTTTAGAGTTTGTCAAAGGAAATTTCTAAGATTTAATGAACGATAAAGCTATAGTAATATTGTAGAAATAAATGGCAAAAATTACAAAAAGCCACTTATCATTGTTTGACATTGAAAACATTTGAACTGCCATCTGATAGAAATGTCAATTCACTTGAAATTTGAATTTATATGAAATTATGAGACTAGATAATATTAGAATATTCTATACAAGAAAAATGTAATGTCTACATTATTATTGCCGAAAAGCAGATAAGATGTGCCTGAAATTAAAATAATATAAGATAAAGTATCTATGTTGGCAGATGGAAATATATAATTCAATTTGACAGATTATATTTTTTTAACTAATGCAGTCATGTTTTGTCTTACTTTACTAAATCGCAATACAAACAAATTTTTACTTATTCAAAAAATTATTCAAAAGTTTCATTGTGTCAAAAATTCATTTGTTTGGCTGGCATTGGATATCGAATATTTAGCTAGTTGATCCTAGATTGAATAGTGCACATATGCATAGGATTTGACAAATTAATTCACTTAAAATATAAAACTTAAGTAATAATGTATATTAAATTAATAGTAAGAAAAACGTAATTTAGACATTATAATTGCCAAAAAGCAACTAATATATCGTACAAGATAATCAAAATTATAGACTAAATTATTGAAGCAATTATGTTGTGTGGTAAAATCAAGTGTGATATTGTTCTTTTACCCCAAATACTATAATATTTTTTTCTGAATTGCTTATACTGCTTAGGCTAAGACCATAAATGAATCACAAAGGCTGGACATCACATAGGATATTAAAAAGTATAGGATAGGATATTAAAAATTTGGAACTTTTGAATTGTAGACATGGGTGCAGGTCAACGTCTGTTGGGTTATCTAGTATATATAATAATAATAATAAATGGTAGTCTGTCTGAAGGCAGGTCCATGGTGTGAGAGCCACCACAAACAAATGATTTCCTTACCCTTCATCCTATTACCACTAGTATATATATTATTTATTAATTAATTGATTGATCAATATGTCAGTTACAATTTTATTTCAACATTTTTCTATCCATTTTAGATCATTGAATGCAGTGCAGGTTGCAATGAGCAAAGAAAAATTCGTCTGAAAATCAATAAAGTACATTCCAATATGTTTTTACCAGATGAAGATTTATTTAGTGCCCCAGAAACTTTGTTGATGTCACCTCCACCTTCTCAACTTCCAAAACCATCCTTGGACTTGTTGGCTGCTCCGAGTTGTAAGGATCAAGTGAGTAATGATAATAGATAGATTATTATTTCTAGATTGTATTATTATTTTATTTAAGAAAATGTTTTGGTATTTATTATTACTCTAAAAAATAAACAGCCTAAATGAAAAAAAGAGTGCGCGTAAGGTTCACACGTGATTGAAGTAAAGCTTTTTTGCTATTGTATGAGTAAAATGAAATAAATACGTTTAAGTAAAATAAATACATCATATAACAATTTTGAATAATGTTTATTAGTAATATGGTAACATTCGTGATGCACACATTTATTAATGTCAACCCTTATACACATTTATATAATGATAAATTATAAATTATATATTTATAATAGCATTAAAAATATATATAATATTTAAAAACAATAATGTAATTAAAGTCATACTTCAAATATGACATGATCGGTTTGTCATTGTAATTAGCATTTAGAAATGAGAAATGAGAAATGAAGTAATTGCTGATTAATAAATTTTATAATATTTGTTCACATAGTGCATTATGTTGAACAAGGCCTAAACAAATATTGTTTTCGCAACTTCACTCATGGAATTGTGTTTGAAGAACTTCATGTAATTAAAATTAACATACATTCATTGACTGCTTGTATTTTTTTTTACTTTTTCGCTGGCGATATAACATCATTCTTTGAACTGCTGTAATATCTGTCTTGTCTAAAAAATATTTTCCATTTTAATAACTTCAAAAATTTATAGAAACTACGAATAATATAAAAATAATTTCTAATCAATAAACTTACGTTTAATACACGGCACAAATGTTTAATTTGCTTTATTATTTACAAGGAACACAGTAAAATATTCTTCTGATTCAGACATTTTTCATTAAATCAAGATTTGTACTACGATGTAACTTTAAAATGTTTATTTAGCTATGCCGATTTCCTTGTTGATATCGGAACGCATACAACGTTGATGCCGGTACGCATACAACGACAGATCTCTATTCACATACACGACGTCTAATCACAATCGACCCATATAGAAATGATTTCATCGAGAGCCGTAACGCACTTCCTTTGCATTTGTACGGATTTACACCCTAGTCGCGCCTAAAAAAGTTATACTTCAATAATATGATCTAGAAAATGTTATATAAATACAAATGAATATAAAATTAAACATGAGTTTTCTTAAATGAGATGTGCATGTTGTTTGATTTTTACAGCATGATTACTGTTGATATGATCTAAACTTATATATTGCGATGCTGAATGGGATATTTCACTCAATGATACATCTTATACAGCTCACCAATCAATTACTAATGATACAAGCACTGTTTTCTATCTTGATAGCAAGATGTATTAGTATTAATATATTATAATAATTAATAATCTCTTTGTCTTATCATGTAAATAAAATTAAATTTAACAAAATAAATTTTAAGACTCAAAATTCTAATACAATAATTTTTTTTTTTAGGATGAAGCACATGCTGGACAAATGTCTCATCAACTAAAGCGTAAGTATTTGATTATAATAATATATTATAAGTTATTAATAAGTTTGGAACCGATTCTAATTAGAAAATGTGCCCTTTGCATCATATGTAAGTTTCGTGTTTTGTAGGTAGCTACTGATTACAGTTGACATAATCAATTTTTAGAACAAGAAATGTATGAAATGAAATGTGTTAAACAAAAATAATTTAATTTTTAAAATTACAGATATTATAAGTATGTTTAGAAGACATCAATTGGAAATCATATTGATTATTTTTTAGTGAAAGTAAAGATTTTATTTTAGAAATGAACAGTTGGACATATTACTTAAATAGTTTTATCTAATTTCTTATTGATTATGTTGATTATGTAAACGCATCAGGAAGTTCATGCATCTAGCCTTAAGGAAAAATATCATTTACAGCTAGTTTATTATGTTTTCGTAGACATTTATACTTTAACATTATTTATATTTATACAACACAATTATACAATTATAGATATTAAAATTAAATTAATACTTAATATAATACATACTATTTTAAATAAAATATAATTAAAAAAAAACAAATGTTTACTCATAACCATTATTCCAAGTTTTGCCTTTTATATGAAAGAAAAAAAAACACAGAATAATTTATTAAAAGTTATAACTCAAATACTCATCAATAGAGTGAAAAACTTGCTCTTTATTTATTATTATTTATTTATTTAAAGGCTTTTATGGAATTGTCCTAGAAACTAAAATACAATTATGCTATTTTGTAGAAAGTAGAATTGTATAAAAATAACAATAAATATAATATAGTATATAATATTAATTCAAACTTTGTATTTTAGGAAGAAGCCGTTTAGCAGCTATATTTCCATCGACTTCATCTACTGATGATCTATAAATAAATATATAATACAGAAGCAATTATGTATATTTTAAATTGGACCAATAACTTTGACGAAAAATGACAAAAATAGGTAAAGTACTATCTAAAATTTAATTGTAGAAATATGTAAATATTGATGAATACCAATCAATCTGCATTTGAATAATCTAATTTATATACGTATATAGATTAGTGTGGTCTTTAATATGGATATTTTCGAATTCCTTTGCTCCCGGAGACTCACATGCTTTAAAATTGGTAAAACGAAATTGTCTGGAAGTTTTAGCTCTCAATATTTATATATTAAGAGCTAAATATATTTATAAACTATATCAAATTTTTGTTGTAAATTTTTTATTTGTGATCAATAAGCAGTATTAAGTAATATTAATAAGTAATATTATTCTCAAAATTTTGATTTACTTGTCACTAAGTTATAAAATTCTAAAAATCAAATGGCATTTGACCCATGTTATTAAATATAAACTAGCTGTACATTATCACTTGTCACTTGAAGTATTGGTTGCACTAATAATGAATTTATAATAATGTTCCAAGGACCGAACCTTGTGGAACCTCCAGCTTAATATCTAAATGGATAGAGTCCTATTTGATAAGATGAAAGAATTCAAAAGCATGTTCAAGAGAATTTCATGAGATATACAATTATTTACAACATAATGTTATTTAATAATTAATATAGTTTAATTTTTTTTTACAAAATACAATGGAGGATCATTAAAATATTCAGAAATTTTTCTAATATTGTATTATCATTCTACATGATCGCCTGTGTTCATTAATAGGATAGGTGTGCTTTTAAATATATCACTTGTCGCTAAGGTATAAAATTTTAAAAAACAAATAGAATTTTACTCATGTTATTTCCAAAAATAATTTTGGTTGGAGTATGGACTCTTTTAAGGTCAATATTAAGAGCAAAAACTTTCAGAGATTTTGTTTTATCAATTTGGAAGCATTTAAGCCTCTGGGAGAAAAGAAATGCGAAAGTATCCATATTAAGGACCACCCTAATATAGATATTCATTGTGATATTAATAAGACGTAATTATGTTGTAAATATTTATTGCAAGTGCTCTCTACGAATTGAAAACAAGAAAATAAAACAAGTGTAAATACAGTAGTACCCCGACATACGAGTTTAATTCGTTACGTAACCACCTTCGTATGTCGAATCGGTTGTATTTTGAAGCAATTTTTCCATATTAACACAATGAAATGCCATTAAGTAGTTCCCACAAAGTGTTTTTTTTTTTGTTAAGGTTTTTAAATATCAAAAATAAATTTACAATTTAGTAGGGGGCGTATTAATCACGAGTGGATTTTAGCGGGAGGGGGGTTTGACAAAAAAATCACGCGGGAGGACGGAGGCGCCTAGTAAGATATCATGTGTATTTATTTTTTACCTAAATTTTCGAAAAAAATAAAAAAAAACGATTTTTTTGTGAATTTGAAAAAAATGTTTAAAAAATTTTACGTGACTAAAAATACACGTGATGTCTGGTGGGGGAGGGGGGGTCGTAATTATCACTACTTATAACCAAGGGGGTAAACAGATCTCTAAAAAACCGATTACTTGATTAATGAACGTCCCCTTATTGTTTTTTTTTCCTAGTCATTGATGATCTTGCGGAAATCAGTTGGAATTGTTTCATTGAACATTTTTCGGGTGACTTTTAACCACAATATTTTAGAGTTTAAAAAGCTGTTTATATATTATTGTAAGGGTTTTATCTGGTGTTATACCATTTATCAAATTTGTCTGTTTAAACTTAGTACATATCTAAGATGTACTCATATTTTTCAATAATTTCACGTTTTAATTCAACAGACATGGTCCTTCTCTTTAGACATGGTAATACCCAGCGAACCGCAAAACGTAATTTAAACGTTAATACAACGTAACAGACGTAACGTCGGACTTAGCAGTTACGTAACCTCGAAGGCACACAGATGTTTATACTATCGCCATTAAATTTACGTTTTAATAATGTAACGTTTACATCAAAGGTTGCGTTTTAATAACATAACCATCAAGTTTGTGACTTCGTGTATGAAATGACTAACAATAAAATAATTAAAACGTTTTAGTGACGTTTACATCAAAGGTTACGTTTTAATAACGTAACCATCAACTTTGTTGTATGAAATGACAAACAATAAAATAAATTACTATCATAAAACAGCCATAATATTTTTATGGTACAAAAAACATTGTTATAACTGACGCAATTTTTTGTATTTTCATCTCGTTATTAATATTTGTCGAGAAAACTCCTTCCCAAAACTCTTACTCGCTCAAGGCTCGTTTCTCGAATTTAGTTAGAATTTAGAACCCAGCCAACCATAAAACGTAGATAAAACGTTAATATAACGTAACAAACATAGCAATTACATAACTTGGAAGGCACACAGATGTTTATACACTATCGCCAATTGAAGGTTACATTTTATTAACGTAACCATCAACTTAGTAACAACGTTTCTGCTAAGCTACGTTATTTTAACTTTTGAGGTTTACCGGGTATTAATATATATGAAATGACTAAGTAGAAAATAATTTACTATCATAAAACAGCCAAAATCTTTCTATGGTACAAAAAAGTAACATTATTTTAACTAATTACATTTTTTATATTTTGATGTCCCCATTAATATTTTTTGAGAAAACTCCTATTAGCTCAAAGCTCGTTTATCGATTTAAGCTAGAAGTCAGAAACCAGCAAACCACAAAAAGTAATTAAAATGTTAATATAACGTAACATTAAAGCATTAAAGGTTAAGTTTTATTAACGTAACTATTAACTTCGTAACGGCGTTATTTCTGAGCTACGTTATTTTAACTTTAGCTCGGTTCTCGAAATTAGCTAGAATTTAAAATTTAGCGAACAACAAAACCTAAATAAAACGTTAACATAATGTAACAGGTGTAACAACGTCGAACATAGCAGTTACGTAACTACGAAGTAACACAGCATTTCTTTTGAGCTACGTTATTTTAACTTATATGTTTTACTTGATATTAATATGCAGGAAGTGACTAACTAGAAAATAATTTACTATCTTAAAACATCCAAAATATTTTTGAGGAAATTTATCATATTTACTCTCTTATATTAACTCTTACTCCCTAAAAGCTTGTATCTCGAATTTACTCGTAAGTGGGGGTACCACTGTATTATTATTATGATTTTTACACACATCATTCCTGCTGGATTGATTTGTAAAATAACATGGCATGTATATTTCAATAGTAAGGACAGAATATTATTTTATATATAATATATAAAAATGCAGTATTTGTATTATATTGTAAATTTGTACGTAGACTTGTATTTTTGTAAAAAGAGCTTTACGACTTACTGCATTCCGTACTTAATGACAAATGTAAATAAATATTATGATCAGAATTTTAACTAATTGAGTGTACATTTTGATAATGATTAGTCGTAATGTATTTTTAAATTTATAAAGACACATTGTATTTTATCCTTGGACGCATTTAACATTTCATATTGAAATTAATATTTTAAAAGAATATATATACAACAATGACTTAATTAATTAATTAAGTTACTACAACTATTGTTGATTGTTAAAACAAATAAGACCTTACTAGTTTTAATTGATTCTCTAATTTATATTTAAAGATTGTCTAAAGAGACCTTTATAAGTATAATTCCAAAAATTACTATCCTTGATAGATGTATTTACTATTTTATTATTAGTTTAATCATTGGAATTTTAAAATTGTATTTAAAATTATTTATCACATTGACTGTTACATCTAGTGATACTTTGCTATGAGACGATGGATCTTTGCAAATTAAGTTACCATTAAGCAATAAGTCTTATAGTTAATTATATTATATTATTATATATATTATTATAAATTTGCATTTAGTTTTTAAAAGCATTCCTGGTGTAAATATGTAAAGGAATTATGAGTGGAACTTAAAATATTTGTTTTGTTATGTAAAATGTTTTTATAGTGTGAAGTACTTTAAAATGATATATATATATATATATATATATATATATATATATATTATATAAAAAAATGCATTTTTAGACACTTTGTACTTTAAATACATTTAGAAAGTAATTAGAAAGAAAAGATATGAACACAAGTCTCTAAAATAGTAAAATTTGTAAAATTAAAATCAAAATATGTATATATTTGTATAAATATATATTTATTATGAACTCGAAATTTTTGCCTATCTTTACGTTTCAGAAGTTTCTGAACATTTTTGCATACCTCATAAAAAATGGATGTGTGTGCGTGTGTGTGTATGTGTGGATACAATTTTTCGCCAACGATTTCGGGCGCCGATTTGAATAATTCAAAAAACATTCGATTCTTATCGTTGGGGAGAAGTGTTGATTAGTTTTTGGCAAAGACATGAGCAAAGAGCGCAGAAAATAGAAATCGTGTTTTTGAGGGAACGGAGCATCCGATTTGAATGATTCAAAAAACATTCAATTTGCAATGATGTAGGGTAAGTTATTATAATCGTCAACAAATCGAAATTATTTTTTTTTACATTTTTTCACGTTTTGAAGCTTTTGTTTCTGAACATTTCGGAATACCTTAAAAAAACTTGGGTGTGTGTGTATGTGTGTGTTTCGTCGACGATTTCGGGAACACGGATCAACCGATTTGAATGGTTTAAAAAACATTCAATTCGTAATGATGGGGAGAAGTGGTGATTAGTTTCTGGCAAGGGCAGGTCTAGCCGTTTCGGAGATACAGAGCAAAGAGTGCAGAAAATAGAAATCGAGTTTGTGGGAGAACGGAGTAGCCGATTTGAATGATCCAAAAATATTCAATTCGTAATGATGGGGAGAAGTGGTGATTAGTTTTTGACAAAGGCAGAACGATCCGTTTTGGAGATACAGAGCTAATTGTACAATAAATGGCAGTTTTTGAGAGAACTAAGCATCCTATTTGAATTATTCAAAAAATTAACTGCTTGTGTTGACTAAACGATTGCTTTTGGAATTTTTTTTTTATTTAATTATTTTTTGAATATCGAAATTAATTCGGATTTTAACTTTAATTCTAGCTAAAGTTCTAACGCTATATATATACTTTAAATAAATAGATTTAAATTTGCAATTCAGTTTACATAATCCTTAGAAATATGAGATAAGATCCTTTATACTAAGTCCGCTTTGTTTATAGTTTTCATGTAAACTTATATAAATGTCGTGGTCTAATTCATGAGCTTTTATATTTTGTCTATAAAATACGAAAGATTAAAGTTACTATATTTATAATAATCTATAGATTATTCAAAAATATTTGAAAATATTTAATATTCTTCAAATATTTCATTATGGTACGGAAAGTTCAAGGAAATAGCCTTAAGGCACAATGCCATTTTTTTTTAATTACAATGTTTGTTACAACTGCTAAATAATTTAACATCTAGTAACATAAGTGAATAGTAACATAAATATAAATAAAATAGAGTACATAATAAAGGATAGTATTTTTATTAAAATGAAGATTTAATATAAAATAAAAACATAAACTTCTCCTTCGGGAAGTTAATAAAAGCAAATAATGCTAATAATAAAATTAATAAATAATATTTTGTGAATAATAAAAATAATACGAAAGCACGATGCCATACACCACTAGTTTTTAAACTAATTATGTGTTTTATATTAATTAAATATTGAAAACTTAATATAATATATATTAAAATTAATAAACTGAAATGTCGTAACCTTTTTAGTTAAATTTCTTTATCTAAGGTCGTCGGCATACCTACTCTTCATTTATCTATGGTCGTAAGATATTTTCTATGTGTGTGACGACACCTTTAGGACTGTCCGCCATTACACTAATCGCACCATAACAAGCATCTGTCAAATAAAATTGAATTGTGAATATTATTTTTAATAGTAATAAAATAAAAATATATTAGTGCGCGAAAGAAATAAAAATAAAACATAATCTATAGTAAAAATAATGTAATAAAGACATAAAATAAATTTTTAATTATATATGAAGTGTTAAAATAAATTTTAATATTGTGAGGTTAGGTACGATGGAATATATTTTTTACAAAAATCGTAAGTTTTTTAAATAAATTTAATTAAAATGCGTGAAATACAAACAGAAGCCGTTTATTTTCATCATCTGGACAATTTAATATCGAATATTAGAATCGAAGAAGTTTTTACCCATAGTGACGATTTACCTTTTTTTATCAAAGAAGAAGAACTATCGGAAGATGAAGTCAAAAATAAATCACAATTAGATTGTGAAAATAATTTTCAAGTAAAACTGGAATCAGTTGAGCAGGATGATGTTGCAGTCGAATTGCCATCATACAGTGACGGAGAAACATCATCGGATAATATTGACATGGATTACAAACCTATTTTTGATTACAATATGGACGTGGAACCATATACAGCACCAGATTTACACAATGGTTCAAGTCAAGATGCAAAGACAGCCCCCATAAATCATGTAACCCCAGATACAATTCGTTGTGAGGTTTGTTCAAGAGTTTTTAAGTCCCATTTTATTTTACGTAAGCACTTGAAGCTACATATCATTTCTCGAGGCTTCAAATGCCAAATCTGTGACAAACTGTTTGCCTCAAAGTCTTTCCTAGATTCCCACATGAATATACACATCGGTGTGCGTCCGTATGGTTGTAGAGTTTGTAAAAAACGTTTTTTTGAACGAAACAATTTTAAAGTACACATGAAGGAACATAGGAGCCCCAAAAAGCATAAATGTGCGTTTTGTGATGAAGTATTTAAATGGTGCAGTAGTTTATTGAAGCACTTAAAAACACATAACAATACTAGGCCTTTTAAATGCAATTTGTGTCAACAAGATTTTGCACAACGTAGTTTTTTAGACTATCATAAACTTAAGGTGCATTTGCAATCAGCAAAAGAATCGTCTCGGGATCAAAATTTAGGTGTCACAGATCATGTTTTGTCTCGGGATCAAGATTTATGTTTAAGGGATTGTCCAGTATTTTCAGATCAAGATTCTAGAGATCATTTATTGTCTTGGCATCAAGATTTATGTGTGAGAGATTGGGATCAAGAATCTTGTGTAAGAGATCAACCATTTATTCAAAATCAAGATTTAAGTGTCAGAGATTATCCATTGTCTCGGAATAAAAATTCTTATGTAAGAGATTATATATTGTCTCAGAATCAAGATTTAAGTGTCAGAGATAAAAATAAACTTTTAATTGTCAGAGATTGTCTACTGTCTCAGAATCAAGATTTAAGTGTCGGTGTCAGAGATCATCTGTTGTCTCAGACTAAAGATTTAGGTGTCAGTCTCAGAGATCATCTGTTGTCTCAGAATCAAGATTTAAGTATCAGAGATAATAATCAAGATTTAAGGTTCAGAGATCATGTATTGTCTCAGAATCAAGATTTAAGTGTCAGATATAAGAATAAACATTTAAGTGTCAGAGATTGTCTACTGTCTCAGAATCAAGATTTAAGTGTCGGTGTCAGAGATCATCTGTTGTCTCAGACTAAAGATTCAGGTGTCAGTGTCAGAGATCATCTGTTATCTCAGAGAGATAAGAATCAAGATTCAAGGTTCAGAGATCATGTATTATCTCAGAATCAAGATTTAAGTGTCAGAGATTATTTATTGTCTCAGAATGAAAATTTAAGTGTCAGAGATAAAAATCAAGGTTTAATGGTCAGAGATCATCATTTGCCTCAGAATCAAGATTTAAGTGTCAGAGATCATTTATTGTCTCAGAATGAAAATTTAAGTGTCAGAGATAAAAATCAAGGTTTAATGGTCAGAGATCATCAGTTGTCTCAGGATCAAGATTTAAATGTCAGTGTCAGAGATCATCAGTTATCTCTGAATCAATATTTAAATGCCAGAGACAATCTATTATCTCGGGATCAAGATTTATGTGTCAATGTCAGAGATCATCTATTGTCTCAAAATCAAGATTTAAATGCCAGAGACCATCTATTACCTCAGAATCAAGATTCTTCTTCAAGAGATTATCTACTACCTCGAGATCAATCTCTATCTACCAAAGATTATCCATTACGAAGTGATTCTCGTGACCGCCCCTTCGAGTGTTCTTATTGCCACAAACGTTTCCTCCAATCCCACCACCTCCAGAAGCACGAAGCAATCCACACTAGGGAAAAAATCCAAGGGGGCGACCGTAAACACCAATGTCGTTACTGTGACAAAAGATTCCTCAGACTTTACCACTTGAAGTTCCACGAATTTACTCACACGGGGGAGAAGCACTTTAAATGTGATCGATGCTCGAAAGAGTTTGCGCGGGAATATAATTATAATAGACATTTGAAGTCACATTTGTTCGAATGCGAAATTTGTCAAAGGAGCATGCCGAGTGGTAAGAAGTTGCAGGAGCATTTGAAGATGCATCAGAAAGAGGATCGTAATGAGTGTGAGTATTGTTATAGGGTGTTTCAAAAGTTTGAAACGCTGGAAACCCATTACATTACAGTGCATAGCGAGCAGATTGAGGAAATACGAAATTTTGAAATGCAAACCACAGAGGTAAATGATGTTTTAACACAATCTGGTGGAAATGAGTGTGTAGTTTGCGGGAAAAAGTATGATTTACAAACACAATTGAAGTTACACATGAAGTTTCACAATAAAACTGGTGTAGATGTTGTTAAAGTGCAACAAGAACACGTAAAATGCCTAATTTGCAATAATACTTATTCCAATAAATGGCATTTGGAGCGCCACATGATTGTTAACCATGCACCAACACAAACTTTTGAAGAAAAAGTTTCCGACGGCGCTCATGAGTGCACAACTTGCAGCACCTTATTTTACAACAAGACTGACTTAGATGTGCACTTAGAGTTTCATCGAACCAATGAAGATACATCTTTAGACAACCGGTTTAAGTGCCTTTGTTGTATCCAATCTTTTGATGCTAACAACTCACTAAGAAAACATTTAAAAACACATATAAATCCTGACAAAACCCTGAATCCGAATGTCAACGACTACGAATGTAGCGTTTGTAACAAACCGTTTCCTTTTAAAGAACATTTGAAAAAACATTTAAACACACATAAAGACAAAACACAATTGGCACTTTTGGAACTTGCTAGATTGAATGTTAAACCTCCCAAGTGCCATTTGTGTTCAAAAGTGTTTAGTAAAAACAGTCATTTAAAACGACATATTAATAATGTTCATTTACGCAAAAATAAAAATGCCCCTAAAATTTCTCACCATGCTAGTCCTGACGTGAATTCCCTAAATATCATTCATTCCTGTCCAGTTTGTTCCAAGCAATTCGCCAGACCTTCAGATGTCAAACGACATATAAAACTGGGACACAACAAGTATAAATCTCCTAACCCCACCCAGTCTCTGATACCAGACCTTTTCCATTTACACAAATGCAGAATGTGTAACATAAGTTTCAATTCAAAAGAATCCTTAGAAATCCATAAACTGTCCCACGACAATGTGTTAAAATGTACTAAGTGTACAGAGACTTTCTACGATGATGATCTTTTACAAATTCATTTACAATTGCATAATGAGGCTTGCGGGTTGTGCTGGAAGCAGTTTGTATCGAAGGAGAATTTAGAGAAGCATATGTCAGCAGTACATGCACAAAGGCACAAGTGTATTATTTGTGATAAACAATTTGCATTGAGTAAACAGTTGAATAAACATATGGAGATACATATTGGGATTTATTGAAGGTACAGACAAATAAAGTTTTGATTTAGTGATGAGATAAATGAACTGGAAAGTCAATATTGTTTGAAATGAGTCAATTTTTTATATTTTTAGGGCTCAGTATTACAATCTGACTCAAAATAATTCGAAAATAAAAAATACGATGTATATTTCAACATTCTCACATAATTTGGATCATTCTCAAACAATTTACAACATTTTTATACAATCTACAATATTCTCACACAATCAGCATCACTTGTAGACAAGTGACAACATTTTCAGACAATTCACAACATTAAAAGATGGTTTACAACAATTATCTGACATCGTACAACATTTTCAGAAAATTAAAAATTCTAAGATGAAACACAACAATATGCAATATTTTAGGCAATTTACAACATTCTCTGACAATTTGAATAATCCCAGACGATCTACAATATTTTCAGACAATTTACAACATTCTCAGACAATCTGCAACATTTTTAGGCAAGTTAGAACATTCTCAGACAATTTAAATAATCTCAGACGATCTGCAATATTTTCAGACAATTTACAACAATCTCAGACAATCTACAATATTTTCAGACAATTTACAACATTTTAAGACAAAACAACATTCTCAGATAATCTGCAACATTTTTAGGTAGGTTACAACGTTCTAAGACAATTTCCAACATTCTCAGACAATCTGCAATATTTTCAGGCAATTCACAACATTCTCAGACAATCTGCAACAATTTTAGGCAATTCTAAGCATTTTCAGATAATTTACAACATTTCATAACCATTTACAACATTTTCATACGCCTTGTAACTTTCTCAGATAAACTACAACATTTTTAGACAGTTTACAACATTATCAGACAATCTACAACATTCTCTGACTATTTAAAACACTCTAAGACACAACAGTTTCAGACGATCTACAACATTTTTTCGGATAATAATTCACAACATTTTTATACAAATTAAAATATTTTTACACAACTTACAATGATCTCAGACGATCCACAACATTTTCTGATAATTTAGAACATTCTATGACAATTTACAACATTTTCACACACTTTGTAATATTCTCAGATAAACTAAAACATTTTCAGACAGTTTACAACATTATCAGACAATCTACAACATTCACAAGACATAACAATTTCAGACAGACTAAAAAATTTTCAGATAGTTTGCAACATTTTCGGACGATTTACAACATTTTCTATTCATTTACATCATTCTGTGACAATGTACAATATTTTCAGACAATTTAAAACATTTTAAGGCAAGTTGCGACATTTTCAGACAATTTCAAAAATTAAAACATTTTTAGGCAACTTACAACATTTTCAGAAAATCTAAAGTAATCTCAGGCGATCTACAGCATTTTCAGACAATTTAAAGTATTCTAAAACAATGTGCAACATTTGCAGACCTTTTACAGCATTTTCAGTCAATTCACAACATTTTTAGATAAATTATAACATTTTTGAACAACTTTCAATATTTTTAGATAATCTAAAATAATCTCAGACTATCTACAACATTCTCTGATAATTCACAACATTCTGTGATAATGTACAACATTTTCAAACAATTTAAAACATTATATGACGAGTTGCAACATTTTTAGACAACTTACAACATTTTTAGGCAGCTTATAACATTTTCAGATAATCTAAAATATTCTCAGACGATCTACAACATTTTCAGATAATCTACAAATTATCAAACAATCTGCAACACTTTCAGCAAAATGACAACATTGTCAGACCAGTTACAACATTATCAGACCAACTAAACATTGTCAAACCATCAGTTACAACATTGTCAGACCAGTTGCAACATTGTCAAACCATTAGTTACAACATTGTCAGACCAGTTAAACTTTGTCAGACCAGTTAAACATTCTTAGACCAATTACAACATTGTCCGATCAGTAAAACATTGTCAAACTAGTTACAACACAACATTGTCAGACCAGTCAAACTTTGTTAACATTGTCAGACTAGTTACAACATTGTCAGACTAAATACAACATTGTCAGACAATCTACAAACATTCTAAGACAACAATAAATGACTCATAGCTACAAAAATTATTTTTTCAAACTTTCAAGTGATATTGTTATAAATATTTTTTTAACATTTATCATATATTATGTAAGATATTTAAAGATTATATTTTACTTTCTTACTTTCGAATTATTTTGAGTCGATACAGTTATAAGAAAATAATAAATTGTATTATTCATATGACATTGTTGATATGAATTATATATGAAAAATAGTATAAATAATATTAAATAAATAAAAAATAATAAATTTTTAATTGAATATATCTACTTTATAAATAAAAGTACAAAAAGAATTATAATGTGTTATAAATCTATAAATAGTAAAGTATAAATATAAATATAATAACATTAAGTATATGATGAAATAATTATTGATGAATTAACATAAATATAATTGTATTATATTTCTTATTAAATAATTTTTAACTATTTCAAACAATTTATAATATATTCATTTAATTTATAGTTATTTCAGATATTTTACCGTTTTTTTTTAAATAATATAAAACATTTTGACACAAACTACAAAATTTTTACACAATTTGCAACATTATCAGACAATCTACAACATACTCAGACCAGTTACAACATTCTCAGACAACTCAATACATATTCAGATGATTTACAATATTCTCAGACAAACTACATCTACATCATCCAAACAGCTACAACATTCTCAAACAATTTACAATATTTTCAGACAATCGACAGCATTCTAACAAAATCTAAAACATACTCAGACCAGTTACAACATTCTCAAACAGTTTACAATATTTTCAGACAATCGACAACGTTCTCAGGCAATTGACAACATTCTCAGACAATCTACAACATACTCAGACCAGTTACAACATTCTCAAACAGTTTACAATATTTTCAGGCAATCGACAACATTCTCAGACAATCTACAACATACTCAGACCAGTTACAACATTCTCAAACAGTTTGCTCAGACAAGTTACACTTATAGTTACATTTATACTTGTTTATGGCTCAAACTGTATATAGAATTACCAATTTAAAATATCTACATCAGGCAACCCACAACATTATCAGGCAATCTACAACAACTTCGTTAGTATTATCAGGCAATGTAGACAAGTTGTCAGACAATTTACAGTATTTTCAACTTGTCTAGACAAGAAAATTACTTCAAGGTAAAAACAACTTGATAAAAAGTTAGTAGTTGAAAAATGACGGTCGATAATTAACTATTTATTAATAAATATTTTAGTGTTGTGTTGAAGAAACAGTGTTTAAGATTGCTTAATTAATTTTTTAATCATAATATTTGTCGATGGTAGAACAATTATTCCTCAGTTGGTGAATGTAGTGTCAATGAAGACATATTTATCAACTTTAATATTTATTCAAAATATAATTATAAAATTTACAAAATTTAACGCATTAAATAATAGAATATATAAATGCACATTTCCTTATAAAGAATTGAGACTGATTGTGACAAAATGGAGGCTATTTATAAACTGAATCTAGTGTGAAAAGGAAACTTGTTTGGATACATAAGAGTGAAGTTAAAGATGAAATAGAACATGTAGAAGGACCAAGAAGATGTTAGACGATTTGTACAAAGACGAACAATACATTTCAAGGTAAATTTAATATATTATTTACTTTTCATAACAAAATGTATTTAAAACAAATATTATTTATTGCGTAAGTACTTTTATAACACAAAATATTTTTTATCATATAGCTATTTTAATTCTAAAATTATATTTTTGTTTATTATATCACTCAATATTTAACAAATTATTATTTAATCATATTATTAACTTCCCAAAGAGTTGTTTATGGTTTTCCCCAGAAAATTAAATTTCTTAATATTATGGGTCCAATTCTTTTGCAATGCTATGTTACGGTCTTATATTGAAGAATTATAAGGTCTATATCCATAATAATAATAAATGGTAGTCTGCCCGAAGGCAGGCCCATTATCTTATTATATTATTAACTTCTCGAAAGAGTTGTTTATGTTTTCACCAGAAAATCAAGTTTGTTAATATTATGGAGCCAATTTTCTGGTAGTATAGAAATGTAGCATAGTGTTGTCATGGCAACGCTATGTTTCAGTCTTATCTTAAAGAATTATAAGGTCTATATCCATAATAATAATAAAAAGTAGTATGCCCGAAGGCAGGACCATTATCTAATTATATTAATAACTTCCCGAAAGAGTTGTTTATGTTTTCCCCAGAAAATCCGATTTGTTAATATTATATAGAAATGTAACGTAGCTTTGGCATGGAAATGGTCTTATCTAGAATATGTACCATAAGGTCTATATTCATATGAATATATTATATTTAACATTGCCTAGGATCTATGTCCTACTTTCATAAGAATTGGTAGTAAAAACTGTGAAAAAGCTATGTATTGTTTTACATAAACCTGTCCTAAAAAGCATGATGTTATTATAAGTGCATCTTCCTAATGTGCCCTTGATAACACATACGTAAAGTTAGATTTTTTTTATTGAAGTAAAACTTCTTTAGGCGCGACTGTTGTATGCAAGAACATTGGCATAGTTAAATAAACATTTTAAGGTTACATCGTAGTACAAATTATTAATACATGATGCTTAAACCAGAAGAATATATTACTCTGTCCCTCGTAAATAATTATAATAAAAATAATAAAATAAATAAAACATTTGTGCCGTGTGCTAAATGTGAGTTTTGATTAGAAATTATTTCTATATTATTCGTAGTTTCTATAAATCTTTGAAGTTATTAAAATGGAAAATATTTTTTAGTCAAGACAGATATTACAGCTGCTCAAAGAATGGGGTTATATCGCCAGCAAAAAAGTAAAAAAAAAAACCTGCAGTCAATGAATGTATGTTAATTTTAATTACATGAAGTTTTTCAAACACCATTATACGATGAGTGAAATTGTGAAAACAATACTTGTTTATGCGTTGTTTAACATAATCCACTGTGTGAACGAATATTATAGAATTTATTAATCAGCAATTACTTCATTTCTTTAATGAATGTTCATTTCTAAATGCTAATTACAATGACAAATCGATCATGTCATATTTGAAGTATGACTTTAATTACATTTTTGTTTTTAAATATTATACATATTTTTAATGCTATTATAAATATATAATTTATAATTTATCATTATATAAATGTGTATAATGATTGACACTAATAAATGTGTGCATCACGAGTGTTACCATATTACTAATGAACAGTATTCAAAATTGTTATATGATGTATTTATTTCCAACTTAAATGTCATCTCGTACAATAGCAAAAAAATTTAACATCAATCGCGTGTGAACCTTACGCGCACTCTTTTTTTTTATCGATTATTTGTTGACTTTGTATACACTTACATTAGTCATATACATCTTATAAGTTATCTTCACACTTTAATTTTATTTGATTGTATATAATTATATAGCACACTATATATCCTATTTTTTTTGTCAATAATGTTATAAAATTGGTTGGGAGGGAGATTCTTTGCCTTACTATCTCCGTCCATAGTTCTTGCCTACACTACTCCCATTTTTTGCACTCCATAATGGCGTGCTCAGCATCCGCCATAGTCACTCCACCCAAGCAATAGCAATTAGGATCAGTATTGATCCCAATTCAATAGCCATTAGGATCAGTATTGATCCCAATTCTACTCAGGTGAAACAGAGTGAATGTATGGTTAACATACACTCTGTTTCACCTGAGTAGAATTGGGTTCAATACTGATCTTGGGGAGTGACTATGGCGGATGCTGAGTTTACATATTGTAGAAAAAAACTATAGAATCTCAGTAAATTCGTTAAATGTCTGACACTGTAAATACATAGCTTTTTGACAGTTTTTAGTACCAATTTATATGGAGGTAGGACCATAACATAGTATTGGAGAATTGACCCCTAAAGGAAGAAGTATGTAATAACAATCAGTTCCAGATTTTTGGAGACAAAAAAAATTCTATTATAAAATCTATTATAAATTTACATAAATATTAGCTCTTATGAGTCTTTTTATGTTTATTACAATCTTCCACTCGCCTGAAAGCTTTCTCACACATCTCACACTTAAAAGGCTTCTCATTTGTATGACTCAAAACATGTCTGTTAACTTTACTCACGGAATTGAATCCTCTATCACATATCTTACATTTATGCGGGAACTCCCCTGTGTGAATACTCTTATGCAACTTCAAATCAGTAGCTCGTTTAAACGTCTTAGGGCACACATCACAACTATAAGGCCTTTCATCAAGATGTACAATCATGTGTTTATTAAGATCACCCGTGCAGCCGAAGGCTCTTGCGCATGTTTCACATTTGTAAGGTTGTAGTTTTGTGTGCGAAAGCATGTGTCGGGTTAGATTGTGGGGGAATTTGAAGGCTTTTTTGCATATTTCACACACCCAAGGTCTCTCATCGCTGTGAGACTTGAGGTGGTTGTTTAGGGATACTGATTGTGTGAAACGTTTGTTGCATGTTTTACAAATGTATGGACGAGCTCCTGTGTGGACTCTTTGGTGCACGTATAGAGATGATGGGTGCACGAAGGTTCTAGCACAGTCTTTGCATTTGTGGGGTTTGTTGGGATTTGTTTCTGGGCTAGGTTCGCTCACATCTTCCTCAATATCTTCATTTAAAGACATGTCAAAGTCGATGAATGTTTTCAGACATGTTTTTTCATCTTCTAAAGTTGCTTTTGCTTTAATAATAATATTGCTGTAATCTTGCTCATCTTGTTTCGTGTTTTCAAGCTGAAAAGAATTTGTTGAGACATGTTTTATATTTGCTATTTTATAAAAAAATTAAAGTGCATTTACTTTTACTTCTTGTTGCTTATCACTCTGCAAAGAATTTGTTCCTTCTGACATTTTTGGAACGATACCAATTATTAAATGTTATCCAAAATTGATAGTAATTTTAAAAAACATTTAAACATTTATTTATTACAGAGAAATCACTTAAAATACAAAATTAATATTTATTATTGCTTGTGTTGTCACTTTTTGGCACAACTGTCAAAACTGTCAAACTTGACAAAAATGTCAAAAAATGACAAACATTTTTTATTTAAAAATATTTTTATTTATAAAGATAATTATTGACATTGTTTCGTTGATAACAGAATATAAATTATATTTAGAATTATTTTATTTAAATTTTATGTAAATTTTACCATTTAAAAAAGGTTTTTATATTTGGCGCCATGTTTGACAGTAAGCACAATGAAGTTGTGTAAAGATATTTTATTTTATTTGTATATTTTATAAAAACATATTTATATTTACAAAGATATTTATGAATATTTATAATATAATATAAAGTACATTTAGATTAATTTTATTTAAATTTTTTGTAAATTTTACTATATTTTAATTAATTTATTACGTTTAAAATATGTTTTTAAATTTGGCGCCAGTAGGCATAAGTAGTTGTTCAGTAAAGTTCGGAAACGGGAAATGTATATTTTTTTAAAGATATTAGCATTCACAAAGATAATTATAATGGAATATAAAACACATTTAGATTTATTTTATTTAAATTATAGGTAAATTTTACTATAATTTTAATTACCTAAACACATTTAAAATAGGTTTTTAAATTTGGCGCCATGTTTGACAGTTGTCACAATAACAGTTGTTCAGATGAAGAAATTTATTTATTAAAATGGCTGTTTTAAAAACATAAAAAAATGTATTAAAAATGTAAATTAATTTAAATGAATGTCATTAGTAATTTGGAAATTATTAAATTTATGCTAATAAGTGACACGAATTTTAAACTAGGTGTAAGTGGTATTATTTCAATAAGGAACATAAAAATAGTTGCATCATATTAACTTTAAAAAATAATATTTTATAATGTGGCATCGTAAATTCGGATAATCAAGGTACGTACAATCTTTTAGGAAATTCATACTGTATGTCTTAGAACTGCCCTCTGTAAATTCAAACATTAATGAATTTTTATATTCAAACCACTTTTTGAAGGCCTATAATATTTTAGGTTGCTCCTTTGGACTCTAAACTTTAGACGATAACTTTATTGCCATGCAGAGTTTTATTATTTATGAAGAAACAGCTCGGCTGATCTTTACCAAAAACTAATCAACACGATTATCTGCTGTCGATGGTGAGTTTTATGTTTTTATTGCAAGATTTGCTAATTTTAAGTTTTTTTGACCTTACAAGTCATTCTGAATTGTTTGAGACTGAAGTTGTAAAAAGTATATGTGGGCATGGGTATGTAGGTCAATTTTGACTTTTCTCAGATGTTTTCTCAGAAACAGCTGTACCAATTTTAAACATTTATTAGCCATTCGATAAAATTCTAGATGGACGTATTTTGACCAGTTCTTAGTGCAACAGATTATCAGGAAAAACAACTTTGTTCATCCACTTTTTAGGCAAAAATTTACAAGAAAAGATATTTATAATGATCTGTACAATTTGGCAGTACAAAAAATAGTTATGGATCAAGAATTGACATCATTAAGTTTCCAAAAAAGTTTTTGATATTGCCAGAAAATCCGAATTGCTAATTTTATGTTTTTTCGAAGGTTTAATTTTTTGAAGTCATTCCATATTGTTCCAGACCAACATTGGTGAAGGGTATGTGTATGTCGGTCAAAATTTGACTATTGTTTCAAAAATGGCATGAGTTGATTAGTTTTACTCGATGATGAGCTGTTTCTTTATAATGGTCAGAAAACTGTTAGTCTAGTCATTTAAGCTTAAATTAGATAAGAATATCGGAATTCGAGATGCCCAGCTGTAAGTCTGTAAATACTTGTATATTGATACTCTAAAAGTTGTCTCAAAACCTACATATAGTATTGACATATGTAGGTTTTGAGACAACTTTAGGGTGTCAATATATAAGTATTTAACCAAGATAAATTAAAAGCTCTCTTAAATAAGAGAATTTCATGATAAATACTGTAACAAAGTTTGCACAAGACACATAAAACTATAATATAGAAAGTACCATCTTTAAAATACAATTTATAGTAATAGAGAAGGATGTGAAGTTTACGTTTTAAGGATTTTTTAAATACATATACAGAAAATATTTATATAAATTTATTCCTAATACTAACTATTTGTACAGTAGTAATAAAATATACAATGCAAACAAAATATAGGTAATTCATAAATGTTTCTAACAATTTTATACACATAAGTTTCTTCTTATTATTTTATTGATTTTCCTCAAGTTGCTCATTATGAACAGCCATGTGTCTTGTCAATGTCTGCGAATGCGTAAACCCCTTATTGCATATTTCACATTTATAAGACCGGTCTCCGGTATGAACACGCATGTGCAGTTTTAGAGTACTCGATTGTATGAATGTTTTATTGCATATTTTGCATTCATGAGGACGTACTCCACTATGAGTCAGCATGTGATATTTCAAAGCATACGGGTGCTTGAAAGTTTTACTGCATGAATCACATTTCAAAGGACTGTCTTCTGCGTGTATGCGCTTGTGTATTGCCAAATTGCTTTTTTGGTTGAAAGCCTTATCGCATACATCACATTTAAAAGGGCGCTCCGTGGTGTGAATAAGCATATGTCTGGTCAGACTAGCTGCTTGGGAGAATGTTTTTAGACATAAGTCACATTTAAAAGGGTGTTCCCCGGTATGAATAAGTGCGTGGTTTGTTAAGTGACTTTTTTTATTGAATGCTAAATCGCATAATTCGCATTTAAAAGGGCGTTCCTCTGAATGTATAATCATGTGGGACTTCAATTTGTCTGATCGTTTGAAAGCTTTGTGACAGATTCCGCATTTGAAATGTTTTTCTGTACTGTGAGTAATCATGTGTCTTGCTAAAGTTGACCGATGTTTGAAGGTCTTAATGCATTCATCGCACTTGTAAGAGCCTTCTTTGCTGGGACTTGGCAAGTGATTGATTAAAGGCTGTTTTGAATCATTCGATTCTGCAAATGAGCTATTACTAAAGTCACCTTTATAAGGAGTCTCATTTAATTGCTGTCTAATTTTTTCCTCAATCTTAAATCTTTCCAGACATGTTTCATTATCCTCAGACTTAATAATACCATCAAGACCATCATTTTGGTCCTTAATTTCACATGTAATTTCTTCTACTGAATATTCTGGGGGCTCAATTTTAATTTTCTGAGCATTTATAGACATAGTTGTTTCTTCTGACATTTTTAGATTTTCTCACTGCTTATATTCTATAATATAAATTATGGCGAATAATTATTTAATAATTTATTTTTAATCAATAATCTTTAATACTATAATTATAAATTTAATTATATTTGCATTTATTATTAGCAATGGCAATATTAGTTGTTTCAAGTTTTTTGACATTTGAGATGACAGCTGAAGCATAGAGTATGTTTTTATAAAGACGAGATGTTTTCAATATTTTGCAATTCAAAACAGTTCTCTATGGTCCACCTGTCGAACAATCGACAAACTTTTACAAATTTAAACTAGTTGGTATTGGTATTTAGCCTTGAGGCAAGTTACACGAACTTCCCGATATGTGTAAATAATCGACTTAATCCATGATAGATAAATTAATTTATGAATAGTTAAAAGTTTTCGAAATGGATTTATTACACATTATTAAAAATCGAACACGTCATCTCGGTCGGAATATTTTTTAAAAGAAAATTTTCAAAAATCAATAATTTTTATAATTGGGCCAGTTTCTTGTAGGATTTTAATTGTTTAGCATGTTTATTAAGACCAAGTACTCTATCATTATACCAAGTAAATCGTCTAATTTTAATTTTAGCTAAAGTAAAAAAAACTACACATTTTCTCAAACTTGGATGAATTTTGTCTAATTAAGCTACTTGTCGTAAGGCATTAATATTTCAGTAAGTTCTATAAGACCATGATATATATCGCCAAAAAAAAGTTCCATAAAAATCGGCTTAAATTTTTTTTTCAACAATTAATTACAAGAAAACGGCTCGGTAGATTTTCACCTAAAACTAATCAGTATCATTCCCAACTAATATCTTTCGAACAGTTTTTGATTTTTTAAAATCGGTTCGGTAGGATGAGTTCAAATGTGGACGTAAAGTTTAACACTTTTTTTCAAATTACAAAGAAACGGCTCGGCCGATCGTCGCACAAAACTGAGAAACCATAATCCTCATCGAGATACATCAAATGGTTTTTAAATTTCTGAAATCGGTTCAGGCGTTTTTGAGCAAACGTCGATGAAAGTTCTAATTTTGACAAATGCCGAAAAGACCATACTAATTTTCGCAAACTTTGACGAATTTTTAAAGCTAAACGAGTTGTCGTAGGGCCGTAATATTTTAGTATGATCTAGAAGACTATTGTATCTACCGTCAAAAAAATAATAATTAAAATCGTCAAATTTTTTTTAAAGAAACTTTATTACAAAAGAACGGCCCCGCCGATCTTTACCAAAAACTAATCAGCACGATTCCCAACCAATATCTTTCGAACGGTTTTTGAATTTTCATAATCGATTCAAAATTGCGGGCTAAAACGTAGACGAAAAACGTCGATTTACGACAAAAAATCTGTTCACATACACGCACACACATATACACACAGTAACACGCACATACTTTTTCCAAATTTGGTCGCATTCGATTCAGAATGGCTTGAATCGTCGAGAAAACATAAAATTAGCGAATTGGATTTTTTGATGAAAACATAAACTTCTCCTTCGGGAAGTTAATAACTAACATTTATATATTTAACTTCCCGTATGATAAGTTATAGTAATTGTCCACAAATTAGAAATTTAAAATTTTTGCATATTTTCACGTTTCAAAGGTTTTTGAACATTTTGGCATATCTTAGAAGAAATGGATGTATGTGTTATCAACCGATTTCAATGGTCCAAAAAACATTCGATTCCTATTGATAGGGAGATGTGCTGATTAGTTTTTGGCAAAGGCAGGTCTAGCAGTTACGGAGATACGTAGCAAAGCGTGCAGAAAATAGAAATTGAGTTTTTGAGAATACGTATTAGAAAAACTATTCGTAATGATAGGGAGAAGAGGTGATTAGTTTTTAGCAAAGCAGATCCAGCCGTTTCGGAAATACAAAGCAAAGAGTGCAGAATATAGAAATCAAGTTTTTGAGAGAACAGAGTATCCGATTTGAATGATCCAAAAAACATTCGTAATGATGTAGAGAAGTGGTGATTAGTTTTTGGCAAAGACAGATCCAGGCATTTTGGAGATACCGAGCTCAATGTACAAAAAATGGCAGTTTTTGAGATAACAGACCACCCGATGTAAATGATTCAAAGAACTGGTGGCGTATGACATCGTGCCTTAAGGCAAATTGCTGGAACTTCCCGTACCGTAATGAAATATTCAAGAAATATTAAATGTTTACAAATAGATTATTTTTTTTAAATTCTGTAACTTAAATATGTTTACAGAAAACTAAATAAACAAAACTTGATCAACCGAATTTAAAATTAAGTACATTGCTTAATATTTATAAGAGTTATAAAAACTGAATTGCAAAGTTGAAATAATTTATTTTAAGTATATATGTGAGCTTAGAACTTTAGTTAGAAAAAAATTAAAATTTTATTTATTTTCGGTATTCAAAAAAGACTTTTTTTCTCAAAAAAAAAGTTTGAAACAAATATTTCTTTCCAAGAGCAATTATTTTGTTAAAACAAGTAAAAACTTTTTTGAATCATTCAAATTAAATTCTTAGTTCTCTCAAAAACTGCCAATTTTGCACATTTAGCTCGGTATCTCCGAAACGGCTGGACCTGCTTTTGCCAAAAACTAATCACCACTTCTCCCCGTCATTACAAATTAAATTATTTTTAGATAATTCAAATCGGATACTCCGTTTCTGCACTCTTTGCTCCATATCTCCGTAATGGCTGGACCTGCTTTTGTCAAAAACTAATCGGCACATTTCCCTATCAACAGAAATCGAATGTTGTCTGAACCATTTAAATCGGTTGATCCGTGCGCCTGAAAACCTGGACATACAAAACACACACACACACTTCAATTTTTTCTGAGGTATGCCAAAATGTTCAAAAACCTCTGAAAAGTAAAAATATATAATAATTAACTCCCGTAGGGTAAGTTATTGTAATGGGCCGAAAATCGAAAATGAAAATTTTTACATTTCTCGACGTTTTGAAGGTTTCTGAACATTTTGGCATACCTCAGAAAAAATGGATATGTGTGTGTGTGTGTGTGTATGTATGTATGGATACAAATTTCCAGTCACGTTTTCGGGCGCACAGATCAACCGATGTGAATGGTTCAAAAATCATTCGATTCCTATTAAAAGGGAGATGTGCTGATTAGTTTTTGGCAAAGGTATACTTATAAGTACAGCCGTTACGGAGATACGGAGCAAAGAGTGCAGAAAATAGAAATCGAGTTTTTGAAAGAACGGAGTATCCGATTTGAATGATCTAAAAACATTCAATTAGTAATGATTGGGAGAAGTTGTTATTAGTTATTGGCAAAGGTAGGCGCAGCCATTACGAAGATACTAAGCTAAATGTGCAAAAATGGCAGTTTTTGAGAGAACTAAGCGTCCAATTTAAATGATTCAAAGAACTTTCAGCTTGTTTTAACAAAATAATTGATTTTAGAAAAAAAAAAATTGTATCATTTTTTTGTGTATCGAAAATAATTCAGATTTTATTTTTAATTCTGACTAAAGTTCTAATATACTTTAAACAAAGCTTTGCAATTCAGTTTATATAATTCTTATAAATATTAGACAATGTTACAATATTAATAATAATCTATTTGAGAACATTCAGTATTCCTCGAACATTTCGTTACGGTACGGGAAGTTCCAGCAATTTGCCTTAAGGCATGATGCCATGCACCCCACTAGTTTGGAAATGCTTAGATTGAGTATAATGAATGACTTCATTGTATAGATACTACACATGCGTGTAACCATTGAATGAATGATTCATATTAATTAACATAAACATGTAATAATAAAGTATCCTTTGAATATTTAGAAAAGAGCAATTTACGTGTTCATTTATAATCTCAAAAACGATAAAGTTTGAATCATTATATATGCACAATAACGAAAAATTTCTTCATATTATGTAAACTAAACAACTAACCGAATAGTTTACATTTTAAGGATTTTTGGAATACATAGACAGAAAATATTTATATAAATTTATTCATAGTTCTATATATTTATACAGTAGTAACAAAATATACAATGCAAACAAAATATAATTAATTCGTAGATGTTTCACACAATTTCACACACAAAGTTAGTTCCTGCTTGTTAATATTTCATTGATTTTCATCATGTTCCCCACTATGAACATTTAATTTGTGTCTCCTCAAGTTGTTTGATACCGCAAATTCCCTATTGCATGTATCACATTTGAAAGGGCGTTCTCCTGTATGAATACGCATGTGCCTTGTCAAGTCACCCAATTTAGAGAATGCTTTACTACATATTTCACATTTGAAAGGACACTCTTTGGTATGAATGATCATGTGTTGTTTCAGACTACATTTTTGTGTGAATGTCCGATTGCATGTTTCACATTTGAAAGCATGCTCTTTGGAATGAGTGATCATGTGCATTTTCAGAATATATGCTAGAGCGAATGCTTTATCACATATTTCACATTTGAAAGCGCGCTGCCCTGTATGAACAAGCATGTGAACTTTCAAACCTTTTTTTCGAATATATGTTTTATTGCATATTGCACATTTGAAAGGGCGTTGTCCTGTATGAACAACTATGTGATTTTTCAAACCTTTTCTTTGATTGAATGTCTTAAGGCATATTTGACATTTGAAAGGGCGCTCTGTGCTATGTAGAACCATGTGCGCTGCCAAAAATGAAATTTGTTTAAATGACTCATGACATACATCACACTTATGGATGCCTTCTTCGTTACAACTGCGTTCGTGATCGGCCAGGTGCTCTTTTAAATAATTAGATTCTGGAAATGAGATATTACAAATGTCACATTTATAAGACGGTGGCTCAATTACCTCCTGCTTGACTTCTTCTTCTATAGTCACTTCGGAATTCATAAATCTTTCCAGACACGTTTTATCATCCTCTAAATAGGATTCAGACTTAACAATACCATCTACATAATTAAATTCATCATCAGTTTCACGTTTAACGTCTTCCATTGAATATTCTGGTGATTCAAGTTTAATTGTCTGATCATTCACAGACTTAATAGTTGCTTCCGACATTTTTATATATCTTCACTACGTACATTTAATAAATATTATTGGATTCAACAATTACATACCAATTAATAATTTATTGTTAATCAATAATGTTTTTGAATGTGATAATAACAGGATAATAACGACTTTAATTGAATTCACATTTGTTATAGAATATGAACACCTTTTAGTAGCTTGACATTTAAAGCATAGAGTATGTTTTCATAAAGAAGAAGACGAGACACTTACCACCTTTGAGATATAAATTTTTATTTTGTCCACTAGGCGCGAGTAGCGTTCGTGCGTGACCCATAGATAAGTAAACATAACCGTTAAGTGGTTAATAATTAACCGTGACCGTTAAGAGGTTAATAATATATGAATATTAGATTTTTTTTTTGATCAGATTGATATATTATCAACTGACGTTTTTAAGGATTTTATGGTTTCTAATTTTATCATTATTATTACTTATGAAATCATAATCTATAAGTTAGAAAATATGGCAGTATGTTTGTAATAGCTCTTTCCATACTTATATAAGCTAATTGAAACAATTATATATATATGCAAACAAAATTATATTATGATAGTATAATGATATTCCCAGAATAGGTGTATACAATTTGTATCTTTATGTAAAAATCAATGTATGTATTTAAGACAAATAAAGCAAATTTTCAAATTAAAAAAAAAAGTATAAGTTAGAAACACTCTTCCCTTATCTATGATGTGCATCGTCCCTTAGGGCAAATTGCTGGAACTTCCCGTGCGGTAATGAAGTATTCGAGTAATATTAAATGCTTTGGAATAGATTATTATAAATACTGTAACTTTCATTATTCGTATTTAACAAACCTAATGAAGGGGAGTTAGAATGAAGGATCTTATTTCACATCTCTAAAAATTAGATAAACTGAATTGCAAAGTTAAAATTATTTATTTCAAGTATATAAGTGATCTCTGAAAAACATTGATTTTTTTATGTTTTATCCAAAAAACAATCATTTTGTCAATATAATCGGATGCTTCGTTCTCAGCTCCGTATCTCCGAAACGGCTGGGCCTGCTTTTCCCGAAATCTAATCACCACTTCTCCCCATCATTACGAGTTGAATGTTTTTTGAATCATTTCAATCGGGAGCTTACCCGTATCTTTCTTTTAGTATTGCTTATTTCAGATTATTTATTAACTTCCCATAAGATAATTTATAGTAAGAAAAATGGATGTGCGTATTTGTGTGTCTATAATTTTTCGTCTACGATTTCAGGCGCAAGGATCAACCGATTTGAATTATCCAAAAAAACATTTGTTTTCTATTGATAGGGGAGACGTCCTGATTAGTTACTGACAAAAGCAGGTCTGACCGTTTTGAAGATACGGGGTAAAAAGAGCAAAAAATATAAGTAGAGTTCTTGAGAGAACGGGTGATCCGATTTGAATGATTTAAAAAACATTAAATTTGTAACATTATATTTTGGCATGCAAAAAAGGCAGGTCCAGCCATTTTGGAGATAAGGAGCAAAACGTGCAAAAAACGATAGTTTTTGAGAGAATAAAGCATCCGCTTGTATTGACAAAACGATTGTTTTTTGGCCAAATCAGTTTTTTTTTTAATTTTCAAAAAAATTTTTGGCATATTGAAAATGATTCGGGTTTTAACACTAATTCTTGCAAAAATTGCAGAGCTCACTTATATACTTGAAATAAATAATTTTAAACTTTGCAATTCAATTCATATAATTCTTAGAAATATGAGATAAGATCTTTCATTCTAACTCCACTTCATTAAGTTTCATAAAATGCGAATAATGAAAGTTACAGCATTTATAACAATTTATTTGAAAGCATTTAATATTCCTCGAATACTTCACTACGATACGGAAGTTCCAGCAATTTGCCCTAAGGCACGATGCCATACACCACTAGTTTTATATTTATGTACTGCCATTGGTAGGGCTTCGCTCCAAAGTTTTTAATTAACTTCCGTAGGGCAAGTTATAGTAATTACCAAAAAAAATCGAAAATGAATTTTTTTGCATTTCTCGACGTTTTGAAGGTTTCTGAATATTTTTTTTTTTTTTTGTTACAATTTATTTTTGTTAATCAAGACTTTAATGTCTTATTTACAAAATTGATATGAGCAAAAAAAAAAAATGCAATACATTGAATATAAATGAAAAAAGTTAAAATAAAAATTAAATTAAAACAGTAATACAAAAATAATAACATAAATGAAACGATGACGTGATGATGTATGCCGCGTACTACTTCTGAAATTTTGGCATAGAAAAAATGAATGTATGTGTGTGTGATGTGTGTGTGTGCGTGTGTGTGTGTGTTTTTTTTTGTATAGCGAAGGAAATGCCTTTATGCGTCCCAGACCGGTCTTCTGTCTGGGTATGTCGGACTCGATACCGCCCTGGTATAATACCGACTAAAACCTCCGCTTTGCCCTTGCCTCTGGTCCCCACGGAAACCGCCGTTAGGCATTACTTCGTGGGGGGATGATCTAGAATGATATAAATTCTTACTGTTATAATCAATGCTATAATTCATAAACATTATACTTATCTTTTAAATGGGCGAAGTCCATTCGCCCTTTCTCTCTCTATAGAACGCAGGTCCATTAAAAACATCTCTCGAACATCTGTCTATGGCGTTCCAAGCAGCATCACTTGTCAGCATCACTTCAACACATGCTCAGCATCTTCGATTTCGCCCAAACAATATGGGCAATCCGGCGAGCTATCGTGCCTGAAGCGGTGTAGGTAGGCTCGAAAACAGCCGTGCCCCGATAGCATTTGCGTAGTATAATAATTTACTTCGCCGTGCTTGCGACTTGTGTTGTGGTGTGTGTGTGTGTGCGGATACAAATGTTCGTCGTCGATTTCGGGGAACACCGATCAACCGATTTGAATAATTCATAAAACATTCGACTCACATTATATAAGAAGACGTGCTGATTAGTTTTTGGTGAAGGCAGGTCTAGCCGTTCTGAAGATACGGGGCAAAAAGTGCCAAAAACTCAGTAACTCGGTTTTTAAGAGAACGCAGCGTCCGATTTTAATAATTTAAAAAACATTTTACTTGTATTGACAAGATGAAGAATTGTTCATGTAGGCAGGGTTAGCAGCTTCGGAGATCTAGTGAAAAAAGTAAAAAAAATGCCATTTGGCGGTAAAAAATGATCATTAGACATATGACACATCAAATCATCAGATTATTTATAGAGAATTTAACAATAAATAAAACTTTTGTTTACATTTGTTATGGGTCCGAAACCAATGTTCATCCGTTAGATGGCGACGTGGCGCTTATGCGCTTTGACATTTCGTCCCTATGCAGTTAAAGCAGTACGATTGCTTTGAAAAAAAGTTCAGAATTTCCAAAATATGTCAAAATAAAGAAAACATTTTTTTTTTTAAAAAAATTTTTTTTTCAAAAAAAAGTATTTTTTATCAAAATTTATAGTTTCTCAAAAAATCTAATTTTTTTTAAGTAAATTTTTTTCAACAGTGTCAATATTTAAAAAAAAAAAATGGTACGGGAAGTTCAGCAATTTGCCTTAAGGCACGATGCCATGCGCCAACTTGTTATATTATGATTCTGTCATCTACTCTCACTCTTCTTTATCTATGGATTCTCAATTGTTCGCAAATTGTTGTGAACTTAGAGGAGGCATTAAATCAAGTAAGACTTTGACACTTGCGCACAATTCAGCCAGCATGAAGTTGCGCGCGGCGAAGACAGATATCAAGCTGTCAAGCATTTCACATGTCAAGAGCGCGTCGACCATTTTGTTCATTTTATAACAGCGTTGCGTCGGTGTATTGGTTTTTTTTTTTTTTATCAATAAGCTTGTTTCATATTTGATATTAATATTTTAGCTTTACGTTATGATTCATTCTTTTTGGTGTTTATTTTTGTTATGTTCGTTCAGTTTATTCGCTTTGGCTTTTTGATTACGCGGCCTATTTAGTTCTTATTTTTATTTTTACATTTTAGGGTTATGTTTTAGGATTCTTTTCATTCAAAAATCATTTTAGTCTAGCTTTTTGATTACGCGCCTATTTAGTTCTTATTTTAATTTTTACATTTCATTTTAGTCTAGATTTTATACAATGTTTTAGTTATAATTTTGTTTTAAAAATAATTTAGGCTTACGTTTTACGCATAGGGTTATTCATTATTTTTGTTAGGTTTAGTTTGGTTACGATCTTAACCTTAATTCAGTGGAAGCTAACTAAAACTCAACAAACAACAAATAGAAGGTTCAGTAAATGAAATAAAATTGAAACTCTTTTGATGTTATAATACTATATCAAAATACTTCATACTGTCTTGGAATTGACAGATATATTTCGTTTTTTCTGCTATATTTGCTATGATGGAACAATATATATTGTATTTTAACGTAATATATTGTCTAAGTAAATGCTATCATCTTGCTATTAGACAATATAATAATCATAATAAAAATAATACTTGTTTGTCTGTGATAATAATGATCTTGACAGGTTTTACCTGTCAAAGTTATGAATCCAATACATTTCAACTTGACAGCTAACTTCTATTTCGTCGCCAACTTCATGCTGGCTGAAATGTGCAAATGTCAAAATTCTTAGCCTGATTTAAGGTGGTGTTCTACTCTTCTTTTATCTATGGTGGTGTTGAACTTAGAAGAATGTCTCTTTTTCCTAAAAACATACTCTATGCTTCAAATGTCAAATGCTAAAGTTTTATTTAATATTTAATTAAATTCATGATGATATTTAAAACAATTGTATAAAATAGATTATTAAATAATACGTAACTGATAGTAATTGTTAAATATACGTAGTGAAGATATATAAAAATGTCGGAAGCAACGATTAAGTCTGTGAATGATCAGAAAATTAAACTTGAACCACCAGAATATTCAATGGAAGACGTTAAACGTGAAACTGATGATGAATTTAATTATGTAGATGGTATTGTTAAGTCTGAATCCTATTTAGAGGATGATAAAACTGTCTGGAAAGATTATGAATTCCGAAGTGACTATAGAGGAAGAAGTCAAGCAGGAGGTAATTGAGCCACCGTCTTATAAATG